ATAATTAAAATAAAAATCATACTTATGTACTTATGATAAATATTGGCATTATTATGTCAAAATCTTGTTGCTATATAATTTAAATCCAATTATTTATTCTGGATAACTATAATATTTATAAGAATACCAATTGTTAGATGGATATTAAAAAGATATATTCAATAATCTAAAATTGCTGAGCATTTTCACAATAATGTAAAGGTCATAAATTAAGGTTGTTTTAAAATTATTTCCAAAATTTAAATTTATTACTACCATTATCAATACATTTGTATTTAAACCAAGAAAAGAGATAATATCTGCAAATAATAATATTCATGAGAATAATCTGAGCATTATCTACCCTTAATGTTTAGAATTTATTTGAGTTACTTCCACTAGGCTTCTCTCCTTTATTAACTTAACTATTTCATTTAAAAAATCTAAGTGATTTTATTTTTATGTGAAAATTGAAACAAATCAAATGATCTTAGTCAATTCAAAATTTTAATATTATGAATATATTATCGATGCTATTTATTGTTAATCCTATATATTCTCATTCCACTTTGGTTTCCTTATTTAAAAAACATATTTTAAATAATATTTCGTTCATTCTTTCTGTGGATTTTTTTTTTTTAGATGCTTTTTCCTTTCATTTAATTGTGTTTGGAAACCAAGCATTGTTATTTTCAACTTTTAGAAGATATTTAAATTAAAAAATAAGAACTATTAAATCAGTATCATAATTTATTTGGAATTAAATTTTATATTGTAATCATAATTTTTATCTAAATATAAGATGAAATTACATCAATTATTGTTACTTTTAATAAGTTAAAATATTTTATAGAATAAAAATGTTGTTTCTAATTCCTATTACTGCAAAATTGTTGAATTCTTATAATTTAATCAGAAAGTTTCAATAAAATAAAGTTAATCTTCCGTTAATTTATTAAATACATCTAATGTTAAATTTCAAATGTGGCTAATCTTTGTTGAAGAATAACTATAATATCAAAGCTTTCTATTTCTTTTTCATGTATTTCTACAAAGAGGTTTTAATTTTTATTAATCTCATCTAGTTATCCTTCAATAATGTGCTGTACTTATCTCCCTCAAGAAGTATATATTCCTAATTGATTAGACTTTTGTTTTCCAAAAATTATCATCCAAGACTAAGTTCTTGTCGTTCTTATGAGTTTTCTACAATTTGAGTATTGTTTGTTTCTAATTATTCTTTAATAATTATTCATATTTTTTATGTTCTGAAGTACCTTCTTAACTTTTTTAGGTAAGATTAATGCTTAAAAAACTTTTAAGCCATTTTTAATATTTAACATGCAAATATATGCCATTCTATAAGTTTTGTCATAATAATATTTGAACTAATTTTATGTTTAATTTAGCTGGAGTTATTCTCGCAAAAGATATTCTTCTTTAAGTTAATCAGATACATTCAATAAAAATGAATAATAAAAATAAAGTATTTATGTTACTAACATAATAATAATTCATTTAGAAATTTTGTCAATAATGAGAATACTGATTAAATCCTTGATTTCATTTATGAATTAGAAGGAATGCCAGGTGTTGATGGCTTTAATTTAGATTAAAATAAGCCTTAATTCTATGCCTGAATAATTTAAAAATGCTCTTGTAAAGATTTAAACTCCTAAAGATATTCTATAGGTGATTAAAAGTTAAAAAAAAGATTTAAAACAAATTTAACCAATATAATTTAACATTAGTACGATATTCTGAAAAGGATTTGATTGATGGAATAGGTTTAATTTGGTCAAATAAATTTTATAGTGATTATTTGAGGGTTAACTTTAGAATTCTGTTTAAAATCCAAAAAATTGATGACTTTAGATCAATAACAGAAGCTAACCTAGTATTAACAGAAGAGAAGAAGCATACTGAGCAAACATGAGCACTATTATCATCCGATTATCATTTCTAAACGGATAGTTATCATGCATTATCTTCTGATTTTTTATCACTATCATTCTAAATTTCTTACTCTATTCTACTTTTTTGAAATCATCTCTACAATATTCATAAAATGAAGAATTACAGATTAAGACACTTATTTGTAATCAAATTATTTATTATAAGAAACAAATAATACACATTCAAAATATCAAGGCTTAGAAATGTATTTAAAGTAGAATTTAATAAATAATAAATTTATTGATAAGAAAGATGTATAATAAGTATAAAAAATGTAAAATTGAGACCATAAGAAATCGCTTTATAACATTTCACTTTAATTCGGATATGTGAAGTAAGTATGTTAGATAATTTTAAGAAACCTCCTCAGTACATTAAGAGATTATTTATAAACTAATTTTCAATATCTTTCTTCTATATTGATATTTAAAGGGAAAAATACTATCATTCAATACTATTTTGAAAATATGATAGAAGAAAAAATGAAGAATGTTTGAGAGAGGGAAAAAATAGAAAATTTATTATTGATTATGAATTTTTTGAGAAAATTCAAATATTGTAATTATTTTTACTTTCAATTTTCAGAGTAGAATAATATATTCCATATTATCAATGAATAAAGCGATGTGCAGCCTATTTGATTTCAAAATATCCAATTTTACCTCGATTATAATCAATTTCAAATTGCTTTTTTTATTTACAAAAATCCACAAGATACTTTTGATTTGGTTGTTAAAAAAAATAATTTGAAATTCATTATTTAAGGGAAAAATAACAATAATTAATTGCAGTTATAAATAGAAATAAGATTTGCATGAGCATCTAGCTTCATCTAACCATATTGATGATTAACTATATAATGTGATAATTGAAATGTTTAGAAAAGAAAATATTTCTGATTGCCAAAAATCTCTTTCAAAAGATGATACTCAAAAGCATATATAATAATACATCATAGAAGAATTAAATTATTCGTTTGTTGATAAGTAATAGAAGTTAAAAGATGTAACAAATAACATTACAAAAATTACTAATATTTTAAAAAGTATTTATGAACATGACTTTAATAAAAATGACTATTCCACAAAAATATACTTGGAAAGCAGACAAGAACTCATTCAAAATATATCGAAAAACAAAAAAATTATCTAATTTTTAAAATTTCTAGTTTCTCTCACATCTATAGATGAAAAATTTATATTAAGTGGATCAAACTCACTGAACTTATTAGTTGAAATGAAAGTTGATCTATCAAAACAAAGCTTTATAAATATTAGAATTAAAAATATTTCTATAGTTGGAGCAAATTTTATAAGAAGCAATTTGAGTGGGTCTGAATTTGACAATGTTGATATAAGCGGAATAAATTTAAATGGGGCTTTACTATTAAACTGCAAATGGAAGAACATAAGGATTAATGAATTACATCATTTAAATGGTCATAGTAGTTATGTCAAATCAGTATGCTTTTCTCCTAATGGTAAAATATTAGCATCTGGAAGTAATGATAATTCGATTCGTTTATGGGATTTTAAGACAGGACAGTAAATATCGTAATTAGATGGTCACAGTCAGGGAGTACTTTAATTATGCTTCTCTCCTGATGGTATTTTATTAGCATCTAGTAGTGATGATAAGTCTATCTGTTTATGGAATGTTAAGACAGGATAATAAAAGATAAAATTTGAGGGTAATTGTAATACTATCTATTCAATATGCTTCTCTCCTGATGGTACCACATTAGCATCTGGTAGTGATGATCAGTCTATCTGTTTATGGGATGTTAAGACAGGACAATTAAAACATAAATTAGAAGGTAATAGTTTTGGAGTCCTTTCAGTATGCTTTTCTCCTGATGGTAAAACATTAGCATCTGGAAGTAATGATAATTAGATTCGTTTATGGAATGTGAAGACAGGACAATAAATATCGTAATTAGATGTTCATAGTCAGGGAGTACTTTCATTAAGCTTCTCTCCTGATGGTATTTCATTAGCATCTGATAGTGTAGATAAGTCTATTTATTTATAGGATGTTTTGGCAGAACAATAAAAATCTCAGTTAATAGGTCATGGTGATAGTGTAAATTCAGTATGTTTCTCTCCTGACGGTAGTACATTAGCGTCTGGTAGTTTAGATAAGTCCATCTATTTATGGGATGTTTTAACAGGATAATACAATACTCAATTGATAGGTCACGGTGATAGTGTTAATTCGGTGTGTCACTCTCCTGACGGTACTACATTAGCCTCTAGTAGTGGGGATTAGGTTATTTGTTTATGGGACGTTAAGACTGGCTAATAAAAATCGATATTTATGGGTCATGGTGATAGTGTCAATTCAGTTTGCTTCTCTCCTGATAGTAATACATTAGCATCTGGTAGTTCGGATAAGTCTATCTGTTTATGGGATGTCAAGACAGGAAAATTAAAATTGGAATTATATGGTCATATTTCTGGAGTGTTATCAGTATGCTTCTCTCCTGAAGGTAATACATTAGCATCTGCCAGTTTTGATAAGTATATCTGTTTATGGGATGTAAAGACAGGACAATTAAAATCTAAATTAATAGGTCATGGTGAAAGTGTGAATTAAGTATGCTTCTCTCCTGATGGTATAACATTAGCAACTGGAAGGTATGATAATTCTATCCGTTTGTGGAATGTAAAAACAAGAAAAAAACATTCTAAATTTGATGGTCATAGTCATGGAGTACTATCTGTGTGCTTTTCTCCTGATGGAACCACGTTAGCATCTGGTAGTGTGGATAATTCTATCCGTTTATGGGATATTAAGACAGGATAATAAAAATCTAAATTAGAAGGTCATAGGAATACTGTCCGATCAGTGTGCTTTTCTCCTGACAGTACAAAATTAGTATCTGGTAGTCAAGATAATTCAATTCGTTTATGGGATGTTTAGAATTTACAACACTAGACTAGAATGAATGGACAGAGTTTTTTTATTGAACCACCATTTATTTTATCTGAAGCCGCCCTATCAGCATAAGATATTAATTCTATGAATATTAATGTAGGACAATAAATTTCCTTCGATTAAATATATAAAGATATTTCTAGTACTTTTTCATAAAGGGGTATTATTTTTATATATGATTATAGTAGACAAATATATTACAATTTTACTGATTTCTTAATAGCCAATATTTTAAGCAAAAGGCGCCTTAATTCTCAAAGGAGAATTTATTAATCAAGCAGGAATTGATTTAAGATAACTATTGAAATAAAGAGGAAGTTATATTTTGGAAAGCTAAATAGAATTTAAATAAAAGTAAAATTGAATATTGTAAAGAATCTTTATAAATATAAAATATCATTTATTTTAAGACATATATTTTTTTGATTTTTTGGTTCCAAAAAATACATCATAAAGGCTTTTGCTATAATTTCTCATGTTTATAAGAAAAATATGATTCTGATCAATATATCAAGGAATAAACTAGATAGAAATGCTCAAATCCAACGTATTATTATTCTTAAAATAAATCATATTTTCATTCTAATTTATTTCAATATTCTCACGAAGACTATATTGATATTTAAATAATGCCAATTTTTTAATCAAAAAATATCATCATTCTTTTTTAACATTTTCATTTAAAAATCAAGTTCTAATTTGCTACTACTATTATTTTTGAATTATTATTAGTTCCAATCGCATTAACTATATGTCAGTTTGTAATTAGTACAAAATTAATATGTAAATTTTATACTTTCCCTATTATCTTATATTTGAATCTCTATTTTAATAATTTTTTCTGTAAATTTTAGTTAAATTAATACTTCGATAGAAAATTAGTATGTTTAAATTAAATACTGGGGTTAGCTTTACTTAATTTAGAATTAAGACTAAATAATTATGTAAATCCTTGATCTTTATAATTAGGATTAACTCATTCCTTTTCTATTTAATCGAAAAATATTTTGTAATAAATATATATATACGTTCAAGTATTTGGAATTTAAAATTTATTTATTAATAATATTTGAATTATTTCTTAATTAAGGTTTTTATTGTAATATATAATCAAATATAAAGTTTATTTTCTCTATTGAATCTTATTTAAATTTAAAAGAATTTAAAACCTGTAACCTAATCTGTATTAAATTGAATATATATAGAAAAGTACTAAATAGATATCTATAAAAGTATGAAAAGTAAATAAAAGATTATATAAACTAGTTTAGACAGTGACTAATAATTGAATTGATTGAAGAGTCACAAAATGCAGTTGGAAACTACATAGAACATAGAGAAAGTAAGGAATGAATCAATATTTTAATATTTGATGATTTTGTAAATAACCTATTAGGAATAATATCAGAAATTATTATGGAAAAAGATACTCAATCAGAGAAGAATAATTAAAGAATTGCTCAATAATATTATTTTGTTCTGCTTATAATTTCTTATTCATAGTTAATGGTTCTTTTGAAATTTAGTTTTCTTGCTTAATTGTATTTCAAGTTTATGTCGAGGCCTCTCATTATTCCTGAAAGTAGATTAATATTAAATTGTGCAAGTAGTATTCTCTAGGTGTATTGACAGGCAGGATAGGATATTTTTCCATAAAATAATTATAATATTTGAATTTCAAATGTTTGAAGATAAATTGATCGTAACATCTTAACTTAGTATTTGTAAAAATAAACAAAAAAAGATGAAGATCTGAAATACCCTTCATTTGAATATCAAAACTTTATGTCTTTAATAAGTATAAATTTCATTACTTTATAGGAATTTAGCAATCCATAAATTGTGCATTTTAAAAATCTCCTTTGTGAAAGTAATAGATTATAGCATTTATAAGCCTACCAGAATCATCTTAATCTTTCTTTTTTTTTTTTAGGCAAACATAATTTTTTGTATAATTCTCTTTCGAATTTAATAAATCTAATCTACAAAAGATTATCAAAAATTTTATTTAAAATTATCATATAAGATTTAGAAATCAACATTCATAATTATAAATAAAAGCAATTCATTATTTTTTTTCATGTAATAGAATTCTATATGGTCTAACATCTATTGAATTATTCACTACAAAATATTATTTTTTTATCATATAATCTCCTCCCTATCTTATTTTTTTTGGATTTACTCTTGACATAAGGATTGGAGCAAATTATTTATTACAAACTTAAACGTAATTAGCATATCCATCCTTTATACAGACATTATAATCATTTGAGAAATAAATTCCATTTCCTACTTTCACTGTTTTTCCAAATTCATCTATACAATCATTCAAAGCACAAGCATTACCTTAACCAGGTATTAAATTATTTTAAATAATTGAATTAACAGCATAATTTTTGATACCATGATACATAATTCTCCATTCATTAGGATTGCCATTCATTTATATCCAATCTTAATTGTCTCCATATTTTTTAACATTTAACCCAAACCCAAAACAACCTTTAGGGAAATAATAATCGTATCTATTATTAAAAGGTCCTCTTTATTCTTTCTCCTTAAAGCCTTCCCAAGTCATATTGTATTGAGGGTTGAAATCATTTAAAGATATAGCTACTTTTGATCTACTATTCGCTTTTGCTAAATCAAAATATGCTAGATATTCTATTATTCCATTGCAATATTCATTTAAAAAGGTTTATGCATTTGGATTATTTTAAATTTCTAATTAAATTTCTTCAATAGTTTTTCCCTTAATTTAAAAACTAATTTCAAAGCTTCCCTTTGATACTCCTAATATTTCAATTTAATCAAATGGAATTTTAAGTGAGGTTGATAGTTTTCCCTTAAATTCTATCAAAGTTTGTTCTAATAATTACTCATTATTAACTATTTTATCATAATCAAGATCTGTGTTTCTAACTTTAATACAAGATTAATCTTAGCCAAATACTCTTATAATTGAATCAAATCCAGCTGAATATATTGAATTAATTTTCAATACCTCTCAATTTTAATCTCTTAATAAGGATTCTTTTAAAACATAAAACAGCAGATCAGGATTTGAAATTTCAATATTCTAATTTATATGAGGAATTGATTTTGCATCACCTGACTCTCTTAATTTTGTTAATAGTTTTTACTAATATTCATTCTTATAGTATTGTTTTTAATCATTTGTAAGATTTTTATCATTATCTATTTTATTAATTTCTTCATTTAATATTACTATTTATTCTTTAGCAGGTTTTGATGTAATTATTTATGATTTTGTTGTTTATTTTATTATAGATTATAAGCGTTACTTCTACTCATCAACTTGAGATTTACTTCCTTATTAATCCATTTAATAATAATGATAAAAAATACTAAAAATGATGATAATTAATAAATTATTGTAATAGAATTAGAAATATTTAATTGATTAAACCGATTATTAATTAGAGAATACATCTTAAAAATAATAGACTCTTCAAAGTAACTATCATTTGGTACTTAATTTAAATATTGATTCGTTTTTTTTTCCAAAGTAATTTATTATTTATTTCAAGCAGTATGGATAGAAATAAGTATATCTTAAAAAAGGAGTAATTTATTAAACATAATTGTTATGTTGAAAGATCAAAAAAAAAATAAGGATATAGTTTAAAACTATACTTGAAATTTTATAAAATAGTAGATCGTTAATCTAATTTTAAGTTCTTACTTGTTATTCTAAAATTTCATAATATTATTAAGGTCAAATTACAGTATATAATTATTAAATTGATATTCTCTATTAAATTGTATAAAATTTTCAAGACAATAATTATATAATACTATCCTTAATTGAATATATCTAAAACATTGGAAGTGATTTTGGATTTGATTCAATTAAAAATAATAATTTTCGAAGCATACATCACTAAATTACTTTATCTTCATATTCTCTTAATTATTCAGAAGTTTTACTTCACCATCTATTTCTAGGTCTGTATAATTTCTAATTTCAAAGAGCATGCTATGAAGAGATTTTTATTTATAAATTCCAATATTAATGATTTATATTTAACTAATGTTAGAAAATAATTAATATGCTTGACTTCCTTTCAAATTTTTACTCAATAATTGAATTAAAAATGAAGTGTGTTCCTATTTTGCAATTTTTATCGCCAATCTAAATGAAGATGTTTGTATTATTTATCTGTTAAATAAGGTCATTGTAATATATAATCAAATCTTTATGTCACAACAACATTTTAACACCATTTAAAAATTATAAATTAATTCAAATAGCTATAGCACAAATGAATATAATAATATACTTCAATTTAAAATCAATAGTTGTTACTCAATTATAAACAATAATTACTCTCAGAAATACCCATTTATTTTCTGCTCATTTAAAACAAAATTAATGAAGTCTATCATGATTGTTTTACAAAAGAAATAGAAAGTCAATAAAGTTAAATTAACTATTGGAAATTGAAATAATCTCAAATTAGAATTTGAACAAACAAATGCATACATTATTACAAAAATCTAAATTGCTATTTAAATTATATATTGCAATTGACCTTTAATATAGTGTAATAGTAGCTTCAATTTGTAACGATATTTTTATTAAATGAATTATTCATTTTTTTAATAAACTTCTGAAAATTAGAATGAATCAATAAGAATATTAAATAATTTTTAATTGATAGTTTTGTTAATTAATTGTAAAATATATCTATACATAAGGTTAGCTTTCCTTTATAAAGTTAAATTAAAGAACGAAAAGATTATTCTATAACTTAAGTCCATTCCTATTGATAAAAATAACAGAATATTCTAAGTATTTATTGAAAAATAAAATGGAAATATTTTACTTTTTATAATTTTAAGTATATCATCTATTAGAGATAATTTGATAGTTAGGGATTTAATATCTTAACTATTTTGATTTTTTAATTATGATTGTTATTTTGTTTCAAAGTCTCAATAATTCGCATATATTGAAATTCAATTAATAGTAATTTAAATTATTTGCTTTATCTGTTGTTAAATTATTGAGAAGTAATACACACCATTTCTATTTAACAGTTAATATGCTTGTAATTTAAGCGTTAGATATCTCTGGTAATATATCCAGGATTTCGAATACTCCAAGGATTTCAAACAATCAATGGATTCCAAAGATGATGAATATGATTCAAAACATAAAATATTTGGATTCTTCTTAAAATCATTAAAATTATTCAAATACATTATAGAGGGAAGAAACTTATATTTATTGTTTTAATTGTTCAATAGTTATAAAAGACATCAATAATAATTCATTCTCTAACTCAATCTTACCTAAAATAAGTTTTTGGTCTCTAAATTCATTTTCACTTTTTCTATGTTTGATATCTTATTAAACTAAACTGCATTATTTTTAATATTTTTGCCAAATAAAAATTCATCCATTTATTTGGTAATTTGTCTCTNTGCAATTTTTATCGCCAATCTAAATGAAGATGTTTGTATTATTTATCTGTTAAATAAGGTCATTGTAATATATAATCAAATCTTTATGTCACAACAACATTTTAACACCATTTAAAAATTATAAATTAATTCAAATAGCTATAGCACAAATGAATATAATAATATACTTCAATTTAAAATCAATAGTTGTTACTCAATTATAAACAATAATTACTCTCAGAAATACCCATTTATTTTCTGCTCATTTAAAACAAAATTAATGAAGTCTATCATGATTGTTTTACAAAAGAAATAGAAAGTCAATAAAGTTAAATTAACTATTGGAAATTGAAATAATCTCAAATTAGAATTTGAACAAACAAATGCATACATTATTACAAAAATCTAAATTGCTATTTAAATTATATATTGCAATTGACCTTTAATATAGTGTAATAGTAGCTTCAATTTGTAACGATATTTTTATTAAATGAATTATTCATTTTTTTAATAAACTTCTGAAAATTAGAATGAATCAATAAGAATATTAAATAATTTTTAATTGATAGTTTTGTTAATTAATTGTAAAATATATCTATACATAAGGTTAGCTTTCCTTTATAACTTAAGTCCATTCCTATTGATAAAAATAACAGAATATTCTAAGTATTTATTGAAAAATAAAATGGAAATATTTTACTTTTTATAATTTTAAGTATATCATCTATTAGAGATAATTTGATAGTTAGGGATTTAATATCTTAACTATTTTGATTTTTTAATTATGATTGTTATTTTGTTTCAAAGTCTCAATAATTCGCATATATTGAAATTCAATTAATAGTAATTTAAATTATTTGCTTTATCTGTTGTTAAATTATTGAGAAGTAATACACACCATTTCTATTTAACAGTTAATATGCTTGTAATTTAAGCGTTAGATATCTCTGGTAATATATCCAGGATTTCGAATACTCCAAGGATTTCAAACAATCAATGGATTCCAAAGATGATGAATATGATTCAAAACATAAAATATTTGGATTCTTCTTAAAATCATTAAAATTATTCAAATACATTATAGAGGGAAGAAACTTATATTTATTGTTTTAATTGTTCAATAGTTATAAAAGACATCAATAATAATTCATTCTCTAACTCAATCTTACCTAAAATAAGTTTTTGGTCTCTAAATTCATTTTCACTTTTTCTATGTTTGATATCTTATTAAACTAAACTGCATTATTTTTAATATTTTTGCCAAATAAAAATTCATCCATTTATTTGGTAATTTGTCTCTTAGTTTGATCATTAATCAATACTCTATTATATGATTAATTATAGGCTTAATTTTATGCATATAACATATCTAATTAGGAAATTAGATTAAATATTAATTAAATATGTAAGCATCATTTTAGATTCGTAAATTCCTAAAATTTATCTAATATATTTTTGATAACAAACTTCTAAAATGAATTATGGAATATTCAATAAAAAACATACATTATAAGGGAGAAAATAAAAACTCAATATTTTATTATATGTTTTAGTTTTCTTTCTTGGACATAATATTATACTTGGTTGTAATCTTGGCATTGCTAATTTTAAAACCATTATTCCAAATATTGTTAATGAAGATGAAATATGGAAAGAAAATGTTTATGATTTATTTTCCATTGCTTGGAAGAGGCATACAATTTAAAAATTAGATTTAGAAATACAATGACCTTTATCATTTCGAAAAGATGATTCCCTAAGAGAATCCTGAAGTTGAAATGATTGTGAGCAATTCATTTATGGGATTGACCCATGTATTTTTGAAACCTGATCATATTAAATTCATCCTCTAGAATTAAGATCTTTATAAAAAGGCAACAAAAGTATTTTTGTTTGGTGACAAAATGTTTTACAAAGGTAAGGTTTATTTATTCTTATAATTAGGTTTGGTATTCCAAGAGGGAGATGAATGGAAATTGGCTAGAAATGTGCTTTCAAAATCTTTTGAATTCGATTAGCTAAGAGCAAGAATACCATTAATAAAACGACTATGTGAAGAGAAGTTCTAATCAGTTCAAGAGAATGAACCTATTAATATTATAAACATATCAGGTAACATAGTTGGAGAAGTGATTACCCAATCCTTCTTTAGTCAAAGTTTCAAGGATCTAAACGGGAAAACATTCTTATCTGAATTAGTGAATGTTTTGGTAAGCATCATCTCACAGTACAGAGAAGCACCATATCGATGCATATCAAGAGCCTTTATTTTTGGAGAATCGGATTATCCCGATTGGACCTTATCTAGTGTTGAAAAGTAGCTTTTAGCAAGACTTCAAAATATTAAAGAAATCTTGAGGGTATCAATAAAAGAAAGATAATAAATGTAAAATAAACCAGCTGACTTTTTAACAGCATATATTAATACAATATGTAAATAATAGATATTCTAACTTAGAACAAAATCCAAATTTGACTGAAGAACATGCAATCCAATAATATATAATGTTAATCTTTGCAGGTATAGATACAACAAGTCATCTATTTGGGGCATGTTGTTATGCTTTGTCTATTCATCCTGAATGGTAAAAAAAATTGAGAGAAGAAATTCAAAAGTAATATGGAACATATGAACAATTAAACAACGAAAATATTAATTTATCAAGCTTTATTACAAATTTTATTAATGAATGTATGAGAATGTATACTCCTGTTCCATATTTTGTTGAAAGGGAAGTTAAATAAGATCATAAGGTTGGAGAATACTTTTTGAAAAAGAATTCATAAGTTTAATTATGTATATTACCAAATAATTATGATGCAAAGAATTTCCCAGATCCTTTTAAATTTAACCCTGACAGGTGGAATAAATAGATTATGGATCCATTTATATTTTTACCATTTTCAACTGGAAAAAGAAATTGTATAGGTTAACATATGGCATTAATGGAAGTAAAATGCTTATTGATTTATTTATTGATGAATTTTGAAGTGAGTCTTTCAGGTGAAAAACAAGTTTGGTCTATGAAATTTGTCTATACAATTCAGGATGACAAATTCATCTAATTGAAAAGAATTGCAAAATGATCTAGAATCATATCATATAATGTTAAAATAAAGATTATCATTATTCTAGATGTCTTCATAGATTATTCAAGTTTTTCTCTTAGTTTATGGAATCCTTTCTATTATTACTCATAAATATCTTAGACTAATTAATCAAGTGAGGTTTCTCTTCCATGACTTAATTTGTACATTCTCTTTAAGTGACCTTTAATTATGATTCCTCAATAGATTAAGGATCTTGGAAATTTATAACCTTTTTGCCTACACACTATTACAGATATTTTCATAATTATATATATATATAAATAGGATATAGTTGGTTGATTTGAAATTTTAGTTCTAAAGAATATCTAGCTGATTATTAATCATTCTGTTTTCTTACTAATTTTGCAGTTTCTATAATTATTATTTATCTTAAGAGTATTATAATAACAATTCTCTAAATTTTTATTGAGAGAGTTAATTAGAAACATTTTCAAAGAAGGTTGTAAATCATAATAGTACTAATTTATGAATCAACTATTGATAAATAATTATTTATTTTGTACATGAATGTGAATATAGCTCTCTATTGATTCTTTTTATGAAAATCAAACAGATTTTCCTTTATATTTATTAATAATTGATTAAACTAAATCAAATGACAGATATTAAAATAGCATAAATTATTTGATCTGATAACACTCTAAGTTAATACTACGTTTAAAAAGGAAAATATATAACAAGTATTTGGATAAACTTTATCTTTATTTGATTATATGACGGTCATTTATAGAGCAGAGCCCTTTAATTAATTCATCCTCACATTATAATTTATTGTTTTATTATTTAACTTGATATGTAAAAAAAGCATTGATAGTTTATAATAGGTAGAAAATTCCTTAAAACGACAGCCTAAAGTGAGTTTTAATTAAAAATTTCTGTTTTGCTTGTATGAAAGCTCTTCGAGCTATTAAATTTAATTTATAACTGTGAATAATATTCAATCATATCATTAGGTGATTTCAAATTTATAAAGAAACTCTTTAATAATTACTTTAATGATTATTTATAAGACATTTAAAACTCAAAATTTGGACATTATATAATATCAGTCAAATAATATTCTTAATTCTTTTCAAATATTTGATTTTTAATTATCTGATGATTTTAAATATTTAGCAATTTTTGATTAGATAATCAGAAATTAGAAAACATAAAGGCTAGTAAAAGTATAAGAAAATACTTTTTTGGATTAAACTATTTGAAATTCATTCATGCATAATTCTTTTTTGAAGATAGTTGATAATACAGTAATTTTTATTATATAAACTATCATTTTTTCTAGAGATTCTAATTTTCTAATCTGTTAAGTGAATTTGGATGGTTATTTAGTAATCTCTATTTAAAAAAAAGAAAGAATACATCTTTAAAAATTAGGAGGAATAATTATTTTTTATTTTTTAAATGGATAATGGATATAATTAATAGTATAAATATATAAAAACAAGAAAATGTTTCATGTCAATTCAGAGTAGATTATTATTCAGTAAGAAATTGAAATTAAATTCAATTTTGATCTCATCTTAGATTTCAAATCATTTTTATTGAAATTCACCTATATTAGCACAGAATTATTCTAAAATAAGATATAGGTTGAAAATTGTAAAGTTATTAATATAAAAAAATATATATAGATAAAAAAATATAATAAATCATTACTTAAAACCACCTTTCAATTAAATAAGATAATATCCAAGGAACAGAATATACTGTAAGATTAATAATAGTGGGAAAGTAGTCAGAAGAATTGAAAATCTATTTGGAAATTCTGGTAATATTTACTAGATGAACAAGAAATTTATGAAAATGTATTTTTTAACACAGAAAAACCAATTAATCATTATAAATTAAAATATAGACTTCTCAAGAGGAACTACTAAAGAAATATCTTATTAGGTTTTTTAATTAGTTTATATTATGTAGTCAGTAAGTTTAAATCGCATGCTAAAAATTAAATGAATCTAATATTTCAAATTATGAGATAAATGAGTATTTTACTTTTTTCTCTTTTAAGATATACTTAACTATATTGCCAATCTCATCGATTCTTATTTTTAATTGATGGGAGAGAAAATAATAATTATCATAATACATCTTTACTATTTATCTGTAATTTTTGATACTTAAATATAAAGATTAAGTAATCTTTTGCAATTTAGTTAAAAGATTTAAGATGAGACAATTATTGCTGACTTATTTATATTTTAAAATTGTAATAAATACACTAGAAAACTTTACATAAAAATTTTAAGAAGATAAAATAAGTTAATAGTGAAGTTGTGTTAACAAAGATTATGATGCATTCAAGTAATAAAACTAGAAAGTATTTATCTATTAATAAAGAGTATCTTGTCTTATGAATAAATTTATAGTAATTATGTATAAAATTAATAAATTTAAGTATATTGAATTCTTTTGTATAATACTCTCCTTCTATTCATTTACAATCGAGATTAGTCAATTTTATCATTGTATTTAAAAAAGTCAAATAAATTATAGTTTCAATCTTATTTTCATATATAAATTGGGAAAAACATCTATCTTTCTTTAATTTATTTTATCTTTTTTTGAAACTATTACTCTCTTTAATAAACTAATTTCCTTTATAGACAGCTAGCTCTTTTTAATATTTTTCAAGTGATTTATCAATACAATTTAACTTATAAGTGTATGATTATATTTATATAAATTATTTGTTTTATAATTTTCACTTGTTATCTATCGTAGTTATAAATAATAATTAAAAAATTGAATTATAAATTTATAAATTAAAAAAAGACCTTAATTTATAACTTATATTTGATTCCATTTCATTATATCAAATAAGGATTTACTTTTTAAATATTTCTTATAATTAAATTGCCCCTACGAAATCAAAATAAGTTGACTTTAATTGGTAAACAGAAATAAAAGGTTGTAATTAAATTTAACTAAAAGTTTATTCTTGAAATATTTAAAAGATGTTATTCTTTAAAAATGGAATTATAGAGCTCAAATTTAAANAAGTAGTCAGAAGAATTGAAAATCTATTTGGAAATTCTGGTAATATTTACTAGATGAACAAGAAATTTATGAAAATGTATTTTTTAACACAGAAAAACCAATTAATCATTATAAATTAAAATATAGACTTCTCAAGAGGAACTACTAAAGAAATATCTTATTAGGTTTTTTAATTAGTTTATATTATGTAGTCAGTAAGTTTAAATCGCATGCTAAAAATTAAATGAATCTAATATTTCAAATTATGAGATAAATGAGTATTTTACTTTTTTCTCTTTTAAGATATACTTAACTATATTGCCAATCTCATCGATTCTTATTTTTAATTGATGGGAGAGAAAATAATAATTATCATAATACATCTTTACTATTTATCTGTAATTTTTGATACTTAAATATAAAGATTAAGTAATCTTTTGCAATTTAGTTAAAAGATTTAAGATGAGACAATTATTGCTGACTTATTTATATTTTAAAATTGTAATAAATACACTAGAAAACTTTACATAAAAATTTTAAGAAGATAAAATAAGTTAATAGTGAAGTTGTGTTAACAAAGATTATGATGCATTCAAGTAATAAAACTAGAAAGTATTTATCTATTAATAAAGAGTATCTTGTCTTATGAATAAATTTATAGTAATTATGTATAAAATTAATAAATTTAAGTATATTGAATTCTTTTGTATAATACTCTCCTTCTATTCATTTACAATCGAGATTAGTCAATTTTATCATTGTATTTAAAAAAGTCAAATAAATTATAGTTTCAATCTTATTTTCATATATAAATTGGGAAAAACATCTATCTTTCTTTAATTTATTTTATCTTTTTTTGAAACTATTACTCTCTTTAATAAACTAATTTCCTTTATAGACAGCTAGCTCTTTTTAATATTTTTCAAGTGATTTATCAATACAATTTAACTTATAAGTGTATGATTATATTTATATAAATTATTTGTTTTATAATTTTCACTTGTTATCTAGTTATAAATAATAATTAAAAAATTGAATTATAAATTTATAAATTAAAAAAAGACCTTAATTTATAACTTATATTTGATTCCATTTCATTATATCAAATAAGGATTTACTTTTTAAATATTTCTTATAATTAAATTGCCCCTACGAAATCAAAATAAGTTGACTTTAATTGGTAAACAGAAATAAAAGGTTGTAATTAAATTTAACTAAAAGTTTATTCTTGAAATATTTAAAAGATGTTATTCTTTAAAAATGGAATTATAGAGCTCAAATTTAAACAATGGATTTGTTAAAACAATAATTGAAAATTGATACTTCAATTTATGTTAAAATTTCAAATAATGAAAATATATATGTTTTTAATTTTATACGATATTAGTTATCATGAAACTTTTATTATTACATTTTTATGATTATATTTAAATATATATTATATTTTACTACAATTTAATATTATTTTAATGGTTGCCACAATTAAACTTAATTTATCTGAAAATACTAAATACTATTTTAGATAAAATATTATCACAAAGTACTATTTTTTATTGTTCTTATTTATTATTAAAATTTTAATATCGATATTCAAAAATTGATTATTTATGATATTTGCATTATTTTTATGCCCTTTCTTTACAGCTTAATATTCGTTCCCAAATATTACACTATATATGGATAATTTGAGTTTTAGAAAAATAATTACAATCAATGAAGCTGAGTTATCTGAAGAGAGTTGTTTCACTTTTGGAATATGGTCAAAATATAGTCCATTAAATATAAAAAGTTTTTAAGATCAAATTGGAATGTTTGAAAGTAATTGCTTCTAATTAATAAATGTAATGGATTATACAACATAGACTTTAAATTTTATTTATTATGTTTGTCTTGATTATTCTTCTAAAAGAATTGTCAAAACCATATAGTTTTTAAGTGATCAAGATAAAACAATTCAATTTGAGAAATATATAGATCCATCTCAATATGAAAATATTTGGTATTAATTTTAGTTGATTTCATGGCCAATATTGAAGATAGTAAAATTAATCATCATCTAATCAGATATAATAATCTTCAAAGAAATACTAGCTAATATTGAACATTTCAAAGAATAACAACTATTATTAATTTTTGGAGAGAACTTGGAAGTAAAGAAATCTAAGATTCATTAGATTGAATAAGGGATGATACTCTCTTTATTTCCAGGATAAATTGTTGTATATGATCCTTTGATAGAAGTAATCCCTGTATCATTTGACTTTGAATAATAAATAATTGAAGGGTTTTAAAGTCTAAGATAATGTAATTGTTATAACAATGAATAAGTGAACTTAGAAGACATTGACTTAAATATTCTTGATTAAAAGATTTATATTTCTGAAAATGTTAATTGTGATTATTATGCTTTAGGTGGTTGGTTAAGGGTATAAGATATAATTTAGAAAGATGAAGAATTTTCTTATTACTTTATGAAAATGACAACATATTTAGGATAAAAGCAAGAATTCATTGAAAATTTAGCATCATTCCAATTAGTTTATTCAATTTCTAATATTTAAGCAAAAATAATAATAATAACATATAATTTTGATTTTCCTATTGTTTCTAAAGAGATTTTGGATGATTCATAAAATATAGAGACAGTATTTTAGATTTAAAGAGATATTATTACATCATGGCATTACTTAATTTTAGAATTAGATGATAATTAACTAAATATTAAAATAACTTTTTATGATTATTATAATAATAATATGTAATCTTATGATGCTTAAGTTAAAGTAAGATAATTTCATAATTGTTAATTTAAATTAAGATATGGAAATATAATATAGAATGAATTAAATTATTTAAATATTGCAATAAGAAATTTGTAATTTGCTAATTGCAAATATGATTAAAGGATTAAGAAATGTCATTATAGTTGTTTAGATTGTGATGGTTAGGGTAAGACACATTGTTTGTCTTGTTCAGTTGATTCACAAAGGATATATCTACCTGAATTTAAGCAATGCATTTGTCCAATTAATTCAATAGATTATGATAATAAATGTATCACTTATAAAGATTCTAATCTTTAGTTAAAAATTCAATAGAATATTGATATAAAATGTAAAACAGGATATTTTGAATTAGAAGGAGATTGTATAAGATGGTATAAATATATTATTTAAAAATATTTAGTCCTTCAAGAGTAAAAGATGATTATATTACATGTTTTGAATGTTTTTAAAAAGTAAAGGATTGGGCTTAAGTTTCTATTTGTTAAACTATACTTTAAATTCCTTAATTATTTTAACATTTAAATACTATTATCTTAATGAATTCTTTATAGTATTATCATGATGGATCTGATTTAATATTATGTGAGAATTGTTTATTATTAAATGATAAATTTTAAGAATTGCAAAATTCAAATGGTATTTATTAATTATTTTTATAAAAATCTATGAATTTTAAATCATTTTGTTTATAGAAGATTGAATTTGATAATGAAAAAAGATGTACACTTTGTAATATAATTGATTGTGTCAGATGTGGTATTGATGTTGAGAAAATAATATGTTTATAATGCTAATAGAATTTTGTATTAATTAATGGAATTTGTAAATTATAAACTAAAACATATCTTTATCAATCTTGCCGACCTCCATATTATGCATCTTTTAATAGAGAGTGTAAGATATGCACTATAAATAAATGTTTATATTGTTTTGAATATTATTAAAATAATGGATAAGATTTAAGTACTCTAGAATTAATTGAATTTGCAATATTGGAATAAGAATTTAATTCAATAAAGATTGGTTGTATTTTATGTTAAGATGGTTATATTTTTAATTTTTCATTAGGAATATGTATAAATTAAGTACCAAGAATATAATATTGTTTAATATCTTATGTAAAATCATTAAAAGAAAAATGTATATTATCAAATTTGAATAATTTTCAAGTATCCAGAATAATTAATAATTGTGATAATTTCATTGTAAATTGTTAACAATGTGCATTATCTAATTATTAAATTGTATTTTGTATATAATGCAAAATTGGATATATATTATAAGATAATTAATGTTATATGAATGAGGAATTTGGATTGAATTATCAAAATGATATATGGGATTTATAAGTTTAAGCTTTTTTATTAATTTATAATCCAGAACATTATCAATATTTTTATTAATAAACAGAAGAATAGTATTATAAATGTGGTAAGTTATGTTTAAAATGCAGAAATTAAGATTTGTAATATTTTTGTGATGAATGCATCTTGGAATATATGGAAGATACAATTAGAATCTAGTATGGATTCTATTGTCCTATTTGTCCTCGTCTTTGTTAAGTTTGTACATCTCGTTCTCTACAAGAAATTAATGTAAATAAAATAATATATAATATTTTTAGTCTATGAATCCTTTTTTTTAAATTACAGAATCCAATTCTATATATACATAATAGTGTCTTTTACCTATTAAAGATCCTTTTATATTTCATGATCCTTATAATAAAACGACTTAATATTGTTTTGATGGTAATTGTCATAATGAATTTTAATTAAATAATTATTTGGATAGTTGCTTTTTTAGTAGATTTCCTAAAACTCTTTCATACTTCAATATTAACCAAGAGTATTTTAATCATATTGGCATAAATACATTAACTTTTAATTTGTTATTTTAAATACTTTTTGAACCCTGTTTAATAATGCCATTACTCAATCAAAGAGCATCATTAAAAAAATATATCTTTTTGTTATAAACTATAAAAATTAATTTAATATCATTAAATCCATTTTATTTTGTTTTAACAAATGGAATATAACTTGAAGATTATGATTCTGTATCTTTTATTAATTCTGGATTTATTTTTGTAGAAAATTTATAAGAAAATATTTTGTTGTTGAATAGCAATAATCATATTGATTTAACATTGATAAATTGTACAATATAGAATAGCAGTATCAATAATATCACATCAGTATTTTATGCATAAAAATTTGGATCAATAAATATATAAAATTTTACAATTATTAACACAATCATTAAAAATTCCTCATTGTTTAATTTATAATTATTATAATTTGAAGGATAAATGATTATTTCTTCCATATTTATTTAAAATTGCACTTTTATTGATTCCTAATTATTTTAATTTTCTAAAAGTTAATAAAATATCAAAATTCTAAATTTGACTTTAGATTCATGTATATTGTAAAATGCATCTTTATTTACTTTAAATATCAATTACATAGAAGAAACTAAATTTGAATTGAGAAACTTAATAATTTAACAAAATTATTTTTATAATTCAAACTTTCTTTTTTGTTCATAAATGATTCATATAGATTTAAATAATATTATCTTGAATTTTAATAAGATACATTATTCAATAATAATTGGATTTAGTTATAATTTATCAGCTAATTACATTAAAATTAAAGAAAATATATTTAATGAATCCTAATTTCTATAAACAATTGAAGTAACAAATGAAAAAAATACTAAATGTTCTATTTCTGAATTGATAGTGGAAAACAATGTATTACAAAATGTTAATTTAATTCATATATTTTCAAATTCTTATTCAAATAAATTGTAAATTTCTATTATATTTGTACAAATTTAATAAAACATTAGATCCGTTAATACAAATTAATCTAGTTAAATATTTAACATTAATAGCAAANCGACTTAATATTGTTTTGATGGTAATTGTCATAATGAATTTTAATTAAATAATTATTTGGATAGTTGCTTTTTTAGTAGATTTCCTAAAACTCTTTCATACTTCAATATTAACCAAGAGTATTTTAATCATATTGGCATAAATACATTAACTTTTAATTTGTTATTTTAAATACTTTTTGAACCCTGTTTAATAATGCCATTACTCAATCAAAGAGCATCATTAAAAAAATATATCTTTTTGTTATAAACTATAAAAATTAATTTAATATCATTAAATCCATTTTATTTTGTTTTAACAAATGGAATATAACTTGAAGATTATGATTCTGTATCTTTTATTAATTCTGGATTTATTTTTGTAGAAAATTTATAAGAAAATATTTTGTTGTTGAATAGCAATAATCATATTGATTTAACATTGATAAATTGTACAATATAGAATAGCAGTATCAATAATATCACATCAGTATTTTATGCATAAAAATTTGGATCAATAAATATATAAAATTTTACAATTATTAACACAATCATTAAAAATTCCTCATTGTTTAATTTATAATTATTATAATTTGAAGGATAAATGATTATTTCTTCCATATTTATTTAAAATTGCACTTTTATTGATTCCTAATTATTTTAATTTTCTAAAAGTTAATAAAATATCAAAATTCTAAATTTGACTTTAGATTCATGTATATTGTAAAATGCATCTTTATTTACTTTAAATATCAATTACATAGAAGAAACTAAATTTGAATTGAGAAACTTAATAATTTAACAAAATTATTTTTATAATTCAAACTTTCTTTTTTGTTCATAAATGATTCATATAGATTTAAATAATATTATCTTGAATTTTAATAAGATACATTATTCAATAATAATTGGATTTAGTTATAATTTATCAGCTAATTACATTAAAATTAAAGAAAATATATTTAATGAATCCTAATTTCTATAAACAATTGAAGTAACAAATGAAAAAAATACTAAATGTTCTATTTCTGAATTGATAGTGGAAAACAATGTATTACAAAATGTTAATTTAATTCATATATTTTCAAATTCTTATTCAAATAAATTGTAAATTTCTATTATATTTGTACAAATTTAATAAAACATTAGATCAGTTAATACAAATTAATCTAGTTAAATATTTAACATTAATAGCAAATCATTAGATTTAAACAATTTTTTTATTAGCAATAACTAAGAAATACGTATTTTTAATATTTATGATATTGAAGATATCAAACTCAAAAATTTAGTATTTGAAAATTAAATAATTAAATAAAAGGTCTCTATTTCAAAGAATTGTTTTTAAAGAGCAAATCTATAAAATTAATTAATTTTAATAATGGGTTTTGATAATATATCAATAGAAAAGTGTAAATTTATAAAATAATCCAGTATTGATGAATCACTTATAGAAATAGTTTCAAGTAAATCAAAATAATTACTTGGGTCAATATTCATAAAAAATATTGAATTTTATGGAAATCTCTTATAATTGTTGAATTAAGTTTAAGCTTTTTCACTATTAACCATACTTTCAGATAAATAAATTAATATTTTGATGGAAGATGTTAAATATTAAAATAATTTTATGCATGTATACTCTGAAAATGCCTTAAAATAATCAGCTACTTTATTATAAATTATTTCATCTACAAGTAATATTTCAATAAATTACTTGTATTGTATACAAAATTCCTTGACTAATTCATCCAATTCTTTTATAAGAATTACATCTAAATAATTAATACTAAGTAATATTTTAATCAAGAATCATAATATATTACCTTACAATATTTGGAAAGAATATTATTTTATTAAAATAGAGGATGAATAAAATTAAGAAGAAATTAATCTTTTTATAATGCAAATATATCATATTAAAACTATTGGAGGAGCAGCATAAATTGAAGTTAGTAAATTTGAATGTTAAAATTGTTATTTTCAAGATATATTATCTGCAAAGAGTTCAGTTTTTGATATTGTGACTTCTAATGAAGGAATTGTTGTTATTTCTAATTTTTCTGTTAATACAACAACATATAGTTTGGTTGAATAAAATGAAAGTTCTGGAAGCTTAAATTTAAATTCATAAAATAGTTTATTAAGTTTATATATTTCATCTGCAAGATTCTCAAATGTCATTAATAGAATGTCCACATCTATTTTCACAATCATACCATCATTACTTTAAAATAAGATGATTATCAAAGATATATAAATTCTAAATTGTATATCTTTAAAAAATTAAATATTTCATATATAATTCATTAAGTAGATTGTTGCCAAAAATTCTATTTCATTCATAAATATTAAGATAATATAAGATTAATAAGCATGGACAAACTATTTTTAAATGATAGGATTATTAAGTTTATCTGATATATTGGAAATAACTGGAGATTAAAATGCATTAATTTATTTAGAAAATTGTGATTTTTATATAAGGGATTTTATTGTTGAAGGAATACTTATTGCTCCTGTATTGAAATTAATTAATGTACAAAGTTTGGTGATCTTTAATTGTAATATAGAAAATATTATAAATATAAACACATAAAGTCTTATATAGATAAGTTAAATAGTTTAAAGTAAATCTTCAATATATTTAAAATAACTTAATATTAGAGGAACAAATGTATTTACATCAAATCTTTTAAAAAGTGTTAAACCTCCTAAATTTTAAATTGATTATTTTATAGTTGGATGTTTGATTATGAATAATTCTTTATTAATTGAATAGCCAGAAGATTATCTACAAATTAATATTATTTAACTGCAACAATCTAGCTACCAATAAAATTCAATCATAATGATAAAAAGCGAATCTAATTTAAGTAGTATTATATTAGAAATGATTAAATTAGAAAATAATAATTTTCAAACAATCTTAAATGGAATTATTTATTTTGATGTTGCTTTATTTTAAAAATTAAGAATCAATTAATTAGATTGTATTAATAATTTCATAAGAGAATATGGATGCCTTCATTTTTTAGGCAATAATTCAGTAATCTCTAAAATTTAAATTAAAGATTCTAATTTCATTAATAATAATGGAACCAAAGGAGTTGCAATTAAAGTTACAGATATATCACTAGATTTAAAAAATTGTAAAATTGCTTTTAATATGGCAAGTACTTAAGGTGGGGCTTTATATTTAAGAACTACTTCAAAATTATTTAGTATAATAAATACATAGATTATAAATAATTATGCTTAAGAAGGGGGAGGAATATATTTAGAAAAAGATCATAATTTAAATGCTAAAAACTTTAATAATTCTTATTTATAATTCAATATAGCATAAAATTATGGAAATAATCTTGTTGAAAATCCTACACATTTAACACTATTTATAAATTAAAAAGAAATGCCTTCCAAAATATAAGGAAATGATAATACATCCATTAGTATTCTAAAAATTGAACCATACAAAATAATTGAGTAAGGAATATTTATTGAGACATAATAACTCATGATTCCCAGTAATTAAGAAATCAATAACTACCAATTATTTATTTTAAATGGATCCTTTTATGTAAACTATATAAAAAATATGAGTTTGTTTTTTAAAAACAGTAAGGGAGAATTACTCTTTGATTTAATAAGTTCAACATGCGAGGTATCCAGTACAATTATAAGGAATGATGGTGGAGAAATAAGAGGATTAACAAAAAATCATACTTTATTCTATGAATCTACAAATAATAATTTTGAATTAGGCTCTTTAACTTTTACTCTTAATCCATATGAATAGGAATATAGTCACTTAAAAATTCAAGTCAATTGCAAAACTTTATATTGTTAAAATGAATTCAAATATATTATTAATGCAAAAAGTCTTAAATGTTAATTAGGTGAATTTTATATTGAAAATGGATGTTAAATTTGTAGTTGGACTTAAGGATTTTATAGTGTAACATATAATTCAATTAAATGCTCTATTTTTGATAAATAAAAATTTTTAAATATAACTTCTAATATGATTAATTTATATGAGGGTTATTGGAGACCAAACTATCTATCAGATTATACTGAATCATGTTATAAAAATCCTTTATTTTGCGAAGGAGGTTGGAGAGTTGGAGATAGTACATGTAAATTTGGACACAAAGGTGCTTTATGCGAAATGTGTGATGTATATAATGAGAAAGGGGATGGAAAATTTTTTAAAGATTAATAAAACTTTTCATGTTAGTCATGTTCAAAAAATGATAATATTGTTCTTCCTTTCTTATTTGCATTGTTTCAGTAAATATGATTTTTAAGTTATAGATCTTTATTATCAATAACATTGTCCTTGAAAAGCATCAATAAATCAAATTAATTATTTGCTTCATTGAAGATATTTATTAAGTTTAGTAAATTAATATTTAAATTGAGTTAAGGTAATAATTTATATTTATATTTAGATCATGAAGGAATATTAGTAAAAATGTTACTAAATCATTTATGGATATTTTCTGTTATATTTACTTTTAATATTAATTTTTCATTCTCTTTCATATTTATTGAATAATCTAGTAATAGCTTTTACTTTATGGTTAATAATTTAGATTGTTATTTATCTGATCTCCAAACTGAATTAATCTATATCAAAATCTTTGTTATTTTAATATTAATGCTATTGTAATTTAACTTGATACTTGCTCTATCACTTTTATATCATAGTATAACTAAAAATAATATGGATAGCAGTTTACTCTCAAATACATTACTTTATTTGTATGTTTTTAATTATGGAGGATTGATTAAAATGTATTATTTTAATTTTCAATTAGGCTATGTTCATCCTTGTCAGGTAGATAAATATCTAATATCAATTATATATAAGGAGATGTATCATTATTATATGATACAAGGGATCATTAATTATGGATATATTGTCTGATTTTACCATTACTTATTGTTTTTGGTTGCATCATACCTTTTTCTTTGTTTTTATTAACTTATGTGAAAAGAGATATTCTTCATAAGATTAAACTTAGAAGACATATTTGCTATTTATTTAATGAATACACTGATAATAATTATTATTGGGAATAGATAAAATTATTATAAAAAGCAATAATAATTTTAATAACAACTTATTTTGAAAATAATATTCTATTAAAGACATCATTATTGGGTCTATGTTTACTCTCTTATTAAGCTATAGCTGTTAAAAATAAACCTTATATTATTTCAAAATTTAACAATTTAGATTTGTCATCAGGATAAATTTGCTCAATTACTATATTTCTAGCAGCAATTAAATATGAAAGCTAGAATTTAAATAATTAATTTTTTTCAATATTCTTATAAATAATTATACTGATTTTATTAGTTAGACTTTGTTATCCATTTATTTAAAAAATTTTTACAGTTTATTACCAAAAATATAGTTTATAGATTTTGACAAAGATTTATGAATGTTTCAAATACTTAAATTTGAATAAATATTGTATTTAAATACTTGGAGATTATATAGTTAAAGAGGTAGAAAGAAAATAGAAATTGAAAAGAAATTTCTAAAAACTCAAAGAATATTTGATTCCTAAATCTAAAGCTCTATCATCAAATTATAGGTATGTATTTATTAACTAATTTTAGAACTGTTACTAGAAAGATTCCTCTTAGATCAATATCAAATAGTGGATAGTATTTTATTGAACCAATTAACGAATGATTTCATGAATGATGTTTAATTTAAATATTTTTTTATAAATCTATAAATTTTAATAGATATTTTAATTATCAATTATATTATACCAATATTTAAAAAGATATCAATAATTTATAATATTTATCTGAATTTACAAAGTTTCCCAAAAAATAATAATCTTAAAAAGTATTTTTATGTACTTGAACTTGTATCAGGAAAAATAGATATGTCCTTATTTGAATAAACTGAAAAATAAATATAGGCATATTAATTACAACTTTTATTAGATACACAATCAACATTATTACTTCTAAATTAAGATGATTCACAGATTTCAAATTTGTATTTCTCAAAAANTTAATTTTCAATTAGGCTATGTTCATCCTTGTCAGGTAGATAAATATCTAATATCAATTATATATAAGGAGATGTATCATTATTATATGATACAAGGGATCATTAATTATGGATATATTGTCTGATTTTACCATTACTTATTGTTTTTGGTTGCATCATACCTTTTTCTTTGTTTTTATTAACTTATGTGAAAAGAGATATTCTTCATAAGATTAAACTTAGAAGACATATTTGCTATTTATTTAATGAATACACTGATAATAATTATTATTGGGAATAGATAAAATTATTATAAAAAGCAATAATAATTTTAATAACAACTTATTTTGAAAATAATATTCTATTAAAGACATCATTATTGGGTCTATGTTTACTCTCTTATTAAGCTATAGCTGTTAAAAATAAACCTTATATTATTTCAAAATTTAACAATTTAGATTTGTCATCAGGATAAATTTGCTCAATTACTATATTTCTAGCAGCAATTAAATATGAAAGCTAGAATTTAAATAATTAATTTTTTTCAATATTCTTATAAATAATTATACTGATTTTATTAGTTAGACTTTGTTATCCATTTATTTAAAAAATTTTTACAGTTTATTACCAAAAATATAGTTTATAGATTTTGACAAAGATTTATGAATGTTTCAAATACTTAAATTTGAATAAATATTGTATTTAAATACTTGGAGATTATATAGTTAAAGAGGTAGAAAGAAAATAGAAATTGAAAAGAAATTTCTAAAAACTCAAAGAATATTTGATTCCTAAATCTAAAGCTCTATCATCAAATTATAGGTATGTATTTATTAACTAATTTTAGAACTGTTACTAGAAAGATTCCTCTTAGATCAATATCAAATAGTGGATAGTATTTTATTGAACCAATTAACGAATGATTTCATGAATGATGTTTAATTTAAATATTTTTTTATAAATCTATAAATTTTAATAGATATTTTAATTATCAATTATATTATACCAATATTTAAAAAGATATCAATAATTTATAATATTTATCTGAATTTACAAAGTTTCCCAAAAAATAATAATCTTAAAAAGTATTTTTATGTACTTGAACTTGTATCAGGAAAAATAGATATGTCCTTATTTGAATAAACTGAAAAATAAATATAGGCATATTAATTACAACTTTTATTAGATACACAATCAACATTATTACTTCTTAATTAAGATGATTCACAGATTTCAAATTTGTATTTCTCAAAAACTATAAATAATCAGTAGCTATATAAATTTCAAAAATCTGTATTTCTAAAATGTTCTACTAAACTTATTTTACATATTAAATTTTGTGAAAAATTATAAATCCTATATATAAAGTCCTGAACATTGTGATTTAAATTTTAATGATTTTTAAACCTGGAAATCATTTTAAAGTCCAATTCTGGAACTTTTATTCTAAATAAAAGACAAGACTTATTAGGATGCTGTTCAATAATTGGATTATTTAAAAAGGTTAATTCAATTATCTTTTATTTATCCTTCAGAATTTATATTTGCAAAAAAATTTGTTAGTAACTCTTAGATTTGAAAAAAAAAAATATTTATAGGTACAATTTCTCAATACATTTATAAAGCTATATTAAAATTAATAATTGCATAACTGTATATAAGTAGATAATTATAATAAAAGTAATTCTTTCTCTAAAGTATTTTAATAATATATAGTTATAACAATCAGACTATGCTAAAATCATTTAAAAAGTAGTAATAATCAAATTAATGAATGATTAATATAATGAAGAAGGAATTAAGCAACGGAAATTAATAACAAAATTATAAAATATCCTGTGAAATTTCCTATTTAAAACATTAAAAATTATAATGTAAAATATTAGGAAGTATAATCAAGGTAATTAATAGGTAAATAGGATATACATTTTAAGAAACTTATAAATAATATAAGTAATTTTTATTATGAATATTGGTGTGATTTGTTGTTTGATAATTTTGGTATTAAAAAGAATAATGGTTAGAATTAGAATCAGTAGTAACTTTATTTATTTTTGTAAGTGTAAAGATGGTAAAAGTTGGAAAATGGAATACTTTTTGTTCTTTTTATATGAAAAAGAGATTACAAAATTATGTAGCTTTATATATAAATTAAATGATGGAGGATAATATAATGAAAATAGCAAGAATAAGGTGAATGGATCGATGTATAAAAAAGATATGTAAACTTGAATTTCTATCTAATTTTGCTTATTAGTATCCTGAAGTGAATAAAAAAATTGAAATGTAAGAATATTTATGTATAAAAAGTGGATAGTTTGATAATAATGGACGAAAATAAGTATTTATGGATAAAATAATACAATAAGTATTTTTGATTTTCTAATATAGCTTTGTCATTCACTCTCAAAAACAGAATATAACTTATTCTTCAGATTAAGTATTTATGGTCAGAAATAATCAGATTTAATTAAGCCGATTGTTTCAATGACTAATTAATAAAATTTCCTAATATAAATTAAAAATTAAAAAAATCAATTCAACTTAAACTTGAGATTTAAATATTATTAATCTGCCTTCTAATTTCCTTGATCTCTTAAAAAGAGTGTCTGTATCTGAGGATCTTCAAATACAATTTAAGCTTTTCCATATTACTTATGTCATAATTATTGTTATGAGTAAACAAATCAATAGAATAGAATTGATCCTTGAATCTCTAATCCAGTTGATAATATTTGAAAATTCTTTCAATCAAAAATATATTAAGTAGTGAAATTTGTGAATAGAAGAAAACTTTTTAACCTAATATACTTATTAATTTTTATTATAAGAATATATATATGTGAGAATAGAGTTTATCAATTCAATGTATATAATATATAGAATCTCATCATAGTTTCTGTAAAGAAATTCTCGGAAACATTTTCGAAAATGTAAATGATTTTTTTAAGATCGCAATAAATTGATAAAATGTAATTTTTTTTCTATTTTGGATCATTATAACAAAAGCCATTCTAATAAGTATTATTTTCTTTGAGAAAAAAACATCATTTATTTTGTAATAAAAAGTTTTTTTATTTTAAGTTGTTTATAAGAATTTTAGTTTATCATCTCTCATAAGTCTTTAATTATGATTATGGTTTTATCTCAAATGCCATCTATTTCTGATAAGTGTTTATTTAATAATAAAATATATATTAAAGAAATAATAATTATTGTTTTCTCTAATAAAAATGAGTTCAATACTATAAATGCTAATTGATAATATTTAATATTGTAATTATTTTTGAGGTGTTTTTAAAAACTTAAGAATTTCATAAAAAAGATGTTAAATATATAAATTATTTAAATCAGAATGTAAGCACAAAATTATGTGATGATCAATTACAAATATATTAATTAATTATCATAATCATATATGTTTCAACTATTTAATCCATTTCTGTTCTTCTAATTAATGAGTCAAATTTCATTTTACTATTAATTATATGAACTAAATAACAACTTTCTTGAAAAGAGATAACAAGTTTTTTTTTAATACTTGAATATAAACGTATTCCAAATTCAATTAAATCATTTTTTAATTAAACCAGAAATAATTTTTAATTAAAATCTTAATAATTCTTAAATAGGATTAATTAAACTATATATATATATATATGAGCTCATTTAATAATCAGATGATGTATCTTTAAATTAAAATCATTACAAATACTATTATTCTAAAACAAAAATAGTATTATTCATCTTTAATATAAAAATTTAAAAATATAAGATTAGAATGAACAACTAAAACACAATTATTATTAAGAATTTCTTTAGTGCCTTTTATTTGTTTTTAGTGCTTAATTTAGCATAAAGTTCTTTTTCATATTACAAGGATGCGATTTTAACATCAGGTTTATAAGTGATAGAGGAATCAATTAATATAATAAATGAGGATGACAAAGATACTTATTGTATAGGATTCTGGAGTATGAATATTCCTTTACAAATTCCAATAAGAAATTTTGATATTGAAATACCATTTGATTTAGAGTTACCAGAAAATGGTGAATTATTATTGTTAGTCAAAGATTCTGATACTAATGATAATCTAATTGTTGTTTTTAAGATATTGGATTATTCTAATAGGTAAGTTTAACACATAATATAATTTATAAATCACGAAACAAGTTTCAACTTTATCTTTAAGTTTAATGGTTTAGATTATGAAGGATAATGGATATTTCATTTAATTTCAATACAACCAATAAAGGGAGTAGTTATAGTTGAAGCAAGTGATTAAAATAAATAATTTCAAATTTTGGCTTCCAAAGTTTAGCAAAATTTAAAAATTATTTTAGGAGGCAGAGGCTATGTAAATATATAAATAATTATAAGATAAATGACAAGAACTTAAATACATTTAGAGGATTGTTATCAAAATTAATATTTTTGCCAAGTTTCAGTTATACAGATATTTTATTTGAAAATACTTAAACGGATAATTAAATTCCATAAAAATCTTCAATCGAAGAAAAGATATATATTATACAAGGTCTATAAGAATTTAAAGGATATTAGGCTTAAGAAATAGTCATTGATTAATATGGAAAAAGGTATTGTTTGTCTGGTTGGGTTAAGTATAATTATTAAAATACTGAAGAAGAAAAATATACATTAATAAGAATGACTAATTTTATAAATTATGAGGATAAGTAAAAATTAGGGGATGAATTATTTGGTTTTAAGGTATTGATCTCAAAATTCTAACCATAATTAACAAAGATTTTTGTACATGCTGATGCTTATAGTATGCCTGTTTAATAATCATTTGAATCCTAATATGATTTAACATTTTAAGGAATTTAGAATGAGAATTATAAGGTAGTTTAATCTACAAAGACTTTAGAATATTTAGAGGATTTTAGATATTATGAAGGATTATAACAATGGCATTTTATTTAATATGAATATGGTAGAAGTAATTTTGATGAAAGAATGCTACTTTAATTACAATTTTATAATAAATTAGGTTTGATAAGAGAATAATTAGGAAATGATATTTTTAGAGGTTCATTTATAAATAGCAAATTTAATATATTTTTAGGTGGAGATAATTTTAATCATAATTTTTTATAAGCTTATGTTTATGATTTTAAAATTGAATATAATTATAATGAAGATAAAGTTTTACTTTTAAGTATAGATCTATAAATTATTTAGATTGTCATTATTCTTGTTTAACATGTAAAGGACCTTAAGAAAATGATTGTATTAATTGTGATGAAAATACTAATAGATATTATTAAAGTGAAGTTTTTATGTGTAAATGTAAATAAGGATATTTCGATTTTGGATAGAGAATTTGCACTAATCAATATTATTCCTCAATTTCAATTTAAGAAATAGAAATTTAAAATCCCAATATTTGTCCATTTGGTTATTTCAAACTTCCACTGAATAATACTAATTTTAAATGCATAGAATGGTATATTTTAAACTTAATAAAAATTAAGTCCTCAAAAATTAAAGAATTAATTTATATGTGCAGAATGTTATTTCTATTCTAAGACATGGTACTTAAGACCTGTTTGTAAATAGGATCTTATTACTTTAAAAAATAATAAAGATGATACATTTCATTTAATTGCTAGAAATCCAATAGATTATGATTTATATTCAATCAATTTGGATAGAGAATTGATGTATCATTTTGAATTTTAGGATTATTGTATTTATAATGTTGCAACAATCAATCAGTGTTATACATTTCCTCATTATCATTTAGGGAATTAAGCATAAATGAAATGTAAAGAAAATTACTTTGTTGATATTGATAATTTTAGATGTATAAAATTTAGACAAAAATGTAAAGAATTTGATTCTTTAGGAAATTGTTGGGGTTGTTTTCCTGGAAAGTACAATGTTTGGTTTTAATGTATAGAATGTCCTATTGGATGTTCTACATGTGAGAATATAAATTATTATGAAAACCAACCCATTTGTTAAACTTGTACAACAAAATTCTATAATTATATTGATGGATAATGTAAAATGTGTGGTCAATATTGTGAATTGTGTGAAAGGTATTATGATGATTAAATTGATTAAGAGTATTTAAGATGTATAAAATGTATAGATGATTCAAAATATCACTTATCTCTTGATGGTAAATAATGTTTATATAATTAAATACCCAATTGTATTCATGCATTTTAAGCTTTACGTGATGATATGACTATAAATACTCTTGATCTTAAATTTTAACCATAATTTGATTACAATCAAATAATAACATTATGTGCTAAATGTGAAACATCATATGTTTTTGTATTTGAAATTAATAAATGTATTGAGAATACTAAAGAATAAGATTGTTAAGTTGGTATAGGATAACTTAATGAAATTGATCAATCCTTAGAATCTATTATATGTTTAAGTTCAACTAAGTAAAAAAATGATATAGTCTAATTTACTGAAAAATGCTTTAGTTATAATAATAATTGTTAAGTTTGTTTACAGACTCACATTATTGATTCTTATGCCTGTTTAGAATGTGTGAATGGTTATTATGTTTCAATACCTTCTGGTTAATGTATAGGATGTCCACCTGAATTAAAATGTAAATCTTGTTATTCATAACATTCTATATTAAAAGATAGATGGAAAATATTGGTAAGATCATTTTATAGAAAATATATTGAAAATAATAGTTTTCATTAATATATTGTGTATGGTTAAACTTAAAATTCAAATCATTATGAAATACAATGCTCTTCTTGTATAGATGGTTTTAAATTGCATAATAATATATGTCTTTAATATTGTTAAGAAGATTGTATGGAATGTATATTTTAGAATGATAAATATATTTGTAATAAATGTTTTTATGAATAAAGGGGAAGAAGATTGACATTAATTGATAATAAATGTATAGAGTGTCCTGAAAATTGTGCTCTTTGTAGAATTAGAACAAATGAAGAAATCTAATAAATTAATCCTTTATTTAATAATCCAAAATATATTAAATATACATATTAATGTATCAAAAGTTACGAAGATCAAAGTTATTATTATGATTAAGATTTTGGATTATTTATTGAATGTAAATAAAATGATTAAGGTAATGGATGTTATAAATAACTAATTATAACTTTAAATCTATATACTAATTTAGATGAATATTATGATGACTTATTTGAATAACCAGATGAAGAATCTAAGATTAAATTTTAAAAGGAAAATATATATATTTTAAATCTATTATCATAGGAAAGTAGTTTTATTGAAGTAAAATTAATATTATAATTATTTTTAGTTTGAAAATGATTAATTTTACACATTAGCTAATTCTAAATTAATTAAGACTATTATAATAAAAATAATAAGTAAAAAATATATACGTAAAAATTTAAATTATGGTGGATTAATAGTATCCAAATTTTAACAGAACATATTTACATTATAGTATTTATATTAAATTAAAAAATTAGAAATGTTGAAATAGAATTTATCTTTGAATTTGAGACTATTTTCTTACCTTAATTTGATTTCGAATTCATCAATTTTTCAAAAATTACTCTTTAAAATATTAGATTAGAAATCTCATCACAATCTAAATTTATATTTAAAAGCTCTTTTCCACAAACAATAATATTAAATGATATTTAATTTCAAATAGGTAGTTTAGCTAATTTTAATCATGTAAATTTTTAATTTACTTTCAATAATGTTAGCACTCTTTTGGTTAATAATATGTATTTTTATAATATTTCATTAATTGCCAAAGATTATTTCATGAATATATAGGAAACTAATTATCCTAAAACCATAATATTCAAAAACATAACATTATTATAAATTGACATAAAAACAATCTTTTTAGATTTAAGTTTAGGTGATCAAGATTATGTTGAGATAGATACTGTAAAAATATTATCAAATAATATTAATTAAAATATCATTAAAGTTTAATAAAAAAATGAATATGGTGAACTTAAATTATAGAATGTAATTTTGAGTGGTAGTTAAATATCAGATTCTTAATATATTTTTGATTTTGAAAAAGTTCTTTTTTTAGAAATTAATCACTTTTAAATGTATTAAACCATTTTAATTAACACATCCTTAATCTTATTAAATAGAAATAGTTAATTAGAAAATATTAAATTTTAAGATAGTTAATTTCTTAAGAAATCTATTGGTATTAAAAATAATAATAATTTCTATGAATTAAATTTTCATCAGATATTTACAAATATATTATTTGAGAATAATCAATATGATAATTTAATCTAATTTATATACTTATAGAAATATTTAAGTTAATAATCAAATATTACAATTAATTATTTAAATTAAATTAATAATTATTTTATCAAAGATTCATTAAATTAATACAGAAAACAAGTTATTTTTTCATTAATTATAATTTAATATGATTATGTGAAAATATCTAATTTAGTTATTGAACGTGGTTTTGGTTTAAATGATATTACAATTTATGATTGTTAGGAAATTAAAATTTAAAATGGTACTTTTCAATAATAGAAATTTAGATTTTTAGGATTACATAAATATATAAATTGTTAATTAAAATAAGTTAATGCTTAATATTATTCAACTACATTAAGTATTGCTACAACTAAAATAATAGAATTGAAAAATCTAACATTCTCTAAAGTTCAATCTTACAACTCTCCAATTATAGCAATCGATTCTGCTGACTAAAAATTAATTAATTAAAGTGAAATTATTATATTGTAGGATATATCATTTAGTTCTAATATAATACTATTTACAGAATTGATATTTAAATCTTCACTAATTTCTATATCATCATATCAACAAAACAATATCAAAATAAACAATATTACATTCCAAAATAATGTTTACAATCAATATACATAATTTGATTCTACAACTACTGCAGGATTATTATTAATTATTTGTCCTTATTGTAAATTACAATTAATCAATTCACTCTTCTTAAACAATATAGTATTAAACAGTAGATCAAGTATTATGTATATTCAAACATAGATCTTATAAATTACTGATTGTAATTTTTACAATAATAGTATTTTTATATATAATTTACTCTAACCTCATATTTAATGGGGTTTTACTTCTCAAATATCAGAATACGTTATTGAATCAAATTTTAAATCAAAATCTAAATCTGGAATTGGAGAATTATTAGCCGAATAAATCTTGATTTAAAATAACAGTTTTATAAATTCTTAAGGATCAATTGGAGGATGTTTCTCTATTTTCTCTTATGGAAGTTCTGACATTTTGATATAAAATAATCGTTTTGAATCAATTTCTACTAAATTTCTAAATGATTTAGAATATGGAGGTGTCATTTATATAGATGGATCATCCTCTTCATAACTTAAAGTAGAAATAAATAACAATATTGGTAATAAAATATATTGTAGAGGATTTGGAGGTTTTATATATTTGAAATCTAATACATCTTAATCAAATTTAACAATTTTAAATTTAAATTTAGAGGATATATATGCTCAATAAGGATCAGCAATCTATGTTTCTTATTCAAAATTTGTAGAAAGTCCTTAAATTTTATTCGTTTAAAAACTTTTTGTATCCAATACTTAAATTGGTTATTATAACTTTTTAAATAAATTTAAGGAATTTTCTAGTCAATAAGAAATCTAGTATTTAATAAATAATAGATCACTTATGTATTTAGAATATGGATCTTTGATATAAATAAATGAAATTAAGATAAGTAATATAATCTTAGAATCTTTATTGATTTTGTAATAATCTAAATCAGTTTATCTATCTTAAATTTAAGTGTAAAATTCTTACATTAGTAATAATTTAATATCAATATTTTCATTTACAAGTATTTATATTATATTAATTTAGCAACTAATTAGGAATTAATTCTTTAGAATTCAATATTCAGATCTATTTAAATTGGATTTAACTTTACTAATTAAACTGATATCAAATGTATAAACATAAATCCATCATCAAATGATGTAATATATTAATGTTTAAATGATTTCATACAAGCTCCTATTCAATTAAATAGTAATGAAGAATAAGGAAATTATAATAAAGCCTATTGTGTATTTTAAGAAATTATTTCATATATAGATTAATAGAATTCAGGATTAATTTTATTTAATAATTTTACTAACCAAAATAAAATTTAAATTAATTCTGTTACATTAGTTGATATAATTTGTACAATATGCTAAAATGGACTAATATATTTATAATTCTAACCTTAAGTATCTTTAATTTAATAGTAATTGATTACATCACTCTATGTACAAAATTGTTCTTGTGGTAAATAAGGATGTTTAAATGTTATCCAACTATCAAATAAAGATAATAGAATTCTCAATTAATAAGAACTTTATTCTTTAAATTATGAGTTAAAAATAAGATACTATATTTGTTAGTATAATATTGCTACATAAGGAACTTGTTTAAAAATAAATTCATTCTTGGCTCTATTATAAGATAGTCTTTTTTAATTCAATGAAGCTTTTCAAGAAGGAGGGTCTATTTATATAAAAGGAAATAAAAATTTAATAATAGAAGATAGTGTAATTTCATTCAATAAGGGATCTATTGGAGGAGGATTGTATTTTTCTGATTAAGTTGCAATGAAATTATTGGATAATAAAACTAAAATAATAAAGAATTCTGCAGAATTTTATGGAAATAATATAGCTTCTAATCCTTAATAACTTACAATATAAATAAGAAAGGATTCTTAAGTATTATCTCCAATAACTAAAATTTCAAATTCTACTATAAAAATATAAGAAATTTAATTAAAACCATATATTGGTTTAAATGGAAATATATTGAAACATATATATTTACCGACAGGATAGAAAATATCATCTTATAAAATTTTTGATTGGAAAAACAAATTTTATTATTAATCAAATTAGATTTTGAGAATATTAGCTTTAGATGGTGATTCAAATATTATTTAAAATCTATAAAATACTGAATGTTTTATAGAAAGTAGAATATTTGATGAATCAAAATAAGAGGATTAAGATTTTACAAATAATTATACTAATATTTAACGAATAAGTTTTAATTTAGATACATAAACTTATAATCTTGATGATTTAATAGTTTATTTTGATAATTCTGTTCCTCAAGAGATTGTTCTTTAATTGTAGTTTACTTGTAATTCAATTAAAGTTCCTATTTACAATACTTAATATCCATATGAAATTATTGATTATCATTCAAATTATAAACTTAGAGTTAATGTAAAAACATATGAATGTCAATATGGAGAAATTAAAAATATGACAGGTTTCTCATGTGAAAAATGTGATTCTGATTAAGGTTTATATTCATTAACACTAAAATCATAAAAATGTGATATTAAAGATGAGATAACAACTTTGAGTATTAAAGATAATCAATTAGTATTGAGACAAGGATACTGGAGACCATATTTTGATACAAGAGCAATTCATTTTTGTCTTAATCTACAAGAAAATTGTTTGGGAGGAATAAAGGAAGGGGATAGTTCATGTTATATAGGTCATATTGGTGCACTTTGTGAATAATGTGATTTATATAATATAAGAGGAGATGGATAATATTCAATTGTTAAGAAATTTTAATGTGGTCCTTGTGCTGATAAAGAGAGAAATATATTTGTAATTTTAGGAATAGTTATTTTGACTCTTGTGTTTCTTTTGATTTCAATTTAAGGAAATAGGAAAATAATGGAAGAATTTACAAAATCTTCAGTTTTTAAAATATATAGATATTAAGTTTATTTGAACAAGAATTAATCTGGAACTTTAATTAAGATGTTAACTAATTATTTTCAAATTATTGTATCAATTACTACATTTTAATTATCATTTTCTACAGGATTAAATTATACTTTAAATGTTGTTGGAAATCCACTTTAAACTTCATCTTATTCTCTTGATTGTTTTTTAGTTGAATTCAAAGACTTATAAATAGAATATGCTCGAATGATTTGGTAGATGATTTTACCTTTATTATATATCATTGTGTTTATTTGTATCTACTTTCTAGCTATTTTAATAAAGAAGGATAAATTTAACCCTAGTATTGCTGCAACAGCTGCAATTTATATCTACATCTATGTATAACCAAATTTAATTAATGGATTTATTGAACTTATTTCATACAGAAATATTTCAGGTTTCAAATGGATTTAAGCTAATGTATCTTAAAGATATGATACTACAACACATACAAAATGGATGTTAGAATTTTGTTTACCTCTTATTACATTAATAGCAATCATAATACCATGTTTCTTTTTCTTTGGACTTTATACTAATAAATATCAATTTTAAAAGAAAAGTGTAATGTCTCGTTGGGGTTATTTATATAATGAATATAAAAAAGAGGCTTATTTTTGGGAATTGATTAAAATTATCTAAAAAGAATTAATTATACTATCACTTGTTTATTATGAGGATACAGTTGTTATGAAAGGAATACTTGTTCTTTTTATAACATATGTTTATTAAGAATTAAATGCTCTCTATTAACCATATCAATTAAATAATCTAAATTAATTGGATTATTATTCAGCAAATATAAGCATGATTACTATTGGATTAGCCATAGGAACGTATATATCTTAATAAGCGCACCTTATAGAACTTTAGATACCATTCTTTTTTATAATGGCCTTATAAAACTTTCTATTTTTAAGTAAAATTATTAGTAAAATCATATTGGAATACTCTAAATAATATGAAATTTTATTAGATAAAATTAAGGAAATAATTAAAAAAAGATTCCCATAAATTGATCAATATCCATTTTTGAAAAGACTATTTAAAAGTAGAGTAGAATAAAGAAAGAATGCTTTATTGTTGTTTTAAAAACTAAAAAATTTTGGAATTCCTTTTGCAAAATAAATTATTTAAATGAGATAAACTAATTTTGATTAAAACAGTTCAAAAAGAAAATCAACATCAACTTAGGATGGATTTTATAATAGCAAAAATTAGGGAATTTAATATTAGAAAAATATTCTTAAAATTAAATCTATTTCTAAAAAAATATGAATTGATTATTAAATTATTTAATTAGATTAAAGTATTTTTATTTTTCATTAATACTTAATAAAATATATTATCATACCTAATAATCTTAAAAATTAATAAAAATATATTAAAATATGAATAATCATGTCATACTCCCTAATATTCTAAAATTTTCAATATGACTTAAAAAATGCCTATCACAATCATCAGTTATTCTATGTCCTACTAATTAATCAAATTTATATGTTTTATATTCCTTTAAAAATATTTGTTCTGATTTGCAATGAAATTCACTATTATCAATTGATATTCTCCAATCTGATTTTAGATATCTATAAGTTTATCTTTTTGATCTTGGAAATTGATATTCAGTCCATTCTTTAAGAAGTTTTTCTATTTATTGAGATTTAAAACCCTTAAAATAATCATCAGAATAAATAAAAAACAGTTATTTTTATGTTAAAATCTTTACTCTTTCTTCCCATCTATCTTACTTTAAAGTTTTTTCTTTTGTAATTAAATATTCATAATATTTTGATTAATTAGGATTTAATGATATTAACAATGAATTAAATTTAAAAAATAATCGTTTCTCTTTATAAAATTATAACAAATGATCTTATATAGAATTAATGAAATTAGTAAACAATTTATAAAACTTTTCAAAACCTAATTTATATGTTTTTAATTCTAATTCTTCCATTAATTATTCAAATTAATTTATTTAAGTTTAAACTTCATTTAATTCTTGTTCATGATCTTTAAGAATCTTTTCAATAATATTAGTACTCTTTTGACCATTCTTTATTTTATAGACATATTAATTTAATAAATGTGTCCAATATTTACTATTCTTATCAAGTTACTAATAGATCTAATTTTCTCTTTTTTAAACATTTAAATTAAATTCACGAATCCCAAATGTTTCTCTTTTGTATAATTCTAAAAATAATGTCTACAATTCTTATTTTATATCAGTAAATTCCCATTAATTCTAAATAAAAGGAGAACTAAGATAATTTAAGAATTGATTATAACAATTCCTGATCAAATTAAGTTTATTGATATTAAGTTTATTGGATAAATAATTTTATAAAAGCATTTAATAACTATTTTTCCCCATTTCCCATAAAAATTAATTCTTTTATATTTTACATTCTTAAAATAAAATACTTGTATTAAATTTAAGATACCAAGAATTTTTCATAGTTGGTATCATTTTGTAAACAGGAGATGACATTCCATTTATAATTTCTTTATTAGATAATAAGATATCCTTTTATTTAGGATAATCATCTATGCAATCTGGAAATAAAAAGACTATATTATTAATTTAACAATTGGAAAAATTACTCATGATAGATTCTAACATATAAAATGAACCTATTTATATTTATTGTTGTATTACAAAACCAATTAAAATATTTTGATTAATTGAAGCTGAACTCTAAATAACATTATATATTCTATTGAATATTCTTTGATCATCATAACTAAGATCATCACAATAATCAGGTGTATTTATAATTCTAAGTCCTTATTTTCCATATTATGGTGTAATATAATATACTTTCATTTGATCATATTCATTATTTTAATCCTCTTTAATTATTTCAATATCATCAACTATTTCAAATCTATAAGGATCTGAAAATTCAACTTCTTAATAATAATTTAAAAATAAATTTATTAGTTCCTATTTTTATGAAGTTTAAGTTCCAATTAGAATTAGAGTAGTGTATTCTTCTAGATTTTCAATAGATGATTTATAATAGATTGGATATTGATGAATATCAAAATCATTTTCCTTTCTTAATTTATGAGTTTTTTCTATCAAATCATGATATTTGTATTTTTTCATCTTTTATTTTTTTACTTAATCCTCTTAATTTCCTACTTCTCCATGTTTTTCTTATTATAATAATTATATTTAGTCTATAAATTAATTTTACTTTGACTATGTTTCGATGTCTTTACTTTTAATTTATATCTAAAAATTTGTAAATAATTAAAACATTGATTCCAATTATGTTGTTAGATTTTAAATTGTTTAATTCAAAGGTTATGATTATTATTAGAGTTTTAATAAATTAGATACATATTTTTCAAACTCATCATTATTAATTTCTTTTTATGATTTCTCCAAATCCAAAAATAAATATTTTTCTGCTTATCTCATTATATCAGCATTTTATATCATCTTTTGAGACTACAATTAATAATATGAGAATATATCTTGTTACCACTTCTAAATTTCTTTTAATGTCTATAGATCTTATTTATGTTAAATGTGATTTTCTATACAATCTAAACAACAAACTCTTTTTTACTGGCAATCAATATTAAAACAAACTAATATTATCTCCTTTTAATTATGTTCTGATTCTTAACACTTTAACATTTTTTTATAAATAGATATATTATTAATAAATGATTTAATTATTTTATTCAATTTTATAATGTCAAATTTACCCGCAATTTAATTAGACATTAATATACAAATAAGAAAATGAATAAAGTTGAATATAATTGTATATTCCACATAAAATAAAATATTTAAATATATTAGATAGACATTTATAATATTAAAAATTTAACCTTTTTTTAGACTAACTGTTTCACCAAACAATTAAATGATCATATAAATGTAATTCATGAGATGAATTAAAAACAATTTTAATTTTGAATTTCTATTACTCTAACTTTTAGTTATATAATCATAATTAGTAACTAATAAATAAACATTTAGTTACTGATTAAACATTAACATGAACATTTTATAAATTATAATTCAGCTTTTTTTCTGATTCAAAACAATTAAGAGTTGAAATTAAAAGAGAAATTTATATATATTAAGAAAAATATGAAATTCTTTATAAACTAAAAATGAAGGTAGTTATGGTGCTTATATAAAAACGATTAATTGAATACAAATTTGGTTATTAATAAGATATTGATTTTATTATACTATAATTGAATAATGAAATAGGTATTGTTGTATAATTATTTAATTCAACTTAAGATCTACACTTGTTCTTTATAATAATAAAATATTCCATCATCTCTCTAAACAAACTATAATTAAATTGATATTCTTGCTTTCTTTATTTATAGTCTATAATTTCAATATGAAATAGAAGCAGAAAGTTAATTATTTAAAAAAACTTATATTTGTTAAACTAAACTATCTAACTTTCTAATTTGAAAATATAACACATTTTCTAATACATTCAAACCATAAAAATTCATTTATCTAATCTTTTTTGAAATAAATATATTGGCTCATCAATGAAGCTTGATTTATTGATCATTTTAGTATATATTATTTTTAATGAATGGGGTTGAAATAACTTAAATAGTGAAATATTATTAAATTATAATTGATAATAATCATAGAATAAATAAGAAAGATGGAAGATAAAATTTAGAATTATTGGTAAAATTTAATGAATTATTTATTTTTAAGGGTCAAGTTTATGATTAGAGTAATTATTTTGATGATTAAAGGTAAAGTAATTTGAATTAAAACTAAGAAGATAATTAGGCATTGTTGAATTATTATCATTTTTTAACAGAAGAAATTTATAAAATATATGTTTGTAATTACAAAATTTTCTATAAATACTTAAGTTGAATTGCTTAGAATAAAATAGTATAAATTGATAATATGAAAATTTTAAAATTAGTATCATTTGTGATTTTTATCAATTTCTTTCGAACATATGTCCCAATTTTAGAAGTTGAGATCAATATTATCGTTATTCTTAGTATTTTTTTGTCAATCATTTACAAATAATTTAATGGTTTATTCATTGTTTTCTAAGTTTTATAATAATAGATATTTATAATTAAATTTATATTAATTAATATCAGAATCATATTAAATACCATTTTTTTAATCGAAAATAATCTTATTAATATAATGTTTAAATTTTAACATTATACGAAATTACTGAATTGATATCAAAATTTCAAATTAATTAATATTGTCATAATAAAAAAATATTTGAATAACGAATTTTAATTTGATTATAGTATTTAAATTTAAAACAGAAATATTTTAGTTTATTACTTAGATCAATATTCTTACTTTTAATAAAATATCTACACAAACATCTTATATAATCAAACTTATTTATAAATAATTATAACTTTGGAAGTATATATTCCAAACCTAACCAAAAACTTTAGATCATGTTACAATAATTGATTCATCATAATGTTATGTAACTCTAAGAGATTTATATCTATAAATAATAATTCTAGATTTCTTTCAATAAATGCGAATATGAGTTTAAAACTATATTCTACTGTTTTTCATTATACTTTACTATTTCAATTCTTAAGCTGAAGTTCGATAGAAATTAATAAATTATTTAATCAAATTATAGTTCTTTAAATACTCAAGTGATTTGTAATTATAATAATAATTGTTTATGTTTTTTCAAATATTTTTTGTACTTCAAAATTTTAATTGAAATTTCTTATAGATTGATACCATTCGGAAATAAAAAATGAATGGTTGTAATTATAGAATATCATCAACCAATTTTATTCATTAAATATTCATTACTTATTAAAATATATATAATAAGTTCCTTAATAAAATAAATTATTAAATTTATTATTATTATTCTCATTTGCCTGAACTTACAATTGATCAGTCCTGCTTTGCAAGAATTAAGAATTTATCTATTTAACAGTAGGCTAAAAAAAGGATGCATGATGCTCCTGTTGTAAATTATAAGACTAAAAAATCATCAAATTTCATAATTCATATAAGCCCAATTTTTCAATTATCCTTTTTGTGAATAATGTCCAGATCAAGTTGTTCATCAAAATTAAAATATTTCAGTATAGATTCAAATCTAATTTTAATAATGATATTCGAATCCAACCAAATTTGGTTTCTGAAATCAAAGTCTCAACAAATATTTTTCAATCTGGGAATATAAAAGGAAACGAAACTTAATAATTTGCATTAATTGTATTTGTAGTAGAATAGATATTTATTTTATTGAACAGTTAATTTTTTTAAGAATTTTCTTTCTCTATAACTTAAAAAATAAATCAAAACAATATGCTTGTATCAAGCTAATATTAAAATATTTTAGTTGAAAATATAATCACATTAATCTTTTATGATATAGGACATATAAACTTTAAAAGATATTATGATTTGTAATCAAATAAATTTCAAAAGAGAAATCCTAATTTTTTATTGATTTATGAACGTTTGATTAAGAAATTTGACTGCTTGTATTATTAAATATTATTTTTCGCTTCTCTAGATAGTTTTTATGGAATCATTAGTTTTAAAATTCATTTTTAATATAAAAACCTTATTAAACAATGTTAACAAAAAGAATTCGAAAATTTATCAAACAATAAAAAAATTATTCATTGCTTCTTTGCTTAAATAGTGATTTTTTATTATTAATCTAAATATAAACTTGCCATCTATTTTAATATAGTAAATATATAATTAAATATTTTCACTAATAAAAGATTTATTGTTTTTATTCCATAAATTTATTGCAGTTCATTCTTGCTATTTGTAGGTTGTATAAATTAATTTAACTTTTAGAAATATTTGCTTTTGAATTCTCAAATTTCTAAAAAGAAGTTTGATGAAATGTTTTTATAATTATATATTCAATATTAATTAGGGTCTAAAGGCCTTAATTAATATTAATTTTTATAATTATGTAAAAGACCAATTTAGTGATAATATACTTATAATTCAATCAAATTAATAATATCAGTTAATTAATGCAAGAATACTATTGGATTGATGAGATCATTTAGGAATTCTAATATTAATTAAAATTATTTAAGATTTATATAAATATTTATTCAAAAGTCATAGGACTTAAGGTGTCCTTAAAAAAAGGTCTTCATCTAAGCCTAAATCTAGGAGTCCTTAAAAGCCATATCAATTTATCCTATAAAAAGCCTATTATAATAAGGGGTGCATCTTCAAGCAACATCTTGTATTTCGCTTTTGATAATACTAAGATGTTTCTTAGGAGATTGCATCAAAGCTCTGAATTAGGATAATTCTTACCTTAACAATTAACAGTAAAGGAATTTACTGAAAAGAATTCAAATTCAACTAATTTTTTGAATTGAATTTCACATCAATTAAGGATTATATTAGAATAATTAAAATTTAGATTATCTTATGTTTAGATCATTATCACAGGGATCAATTTTGATTGTAATACAAAAGAACATAATGAAAGTGAAAAATTTAAGATTCAATATTGGTCACTGTAATGAAATTAAGCTCCTAATAGATATTGACTAAATTTCAATTGTTTTAGTATCATTTAATAAAAATTGAGGATTATAATTAGTACTTTTTATTTATTTATCTAATTAGATATAAATTGATGTATTATTTTATAATAATTTATATTAATACATATAAAGATTGTTATTTATTATTGATTAAAAAATTAAGGTTTACCCTTATAGCTGTCTATCATCATTTCTCACTCTTAATAGTAATATTACACTAGAGAAATCCAAATGAACTAATTGATTTGTAGATTTATTTATAATAATATAAAATCAGCAAATTTTATATTATTTAGAATAATATTCCTTTATATAAATGGAAATTTAGAAGGTTATCAGTTTAATTATATTGGTAAAGAACAGTATATTGTAAAATGAATTCATTGTCTACTATTTTGTAAAAAATACTAAATCTATATTACATCTTCTCTTAATTTAGATTAAATAAATGTATTTATCAAGTATTCTACCTTCTAAATTAGTATTTTTTAAAAGATTTGATATTAAAAAATAAAACGAGATTATCCTTTAATTTTTTATATTAAATATTATCTGAAACTAATAATTAAATAAAATAATTATATATTCTATTCTTTATATGATAGAATGATTTTCATGATTATTATAAGTATAAGAACTTCTCATTACATTTTTATTTATAATTTTTGGAAAAGCTAATAATTTTGTTATGAAGTCAAATGATAGAAATTAAATAATTTTCTAATTCTCAAACAAAATAATTATTATCAATAATTAAGTAAATGTTGTTTCTAATAAAGAATCACTTAATGTGTTAGATTTGTTTTATATAAAAAGCCCATATAATGAGTATTTCTTATAATTATTAAAAATTTAATTATGGACCAAGCAAATAAAGATAAGAACATTTAATTTAGAGATAAATATGTTATAACAGAAGATGATTATTATGGTGAAGGCTGTTTTGGTTAAGTTTATACATGTAAATTGATTAATGATTCTGATGATACGTTATACTGTGTCAAAGCCATACCAATTAATGTAAATTAGGATTTGAATAATGAAAATGAAACAATAATAAATAATACAATTGCTTAGTTAAATTCAAATCAGCTAAAATCAATTAATTTAGTGTAAATATCTGACATCTATTTTGATTCATCTGTTTTATTTATTGTAATGGAAAGATGTGATGAAGATTTATCAATTGAATTCAATAAACTTAAGGAAGAAAATACTTGGTATACAGAGGAAGAAGTATTTGATCTGATCTAATAATTAATTTCGGGTTTGAAATAATTAAACTCAAGTGTTATAATGCATTAAAACTTAAAACCTGAGAATATTTTAATTAAATATGAAAACAAAGGGTAAACGAATGAGAGAAAGATATATAAAGTAGTTTCATGATCATATTTAGATTGCTGACTATGAAATTAGTATTTTGATTTCAAAACTATCATAAAAATAAGACCTGATAAGAACTGGATCTCCAAATTATACAGCACCTCAAGTATTTGAAGATGATGTGATATAATCTGAAAAAAGTGATATATTTTCATTCGGCATTCTAATTTATTAAATTTGCTATAAAGCTTAATTTCCTTATGATTGTAGTTCAATAAACAAAAGATATTAAAGTTTATAATATCTAAAAAATAATTCTTTTAAAGCTCCACCTCTTAATTATAGTAGAGGAGAATAACTGCAAAATCTTTTAGAGAGTATGATAGTTTATAATGAAAAACAAAGAATTTCATTTGCTGATCTCTTTACTCATATTGTAGTAAAAAGTAAAGGTTTGGATGATACTGTAGTAATGAATAGTGAATATATTTATAGTTAAAGTAGAAATTTTGGAAGTTCAAAACTATTTGATAAATCTATTCATTTAGAGAAAAAGAAAAAAACTTCCATTTTATTGTTGTTATAAAAATTATAATTATTGTTAGAGTCATTTCTTGATAAATTTAAAATTTGTCAGTAATTAATAGAATAAATTGAAGATAATAATGAATTTTTATTTTTTAAATTGAATATTTATTTAATAGGCAATTATTAATTGTTATATGCACTTGCTTTAATTTACATAAGACCTTTCGAATTACATCCAAGCATTTTAAAATATAATGATCAATTAATGCTTATAGAGAAATTAAATGAAGCATAAAAAGGAATTAAAATATATCATCCAGATACTTTAATCTATAAAAATCTTTAGGATTCAATTCAATTACAATATCATTAATTTGCAAATTAATTTAAAAGATTTTATATTGATATTAAAAAGAGAAAAGATCTTTCTAAAGAATTAAAGTAGTTTATGAAATAAGCAGTATCTAGAAGAATCGAATTAATAATATTATAAGAAAATATTAATAATTTTCAATAAACTTATCTAAATAAAATCCCTAAAAATCTATAATAGTTATTAGAATAGGTAGTTAAATTTGGTAGTCTATCCCCAATTAGTCATTATTAAAAAGGTATAGATCAATAATACCAGACATCCGTATAAATTGGATAAATATGATTATTATCTAATATTATTGGAAATTAATAAATTTAGGTTATTAATTTTAAAAGATTCTTTTTTTAATACTTTATTATTTTTATTATAATCCTTATAAATTATATTAATTGAATTTTTATTTCTCTTCAGATTTTCCTTTTAACATATACCAATTGAGCCAATTGATAAGGAATAATGGTTGGAGATATAAGAAAAATAATATAATTAATTCTTATTAATATTCAGATTAACTTAAAATTGATAATTATCTAACAAAGATATTAAAATAGTAAATTAAAATTAAATCTAATAATTCACATAATTTCATAATAATGAAAGAGTTCATCCAATTTTTAATGTCCAACGAAAAAGTACACTAGTTAATTAAATGGATCAATTCTTTAATCTCTTATTTATATAATAATATGCTTCAAAATAATTATTCTTATGAATATCATAATTGGATCAAGAATGACATAAAATAATAATATTGAGACTATTAAAAAAATAGAAATTTCTATATTAATTATTTAAAGATCTTCTTAACTAAATAAATATAACATTTTATATACCATTATTTCAATTAAAGAATAAAATTCCAGATAAAAAAAGAGATGTATTAGTAAATATATAATAACAATAAAATTACTCCATTTTCCATTAAATATGCAAATTGATTGCAATATCTTTAAAATCATTATAATAAATAGGAAGGTTCCACAATTTATAAGTAAAATTGAATATATTGTAATTTAATCTAAGAAAGATATCTCGAAAAATGAGAATGAGATTAACAAACTTATTGTAATTGATAATTATAAATATCTTTAACTTGTTGAAAGGATTGGTATAAAAGAAGGATAATATTTCATGAATAAACTAGATATTATAAAATAAAACTTACTTTTAATGATTTTTTAAATATAGAGAAATTTCCTAGATAAAAATTTAATGCCTTATTTGATTTTTTCTTATCTTTGAGTTTCATCTACACTAACATCTGAATCTACCCTTGTAAATATAAGAGTTTATTTTGATTTAATTTCGATAAAGATTAGTGAAAAATAAAAGAAGAAAGAAAAAGCAATAAAAATGCCATGACATAGTTGAATAGGTTATTCACTTAATTATAAGTTTGAATTATCCACTCTATATTCATTATTAATATTCAATGGGATATTTTATTGAATAACTGAGTTGTTAAGGTATTTGATTAAAAAGATGCTTCCAAATTTTTCACATTTGCATTAATTTTAAACAGTTTAATTATTAATTTCCTCAGTTAGTAATTCACATTTTTAGAATTATCCGATTATAGGACAATCATTAAATAAAGTTTTTCTAAAGGTATGTATTCTTAGCAATATGGAATTGTAAACATGTCGATTATGTATTATTTAATTATATCTTGACAATCTATATAATGTCCATTATAAAGATGATTCTATAGATTAGTTTTCTTGTAAGAATTCTCATTAATTTTGAGGGTAGTTAAATTAAAAAATATTTGCAATTAAGCTTATAATTCTTAAGATAGATTTAAATAGTTGTAATTTAATTCTATTTATTCTTTTATGCAAAATCAATCAATCCATCTAATAAATCTTTTCTATATCAAAATGATTAATTAAAATATCTTTAGTAATTTTTGAAAATTGCCATTTTAGTATTTGTCCATCAATAATAAATTCAGGACCATTTACTTTTGCTTGAATATTAACATGTATTGAAATCCTCTCAATAAGATTAATTAATTACTCAGAAACATTTCGAATCTATACATTATCTTCATTAGAACTAATAGTAACTGTTGAAATCTTAAGGAATATATCTCAATTAAAATAACACAACTTACAAAGAGTTCAAAATAGCTTCTTTTTTCTAATACAGTTTTTCATCCAGAAACACATCATCTTTGTGAATCTAATCATCTAAATCAGTTGACTTTTTTATTATTTACTGAATGATAGTCATAACTAATTTTAATTCTGCTTGCTATTTGGAGTGACATTTAATGAAAAATTATTTTTGCATTTTGAATATAAAAGGTTTTTGTAGAATTCTCAAAACAACTTTCTGAATTATCATTAATAGAGACGTTTGAATTATCATTATTTTGAATTAATCTTATGTTGTTTGATATACTAATAATTAAACATCAATATCCTCATTTTCCAAAAAGGTTTTATGTTTAGATATAATTATTTGGATAAATTAATACACTATTTTTTAATCCTGATGATTCAATAGCAATAATGAAACTTGTTATTTTACATTAAATTTATATAAATTTATCTAAGAACAATTAAGGACAGTTTTTTTATATTTAATTTTTTCTCAATGTTTAAATAAGATCCTTTGGAATCCATTACTTATATTAAAAGAATGCCATCAGCGAATGGAAAATAGCCTTCAAAAACATTTGAACTTTAATAACTATTCAAATTTAATGAATAATCGTATTTTCTATTCAAAAAATCTAATCAATGTTAATTTTTAAGAAAATATCTCAATAAATATGTAAATGGAGCTGTGTCAGAAAAATCAAATATTGTAATTATTTTTTAAAGTTTTAATGCTTCTACTATTTATTCACTCAGGTGGTTAATTAACAGTTAACTATAAATCATCTTTACTGGGTATAATCTCATTTGTAAACTATGCCAAAAATTTTAAATTAATTTATTTTCCTTTTGTAATTCTTAAATGTAATCAAATACTTGAAATTAGTATTAAAAGTATTCTGATTGTAATTTTTTTAATGAGTTCAAAATTATAAATTACAGCTATTTGATATTCTAAAAGATATTATTCATCTTAAAAAGGAATATTAATAATGAACTAAAAATTTTCATAATTATTGATTGGTTTCATTAAATATCCTTTACTATATGTAACATTATCTAAATAGACAATTTTTTATTTAAATTTACTACTGTCTAACATTAAATAGTATAAGTTTGTATTGATTATTTGGGAATTATTTGGATACTATCAATTTTATTAACTTTAATTATTTTTATATTTAAATCCATACAGAGTGAATTGAGATTCAAATCAACACACTCAATATTAATTTAAATGTCTGAATCCTCATTCCAGTCATATTAAGTATCTAAACCTCTACATGATATTTATATTTAAGTTTCTTTTCTGTAATTCTGAATCTTTTTAGTGCCATTAAATTAACAAAATATACCTCCTGAACTGATTTCAAGTGTAATTCTAGAAGTCAATGTATAATTTTATATTGTAACATTAATGAAACTTTGACGAGCGCTTTCTTAATAATTTACTCTTGAAGGCCTTGAATTAGAATCGTTTCTATATACTTCAACTAAAGAGTTTAATATTCAGAATTATCAATTTAAGCTCTGCAGTTTCAGAGCAATCCTTCTTCTTAATTTAGAATTGCAAAACAAGAGTTTCAAAAGTCTAATAATAAAGATTTTAAATCCGAAAGAATGTTTGGAAATTGACCTGAATGAGTTTACAATTTTATAATATGTGTACTTTTAAGCTACAAAATTTTGAAACTCTAAATAGAAGGTTATATTTGACTATTTTAGTAGAGTTTGGAATGGAATAACTAATTCTAACATTTATAAACTAGTTAATGTAGCAACAAAGTTATCAAAATCATCATTTCCATTTGATTCATCTACAGAGTATGTCCATTTTATTCCAATAAACCCTCAGAGTCCATCGTTAAGTTTTTACTTCAACGGTATAATATTATCATCACAAAGATTAATAAGATAAGTAGGTATAACATAACTTATTTTAGGAGAGATAAGGTTTAAAGGATTTTTGATTTAATTGAAAATAAAAATCTCAAATCTTCTTTCGCATTCTTGATGACCATTTGAACATCATGGAGTTTCAGGATGACTCACAGAATTAGGTGGTTAATCACAAGACATCTCAGGAGGTAAGATTTTATTGCTATTACAACTGAGACAACCATCTACATTACATGTTTTACATAATCCATCACAAACTTAACAAGATTCATTTTTTAGATCATCTTAAAATCCTTCAGGACATTCACATTTAGGAATGTTAATACTATCTCCTTTACAGATTATACAATTTAATGAGGAATCCTTGCATATTTTACATTAAAAAAAGTCACATTCTTAAATTATTAATAATTAATTACAAATACAAAGAGGTTATCCACTTTCATAATACCCATCCTAAAATAGACATTGTTTACTTAAATCTACCTACTTTACATATTAAACAATTAGTAGGAGTCTTTTCAAAAGTTAAGCATTAATTTTCACATTCTAAAATAATAAATGATTAAATACATTCACAATTTTAAGCAGACTTTTCAAAAAATCCAAGCTTGCAATTACAAATAGGAGGTGTGTCTCTCAAATTGCTAAAACAAGTTAAACAATGAGTAGAAGATTCTAAACAATATTTACAACGTGTGCTGCATTTTTAGCAATCCAGTTAAATACCATCATCAAATTACCCATCTTTGCAAATACAATTCTGAGAGATGCTTTGTCTATTAGAAGTAATGGAATAAGAACAATTTATACAATTCTCTTTAGATTAATTACATGTTTAACATTTAAGATAGCATCCTTGTTATATATAAAATTAATACTTTAACAATTTTCATATTCATCTTAATAGAAACCAGATGAACAAGGACATTTATTAATAACAGATTAATCAATTCTATTTTAATTAGGATCACAACTTGTACAATAATCTCCTTTCCCTTTACATGCGAGACATTAATTGGAACGCTCTATAAATTAATTAAAATTGTTTACTTTCACAAATTATTAAGCCATTATCATAATATCCATTTTAGCAAAAAAATTAATTTAGATTTAATAATCTAAAGAATTTGGTTAAGTTACATTAAGCACATTTGGTTGAACTCATATAACAAGTATTACAATATAAATTGCATAGTTAACACATCTCAATCCCAATATAATAATAACCATCTAAACAATTACATTAATTATTATTGTTTAAAACTCTAAAGTAATTAAGTTCACAAGATAAGCATTTTGTAGATTAATTAATGCATGTCTTACAACTTAAATCGCATTCTAAGAATAATTTGTAATTTTACATGAACATTTTTTTAAATAAGCTTCATAATATCCATCTATGCATCTGGATCAAAATATCTAGTAAGATTTTGGCATTTTATACATTGCGATAATTTTTTGCATTCTTTACATGAAATATTACAAGCTAAATTACTATTATTATACATTCACATTTTAAATGTATTAAATAGAAACCTTTTGAACAAAAACATCTATTCAAGACATCCAAACTGAGATTTTATTAATAATTTAAAAACTTTCCACTCTGAACATAAAAAAATTTAATTTTATTATTGTTAATAATACGAAGCATCACAAGTAAGACAATAAGTAGGAGATATTTTACAAGTTAAACAAGATTAATCACACTATTTACAACTTAAAGTAATAGATTCTTCATAATATCCATCTTGGCAAATACACATATTTCCGGTTTTAAAGATTCGATTTTAATCTACAATAATCATCTCGGTTGATACATGTAAAAAAAGTTTTATTACAAAATAAACACTCTTTATCATCTATGCAATGTAACTATATTGATTGTTGAATAATAATCTCAAAATTTTGCAAGAAGTACAATTAGTGATTGAATTTTAACATGTTTAACATGTAATATCACATATTTGATATTCAAAATTAATATCTGTAGTTCCAGGCTTGCAAATGCAAGTTTGAGTAACATTATCTAGTAATCTCATTTATGATTAATCACATTCAATACAATTCTTTAAATCGATTGTGCAATAATAACAATTCTAATCACATTTACTACATTTCTCCAATTTATTATCAAAAAAAATTTAATCACATTTACAGATATTTCCTTCTAAATATCTTGTAGTTATACAAGTTGTGCAATAGTCTGCAGTGTTTTAACAAGTTAAACATTAAATTTAGCAGTTTTTACAGTTAAAAGAGATGCCATCATCATAATATCCAGGTAAACATTGACAGAACCCTGAATTAAACACTCTAAAAGAAATTTTTTTTCGATACAGGATTGACATTATTGTAATCCAAATTAATTACATATAAAACAAGAATAATGAAATTTTGAACAAGTTTCTATTCCAGAATCATAATAAGAATCTAAACAATTACAAGTAAACATCAATTAATTCAACAACCTATTTAATATTATTGAAAATGAATCACATTTGGTAGAAATATAGCTGCGCTGAGAACATGAATAATGGCATTCTTTTAATAATATTATTAATCTAATTACTTTAACAAATGGAATTTTATCCATCGTCAAAAATATCCTTTTTAACATTAACATTGCGAATTAATCAAAGTTCTAAATGTGTTCGGAGAACAACTTAAACAATTAATATCTAATCCTGTATTACATTTATTTAATAGTACTTTAGCATTCTACTTTACCTTAAATTAAATTAGTACTGATGGCAGCTCCGTTTAATTTTGTTTGGCATAAAAATACATTTCCTTATAAGTATTTATATGGTTTACTAGAAGTGTAATTATTAGCAGAATTTTTACAATTCAAACAATTGGCACTGCATACTAAAGGATTATTTTAATGTATACTTTGATATTCAGGCTATCCAACATCAAAATATTTACTCAGACATAAACAGAATCCTGAAGGTTCTAAATATCTAATTATTTAAGAATTACAGGATATACATTAATTTGATTATGAACCGTTACATGTTAAGAATCTCTTCAATACCAATGCATATTGGATTTCCAGAATGATCATATGATTTGGTTGGACAAGAACAAGAATTATCTGTTCCTATATCCCAAAAGGAGAAGACTGGACATGATGTACATTTGTCTATTGTATTACTGCAATTAGATGAGCATTCTAGTAATTTACTCATTTTTTTCTGTAACACAATAGTTCACCAACTAGTTTTCCATATATGTATCTAAGCATAAAAATTTATTAGCTCTGACCTCTCTGTAGTTACAGTTATATTATTTATAATCATAATAATATTTGTCTTACTAGCAGCACATGTGATCAATTTAATTACGGGAACATTGCAATTAACCAACATCGTAATAACCATAAGGAAAAATGCATTTGAACATTTACTAATTAGCGATAAGAAAGGTTGCACGTTAAACAATTAGAGTCAAAAAAGCATTATTGAACATTTTCAGTTTGATTATTATGATAACGATTTTAAATTCTAATAATAATACAATAAAAACTGTATAATCATTTATGCCATTACAAGTTTTGCAGGTAAAATGACATTCCAAACAATTTAATTGTGTATCATCACTGAAATAATGAGAATCTTTATTCAAACATTTAAAATGGTTTCCAATTATATCAGGTTATCTTGTAATTGGACAACTTGTACACTAATCTTCTCCAGGCAGATCACAATCGGAGCATATATGGTGGCGAATGTCTGTAAAATGATGTAGTAAATAAGGTACATTAATACATAGCCTAGTTGATTCCAGTATTAATGTAAGCTTTGTTGCATAAACACTATTTATCAGAAGTTAGATTACGATTAGACTAAGATGAACAGGTTGTGCAATTTGTGACTAAGGGACCATTACAATTTTCACATGTGTAATGACATTCTAAATTATTAAGATATTTACAAACACAATTAAGTTGATCAGAAACAACTCTATCCTACCCTGCTATGCACATTGTGCAATATTCATTGACTATATTGCAATCTATTTATTATATTATCTCATTTATTATAAAAAATTTAAATGAAATGATTTTAAAGTATTCAATTTAATTATCAAATTTTTAAAGATACATCAAAATATAGAGAACCTACTGTATCAAACGGCAAATAACATTTCTCACACCTTGGATGACAATCTAAAATACTTAAATGAGAATTAATACGTAAACATAAAGTTTCATCAATCTGAATATATTCTATTGTTCTTATTAAACATATACATTATCCAGCAACCAAATGATTATGATATATATTAGGATCTCCAAAATTTGTACAATTATCTATATTGGGCCCATCGCATTAATAACATGTTGGATAACATACTAATTTAAAATAATTAATAATTCTATTTACATCTACATTTGGTCGCCTCAGAAATTCCAGATCTAACTATCCAACCATCCAATACTATTCCATTAATATCTAATTAGTTCCAACTAGTCTATATTACTTTTCAAAAATAACATTCAAATATAGTATCAGTCTATTGGCATATTAAACATTCTTAAGGACATTTCTCGACTAATATAATGAAATCTCTAAATCCACAAGACTCCTAATTAAATTTTCTAATTGTTATAAATTATCAGGGCCTTAATCTAAATTGGTTTTGAAAATTACTACGGCTGTCGGCCACTATGCTTTATATTTAAGTTCAAATTCACTGATACTTCATTCCAATTTCCACCGCACATTGATGTTCCATCATAGTAATTGTATTTTTTCTACCACGCTATTTGATAATCCAGAGTCCCATTAATCTATTCTATATTATTTATGCCTTTTACTTCAAAAATTACAATTGCAAATTGGTGGTAGCTCAAAAGTCTAACTAGCACTTACCCTTCGACTAAATGCTGAAAAACCACCAAATAATTTTTGACCCATCCAATCTGTGAACTATGGTTAGGCTCCACTCACCACCCAATCTAAGTTTGATTCAAAATTATAATTATTATCATAATTAGAGAAACTATTTCCTTAAAATGAAGATGAGATCACTTATGAAACTCCAAAAACTTCAATTATACTTATCAAATAAAGTGCTCTTCCAAAGATAGGATTAATCATTAATATTATTTATGTGAAAATATAAATTGAGGATATTTTTAAAGTATAACTTTCTACTATTTAAAAAATTATTTTAATTTCATAGACAATAAACAAAATTCATTATAAATGCATTTTTTAATCGTTAGTTTTCAAGAAACAGATATTTTTATCGAGAAAGAATCAAAAATTACATAATTCACATTTAATTTTTTATACATTTAATCAATTCTATCTTTGAATCCATATAAGTATTAACTATTTCCTTTTTATCTATAGTAGAATAAATGAAATTTTGTCAATCCTTGCTTAAATTCTGTTTTTGAGATTAAATAAAAAAATTTTTCAGAGGTCGACTCGGAAAATACTTCTTAATCTTGTTGTGGTGAAATTATTTGCTGATTATCAATTAAAAAATAAATCTATGAAACAGTCTCCGAATGGATTTTGAATATTAAATAATATTCGTTGTAATATCTAAATAATAATCATTGAAAAAGAGCACTTATAATGGGGATTCAAATATTTGAATCAAAACTTAAAAATTCAATTATTTGTTCAAAAAATGCCTTTTCAAATGCTGTAAATATTGTTATAAATTTAATAGACATTTAAAAAAAAAGAATAAATTAATTACTATCAAATATAAAAATATACAAATTACCTTTTAAAAACCATTTTTTAAATTGAAAAAACTCTCTCTATGATTCAATAAAATCTGTAATTATAATTATTAATTTTTTTATTATTATCATCAATCATTATTTTACTTTTAAATAATAATGAATAGCAATATTTCGCAAAAACTAAAATCAATATCAATCTACATATTAATGGAAATAAAATATAGACAAAATTAAACACATATATGGATAAGTAAATATTAGAATTGGTATTAGTATTAAAAAAATTAAAAAATATATTTGAAATTAAAAATAGTAAAATAAACTTAATAAACTCAAGGATATATTTTAATTACATTTGTTAATTATCTTATTTAATTATATAATGTTAATGACGTAAGTATTATTAATAACTTTAATGAAAATAAGATATTGTGTTTAAATAATCTTAATTAATTAAATTATGTAAATATTATTAAAAAAAATTACTTTATTTGTAATGTAAATATTGAATAACTTATATTAAATAATATATTTTTGAAATCATTTTAATTAAATAATGCAAATATTGAAATGAAATGATTAACTATAAATAATTCACATTTTTTAGCTTAAATGAAAATATTATACTTTTGAAATAATCTTAATTAAATAATGCAAATATTTATATGAAATGATTAATTATTTATAGTTTATATTTAATAGCTTAAATGAAAATATTAATCTTAATTAAATAATGCAAATATTCAAATGTAATGATTAATTATAAATAATTCATATTTAATAGCCCAAATAATTTTTGAAACTATCATATTTTACTAATGTAAATATTTAATTGAAATCATTAATTCTTATTATTAATATTATAATTATAATTGTTATTATTATTATTATTATTATTATTAACACTTTATTCAGGGAACAACACAAAAAATTAATTCAATCATTATTTCTACGTTTTTATATATTTTAAAACTAACTCCATTATCACCAGCTCAGTTTTTAATTTTGATATTTCGTTCATCCCAATGTTGATATGATCATAAAATTCCTACTCACTATTATATTCTAAATGATAAATAATAAAATGTCTAGCAGTAAATTTTAATTATTGTGTGTCTCACAAGTTTTTCATGAAAATTTAGATACATATTCTAAATTTTTAGGAAGCTGCTTAATATTTTATACATAATTCTTATCATTCTACTCCTAAATTGTATTTAATTCATTCTTTGAAGGTAGAAGTTGCTATCTCTCTTTCTAATTTTTTATTGATTATTTATCTAATCCCTTCAGATTTAGATAGATCAAATTTTATAAAATTATTCCTTTTAGCTGATCATCAGTATTTTTAGGTAGTTTCATTATAATGTTAATTATAATAATGTAAATATATAATTATAATTTAATAATTCATATTAAATAGTAATTAATGAAAATAATATATTTTTGAAATAATTTTTTAAATAATGTAAATATTATTATAAAAACTTTCTTACTAAATTGGATTAAAGGCAGTTAAATACTATACTTATCAATTGACTTAAATGTATTTATATAATTTTTAATAACGTAAATGCAATAATAACATTTTTTAATTGTATTTAAATCAAAAATATTCTCAGTATCCAAAAATAAAATCAGTAATCTGATTTCTAATATACTTCATAAAACAGATTAGTATGTCGAAGATAAAATTTACAGAAAGGAAAGTAATCATTTCTTGAAATAATAATGTAATCTTTATAATTTTGAATAATTTTATTTAACACCAGTTATATTCTAGGTTAATGAAATGAAAACCTTTTCTAAAAGATATGAAGTACATGTTCTAATTAATTGACTTAATATATTACATAATTAGTACATTATCAGTTCCTTCTTTTTTTTGGAAGAAAAATATTATTTTTATACATTATTTTTCAGAAGTTTGTGGCTTTCAACTTTCTCCTATCAATTTTGAAAGTAAAAATTAATATTAGATCCCAATATTTTGAAATTCTTTATCTATATTATTATAAATTGATATTTAGATAGATATTAGTGATGATTAATAAAATGATTTCTTAAATATTATAATTTCAATTATATTACATAAATTTAGAATATAAATATATATATTTACAAGTAAAATCATATTAAATAAATTAAATTTATTACATCAAATGTCTAAATATCTTGGTATATTAATTTGCTATCATCTTATTTATTGAAATGTTCTGAAAATATTAACAATAATATATTAACATTTTCATAATAAAAAAAAAATACTTTGTTTTGTATAAATTAATATAATTTTATTTTTGCTATGTTAGTTTTTTTTTGATAGGCAAAATTAATTCATTAACATTTTATCTTGTTATTAACTAATGATTTTAGTTGTGATTTAAAGTAATAGCCATTGGGTTTTTTGATTTTCTTATATTCAAAATTTATAATTCAAAAGAATGTTTGGCAAAATGTAAAAAACATTGATTTCTTTGATATAACAAATCAAAATTTTCCATTTGTTTATATAACCTATTTCAGTAAGTGAGGATAAATGAAAAAAATCCTTATTATTATTTATCAATTATTATTCAGAAAAATAAAATAAGGTTTAATGTAATATATATTTCCATTTTATTGAATAATTGAGAAAATGGTTTTATTATATAAATTTAATAAAAATTTAAAATTTTGATTATGCTATCAAAATAACAATAATAATTGTAAGAGATAGTATCCTAGAGCATATTGAAGAAGTATGTTTGAATAATAATTAGATCTGCAACTAAGACATCTTAAAAATTGAGTTAATCATTAAATCCTAATGGATTGATAGGTTAATCTTTAAGTCCAACTCAAAAAACAAATTAAAGTATGGGATTAAAAAAAGGGAACAATCTAAAATAGTATCAATAAGATTTGCTTAAATTGATGACAAGCCATAAACAATTATCATCTGGTACTAAAAAAGCTAATATGTCGGATGTGATGAGTTAATAAAAGGAATCTAAACGAATATCTTCTGGCACAAGTTAACCTCAAAAATCATAAAACTCAAATAAAATTAGTTTTGTAAATCCGGCTAGTTAGATCATAATAATTCTTAATTATGAAAATCAATAAATAAAGTTTAACATAGATCCTCAAAAATCAACAGGATGGTTGGAAGAATATTTAAAATAAGAAATAAAGAAACATTCTATTCATTAATATTCATCTACAGGATCTTAACCTGACGAAAGAAAGGTAACTTGCGGAACAGGGAATGAATCATCAGATTTGGAAATAGTGTCATTTCATACAGTTGATAAGAATTTACCAATCGATTATTATTTGTAATAAGCAAATAAAAGTCTAGAAATTTTTAGTGGATAAACACTAAATCTCTAACCATTTTATGGAACTCCTTAATAAAGTAAAATAACTCTGAAAGATTTTATATTTGTAAAATGCATAGGAGTAGGAGGATTTTCAAGGGTTTATATGGTAAAGAAAAAATCAAATGGAAGATTTTATGCTATGAAATTAATTGATAAAGAATTCATTATCCAACATAAAAAGCAAGGTACAAATAGAATATAATTTTTAAGGGATTGTATAAAATGAGAGAGACATAATGACCGTGCTTGATCATCCTTTTATAATAAAATTGGAGTATGCATTCGAATCCAAAAATTTTATTGTCTTTGTATTAGAATTTTGTAGTGGTGGTGAATTGTTTTGGCAATTAAGATAAGTTAAAAGAATGACTGAAGATCAAGCTCGATTTTATTTTACAGAAATTTGTTTAGCTATGTTTTATTTACATTCACTGTCTGTTGTCTATAGGGATATAAAACCAGAAAATATTTTAATAGACATTGATGGTCATATAAGAATAGCTGACTTTGGTTTATCAAAGCCTAATATGACTGAAGAAGACTATGCTTATAGTTTTTGTGGGTCACCAGAATATATGGCTCCTGAAATGCTATTGAAAGTAGGGCATAATGTACAGGTTGACCACTATTGCATGGGGGCATTACTCTTTGAATTAGTCACAGGATTACCTCCCTATTATTCAAGGGACACAGATGAAATTTATGAATCAATCCTTAATGAAGAATTAACTTTTCCAGAGAAGTTAAATTTATCACCTGAAATCAAAGTATAATACTTAATTATCAAAGGATTTGCTTTAAGGATTATTATGCAAATAACCATCTGAGAGATTAGGGGCAAATAAAGGATTAACTGAATTACTTACCCATGCTTGGTTTAAAGACGTTGATTTAGTGGCAATTTTATAAAAATAGATTCCCCCTCCATTTAAGCCTAATTAATTGAAATTTAATTATGACTCTAATGATTTAATGAAAGGTGAATTAGAAACAAGAGAAAAACTATTGGGAAAAGCAGGATTATAATAAGAAATTAGAATATTTAAAGCATTCTACTTTGATTCTTATGAATAGAAATAAATGAAAAGTGAATAGGCCAAAATATTATAATAACACTTTATGATGGTGACTTAATAATAATTAGCATTAAATCAAAAATTTAAACCTAAGAGAAAAAGTACTGAACCAAAAGAACATTAATCGAAACCTGCATCTCCATAAACTAGGAATTCAAAATAATCAAAATTTACACCAGAGTAATTTCAATCTCTTTAGAAACGAATAAAATCTTAGTAAATATTGAGTTCTAGAATAGATAATCATCTATGAGCAACGTATAATAGATCAGCACTATTCCAAGTCCTGCTTAATCTAAATTATAGGGTTTAAAAAGAATAATTTCCTAAAATAATTTTTTTGCAGATAGATAAAATACATTGCCAACAGGTTAAAAGGATGGTAATATAGATTATCATTAATTATTATCAAATGTTTCAACAGAATAAATTTTACATAAAAGAGTATCGTCTTTAAAATAAAGAAAAAAATGAATTACTAATAACAATATATAAATTTTATAATTTTGAATTTTCTCAAAATGAATAGAAATAAAGACTTGGATGAACTTCTCTTTAAAAAGAACACTGAATAAAAATAAGACTAAGAGAAACCTCCCTATTCTCACATAGATATTACAATAACATCTTATAGTGAAATATCAGATGGAACTCCAAATAAATTTCCAATAAAAAAAGTTTATACAGAATAAAATTGCTTTTAGCATCAAAAGAATAGAATATTAACTCAGGAAGAATAAATTCATTAATAAAATCAATTATAAGTATCAAATTCAATTCTTGAATCCATGACACCATAAAGAATGAATAAATTAATTGATTGGTCTAAATATAATGTAACACCAGGGGATGGCAAAAATATCTTTCCACAAGTTTAAGGACCCAGTATAGAATTTTCAAATGAAAACTCATTAAATTTTAAATAACCGTAAAAACTTAATATCAACAGCGATATTCTTTTAAATAAATATATCGAAATTGAAGAGAGACTAAAATTGTTATAGGCAAAGCATAAAGATTTTTCAACTCTTGAAACATTAAGGGGTAAGAACCTTTAAATAGCCTCTTAGAAAATTATTAGTTAGCAAGAAGTTATCAGAGCTAAAGATAAGATTATTGATGAATTAAATTTAGAAATAAAAAAACAGAAAGATAATGATATTTATATAAAGGATTTACTTTAAGAGATTGAAAAAAAAGATTAAATTTTAAGTGAATTCAAAAATAAATCTGACAAGGATCGAATAATTGAAAATTAAGAATAATAAATTCAAATTCTAACTAACAGATTAAAAAAGGAGATTGAATATAGAAAACAAGACGAAAACATGTTATCAGAAATAAAGTTAAAAGAGATTAAAAGATCAAGTGTATTTGAACTAAATACTAAATGTCAATCTTGTACATAAAGCAAATAGGAATTAAAAAATATATTATAAGAATGCTCAATAGAAGATGATAAGAATATTTTTGAAAGTGAAATGTCTATATAAATTTAAATTAGAGAGGTGGTAACATTATTATTGACAAAATAGAGAGAATAAATAGATATTGCATTTTAATAATATGAAGAATAATTAAAAGAATTGTCTGATTAAATTGAGTATTTTAAAGAGTAAAATAATAATTTAATTGAAGAAAATGATAAATTACATAATTAATTATCAATAATTTTGAATGAAAGAGGAGAATAAGAAAAGAAATTATATGAAGAATTTGAAAAAGTAAAAAAGATCAATTGTTTATTAATTTAGGAAAATTCAGAATTTAAATAATAGTTAAAATCTCCAAGAAATTAAGATCATATAAAATCTATCGATTCAGAAAATTTAGGTCATTTTAAATCTATATAAACTGATAGATCTGGTTTAAATAATGAAATGGCATAAATAAAACAATAATTCTAAAATTAAATAAAAGACTTACTTATAAAAATATCTGAATAAGAAAAACAAATTTAATAATTAAAGAATGATTCAATTAAAAACTTATCTTCATCTAAAAAGAATAATAATTAATAAAATCAAACTTCATAAAATGAAATGAAACAATAATATTAAAAACTAAAAGAAAAAGATAAAAAGAATATTGAACTTTATTCATAAATAAAATAATTGTAATAAGTTCAAAAAGATTACGAATAAACAATTTTTGAATTAAAGGATGAATTGGAGAAACAAAAAAAGAAATTACAATAAAAAAATATAGAAGTGAAGTAATTAATGGAATAAAATAAAACATTTTAAGATAGAAATACAGATCTAAATCAAAAACTTTAACAATAATATATTTAATAGGAATCTGATATAAAATCGAATGATACTAAACAATCACCAAATAATAAAAGCATTGAGTAAGGTAGAGTGATTAGTTAATATATTTCATCAAATTTAAGTTAATAATAATTAAATTAATTAGTGGATGAGTATAAGAGTTATCAACAAGAATTTATAGATTTAAAACAAGTTTTTAAAGAAAAGTTAAAATAACACGAAATATTATAAAATGTATTATTCATTGTTATTATTTTTTAGAGAATATAAAAGCTTTAACAAGACAATAATCATTTAGTTTAATAAAATTAAAAGTTGATTATGGAAAATTATAGTCAAAAGGATGATAAATTAACAAAAAGAACATCAGAAGAAATTACAACAGGAGTAAGATGTTCAGCTGCAACTGGAGATTCTATTAATATAAAATCATTTATCTAATTAGGAGATGAGGAATCTTTAAAGAGAAAATAATTTAATATTCTAGATCTTATTTAGCCTGAATTATTGTCTACTGAAGAAACACTTTATATTCTGAAGGAAATTCTGGTTCGATCAGTAAAATCAATTGAATTGATAAAGAAAATTTACTAGATTAGTGAAATAAAGGAATTGTTATTCCTCATTCAATAGGTAGATGAAAAATATTAGAGTTCCAACAAAAAGTTGACTAAGGTTATTAGCTGTATTTTAGGTGAAAAAAGAAAAATAAAGTATACTAATAGAAGTGAAAAGCCAGATTTCTATAATTCTTGATATGATCTATAAGTATCAATATTTTTTTGGAATTTATTTTCCAATTAATGTTTATTTTTCTAATCCTGATTTTTTATGAATTTATAATCTACTCTCTCTTATGACTGACTCTATGTACTTTTTATCAAAATATTTATTGTAAAATTCCTTCTAATCATTTGAGTTTACACTTTGAATAGGTTCAATGTATTATTAATATTAATTTTTAATATTTTTAATTAAATATGAGGTTTCCTAAAATATCTCTTGATTTATTTAATTTAAACTTGTTTAATCTTTAGTTTATTTTTAGGGTGAATATAAATGAGTAGCAGAGGCTTACAATTATTACATGTCTTCAAAACTACGGTCTTAACAATCTGATAAGTAAAGATAGATGTGGTGTTATTCCTTTAAATTAATATACAATATGAATTACTTTCATTTTTAATTTTGGGTTCAGTCTCAACTTTGTTTATGAAGATGATGTTTCTGATTATTGAACACTTTACTATGGGACTAACAATGGATTTAACTAGAGAGCCAAAGCTAGCTGTTAACTTAATACATATTAATTAAGCTTACTTTCCCTCTTCTTCTTTATTTTCAGAGCTAATTGGCTATTCCTGACTGTCTTATTACTTCAATGGAGGGTTAGGCTATTATATTGTTATGATTTTACCTTTGACCGCTTACGCTTAAGTGTAGCAGCCTTTTTAAAAACTAAAATTAAAGGAAACTTACCTCTTCCTATCGTTCTTACTCCTGTATACGTTGTAAATACTATTTTATTTTTCTTTCTTCTCTAGTTGAAGTTTACTCATTAATAATTAAGGATTGCGAAGATCCTTTTGGCAGATTTACCAATTCAGTTGGTTTTACTTATTTCTTTTATTATTCTTCCTATGAAGATAATAAACTTAAGTTTTCTTGACTCTCGCCCTTTGATTATTATTCACTCATTATTATTTAAATTAATTTAAAGATATTTATTTTTCTCTCAAATTAAGAATTTAAAACTTCATTTAATCCAATTCATCTTAAAGCCTTTTATTGCAACACTTCAAATCAATTTAATTTTACTTTTTTTTATTTTATTTTATACAAATTTTAAGAACAAATTAATACAATGATGATCTAATAGTGAAAAATGTAAATTCATGATTATTTGTATCAATTAAAAAATTCAGATAATCACGCCATTCATAAATATTATCTTTTATTATATGATTTATATTTTTTATACTAATGATTAATACTTTAAATAATCTATAAGAAAAAGTAATAAACATTATACATAATTCTTAACTAATTTCTTTTTGTAAAGAATAGTATATAAGAATTTACAATAAGCATTCAGAATATGTATTATAATTGAATAATAGATTTAATACTGATTATTTTGAATCATTTAATAATTAGTGTTTAATTACATCATAATTACAAGAGATGATCCCAATCAGTAGGTTCTGTAACTTTACTAAATAGAGGGTCTATAACTATTTTAAATGCATCATCTATCATTTTTGGTATCAATTGTTATAATAATGGTGATGACTCTTCAAGGCAAGGATTAGTATTAATTTCTATTAACCATGGCTTCAATTACTCATCTAACATAAAATCATATCCAAAGATCTCAAATGAATATTTACATTTCTTAAAAGTATTTTGTATAGCCATCCAAGAAAATACTATGATTGATTTGATTTTTGGCAAAACAGTTTTAGTGAATTCTCCATTTGTATAATAATCTAATTCTGAATATGATATTTAATTTCCTAATTCAAAAAAACCATAATTTTGGGAATGCTTTTAAACTGCATTGTTTGTTAAGTGAATAAATGCATCTAATTTGTTTAGATCAAACATTTCTGAAGATAATCTTGCATAACCCTAATTAAATATATAAATCTCAAATTAATGAGTTACTAAAACCCATACTCTAATATCAAATTTTCTTCCATCTAATAATAATGGTCTTTAAATGTACTTTTATATCACAAAAGAGGATGATTTAATTTAACCTTGACTAAATTGATATTCAGAAATTCCTTTATTGAAATTTTTTAATAACTATTTAAGTTCTTCAATGGTTCGAAAAAATTAGATACCTCTTCCTCGATTAAATTCATTTGGTTTTAAAATCTTAACTGTTAGAGAAAATTAATACCCAAATGTAATTATCTTCTTCATCTAAAAGGCTATGATGCATTTTAGGATGTACATACTAGGAAACGGGTTTAGAAGAATAATTAAGTTGATTTTTTTTAGAGTTTGAAGGTTTGAATTATTCATAAAAGAATATGAATTCTTTAAGAACTCTGTTTAGATCATTCTCTGAAGTATAAAGATCTATAATAAAAGATAATGGAGTTATATCCCAGACATATCGCTTATTAGCTTAACAAAAATATTTTAGATTCTTAATTAAATTGCATTTCATAGTAAGTTCTCTATGATTAGGTAAATGATTAACAATTTGTATTTATGATTAGCTAAGTGTAAGATATTTAAAGTTCTTATCATTCATATTCCATTAAAAATGAAGTAATTGATTTGCTGATTCTTACCAATTCTTTCTTTTTTGCATTGTTTAAATAATAAGTTTGCTATTATTTCCAGGAGCTACATAGTAATAATAAACTTAGGGATTTATTATTTTAAGAGAATAATATCTAGTAATTTATTTGAATTATGAGATTGGTTCATTTTCATCTTAAACTTGCTATTATTGTAACATATTAATTAATTAAAAATGATAGATAATCAAACTTTGTAAAGTATACTCAATTATTAGAATATAACAGAAGGATATTCATATGGAGAACTAAGTTAGTTAAAGAATTTTAAGACGGTATTATCCAATAATAAGATTTATTTTGGGCAAGTATTCAATTCAAAAAAACATGGAAAGGGTGTGTTGTGGTCTAAATCAGGACATATTTATGAGGGAGAATTTAATAATAATCGAAAACATGGATTTGGGATGGAATTATTCTAATAAAAATCTAGTTATTGTGGAAGTTATTTAAATGGTAGGCCGGAAGGCTTAGGAAAATTTATTTGGGGAAATGGAGAATCTTATGATGGAGAATGGTTGAATGGATATAAACATGGTTATGGAACATGGATAGGATTAAAGGGAGATAGTTATAGTGGATAATGGGCATATGATAAGCCTCATGGTTAAGGAATTCATAAATGGATTAATGGAGAACAATATCAAGGTGAGTTTAAGGAATGTTTGAAACATGGTTTTGGTGAAGAAATATTTTCAAATGGGGATAGATATATTGGGATGTATTAAAATGGAACTCCAGAAGGAGAGGGAGAATACTTCTATTCAAGTGGAGCATATTTTCATGGTTAATTTTTGAATGGATTTAAATCAGGTTATGGTGAATATAGATGCGCTAATTATTCTTATAAGGGTTATTATTAAAATGATAAAAAGAATGGAGAAGGGGAATTGATATATGCAGATGGTAGTAGAAGAAAAGGAAAATTTTATAATGATTTATTTGAGAATAATGAAACAACTAAGCTCACTATTAATACATAACCAGAAAATAGTCCATAAAATTTATACAATATTACCAATTCTAAAACTCCCTTTTATTTATCTTAGACTAAACCAATTTAAAAAGAATTAAATTCCTCTTCTATCAATAAAACAGTTAATATAACTAGAAATATTTAAGAATCTAAATTCTAAAAATAACTCAATCTATTACCTATTATGAATAATAAATTGAGAAGCAATTCAACTAGATAATCAAATTAAGATAGTGATAAAATCCTTTATATTAATTAATATAAAAACAACCAATCAGTAAACAGTAAACAAAATTCTCGTAAGACATCTGTAGTTACTTAACCAATAGCAATTACTTAGACTATTTATAGAAGCAAGAATTAATAGGATTTCTCTTAAAAGTTAGAAAGCACAATAAGAAAATTTCATTACAAAACAGAATTAAAAGGAACAAAGAATTAGAATCATAGAAGTGTATCGTCATCAAAACAAAAATGATGACTACAACTACTTTATATATTTATTATTATTCATTTTAGATCCTTTAATTCTTATTAATTCAATAACTCATCATTCTATGGTGAGTTTTCTTCAACTCTTTTTTTGAATGCCCTAATACATGCTAATAAGATGACTCCACAAATTATTGTAAATAATGCAAATAGGTGTATAGTTGATCTTTTATCAACAGTAAAATTTTCAACCTTAATCAAACCTTTGAGTAATGGGGTTATTAACTCTGTTGGAGCTGTGGAGTCCAATGATTTAGAATAATTTTGCAAATTTAATATTTGTTCTGCTGTTATTGGCAAAGAATCAGACAATATGAATATCTTTTTACCACAATTCTCATATTATACAAAATAATCAACATCCTTCAATTATTCTGCTAAATCTACTAATCTTAATTAGAAATTATTTTATATTTGAAGTGTAGGATTTTCTCGAATATTATTATTAGTTTCAACAGGAATAACAAGTTTAGCAAATGCTAAGTTATCAATTTCTGTTGTATTCATTTAATACATATTTACTATGATTTCACATTTAGCCTCCTCTTCATCAGGTATAATATGAATAGCTGGACAATAGATCTCAAAATTTTGGGGTCCAAAGATAACTGAGGATTATAGAATTTGAATTTTTGATTTATCATTGATATTAAAGCTCTCCCCATAACCGATTATGTATTCTCCTTCTAATCTTATTACGATTTCAGTTTCAGATTATTTTTTCTACACTGAATTGGGAATTTGGAGATAGGTATTCTCAATACATTGTCCACTTACAATAATAAGTAAAGAGATAAAATATATTAGCATTTAATAAATAAAATAAAATTACCTGTTAAGGATATTTTAATTATATATTTTTATAAATGAAAAAGCTATAATAGATAGAGAATATTAAACCTATAAATAATGAATTTCGATTGAGTGATCTAAATTATTTAATACAAGGTAATAATTATTATAATATTAAAAGGAGGAAGGCCAAAAGAGAAGTATTTATTGCATCAAGTTTTTTAACATTTCCATTAGGATTCAGAACTTGCTAAAAAATTGACAAATCTACTACTGAAATTTGAAAACCCAAATGAATATGATAAAGAGAAATGGACTCCATTGCATCAAGCTGTGAGATATAATTAAAATAAAGCAGTGATTTATGCCTAATAAATTGGATAATTCAATTTTCATCTTCTGGCAGGATAACAAGGTCTATCATTAATGCATTTGGCTGTTCTTAAAAGTAATTATGAAATTATAGAAATATTGATTGTAACTTATTAAATTAATAATTAGGAAGAGAAAGTTTCATTATTCATTGAAAATGTAGATGGAATATTACCAAGAAGATTTGCTTTACAATCTCCAGTTAATTTGAAAATGATTAAAAAATATGAAAATCAATAAATAATGAGATTTTTAATTGATTTTGAAGATATTGAAGATGATGAATCAACTTATGCAAATAAAATTTAAAATTTAAACGTTTCCTAATAATCAATTAACAAAAGAGAAGCCAATGATGTTCTAATTACTAGACCAAAAGTATCATTAACTTATCATGTTTAATAAAAACAATTCAATCCTTACTATTTAAGATGCGAAAGATTTTATGAAAATGCTTTATCCATAATTTTTGAAGGAAATGATGTACTTATTTGATATGCGCTAGAATAAGAGCTTTATACAAGTATGTTACTATTGTTGTCTTTGAGCAATGATAAGTTTCCAATAAAACACATTCAATAATTAGTTGAGTAATTAAATGTTACATTACCGATTCTTAGACAAGATTACTTTGATATTGAATGTAAATTTGAACAATATAGTAAGAAAATAAAAAAGGATTTAATTTATGCAATATAAGATTATAGAATAGTATATAAATATCAAATATATATATAGAAATTGAAAAGTATGCCAAATATCTTTGGAGAACCTAAAAATTAAGAAGCTATTAATAATTTGAAACGATTCACTTCTAATAAATTAGAATACGATATCAAAAATTATGCTGGTGTATTTCCTATGCCTTAATTAATGTATCAAATTTAAAGATTGTGTTAATTCACTAATTTTAGTTTTTTGATTTGTGAATATCCAAAGATAAAATTTCAATCAAATTATCTAGTTTTACATCAATTTGAATGTCTGAATAAGTTGGAACATTATTAACTTAGTGAATCTTCAAGAATAAAAGGATGTAGTCTTCATGAATCTAATACGGATTTGGATTAATAATTGAAATTTAATAATATTTATAATAATTATTAATTATGAATAAATCATAATAAGAAGCTATTCAAAAGAACCATTATGGCAAACTAGAATTTTGGGAAAGAAGATATTCAGAGTATTATATACTTATTATTCTAGAAATGATAAGCCATTTGAATGGTATTAAAATTATGATACCTTAAAAGATATTGTTACACAATATATTAATCACAATAGTCGTATTCTTAATATTGGATGTGGAAATTCAAGTATCAATATTCATAAATTAATTTATAGATATTCCTGAAGACATGTACAAGGAAGGATATTAATGGATTGTTAATCTAGATTTCTCTAAAACAGTTATTGAATTTATGAAAGAGAAATATAAGTCTTACCCTGCTCATTTTTAATGTATTCACTTATATCTTATATATAGTTGTATTGGCTGATGCAAGAGATTTACCATTTCCAAATGAATCATTTGATTGTGTCTTTGATAAAGGTTTATTAGATGCTGTTTTAAGTGGAGACTATTCAGCCCAGAATTCAAAAAAGGTGATCAATCACATCTACAGAGCATTAAAAAAAGATACTGGTGTATATATTATAGTATCTCATGGATTCCCTGAATAGAGACTTCCATATCTAAGCAAGTCAGAATATAATTGGAAAGTGACATACAGTAAAGTATATAAACCTGATGTCAGAACCAAAAGTTTGGAATTTGATGCAACAGATCTAAATAATTATCATTTCATCTATGTTTGCAAAATGGATAGATATCAAGGTTAAACTGCTGCTTAAGTTATTGGAATTTGATTATATTTTACAGACTTAAGAAATATTTATAGATATTCAATTAGAGAATCAAAATAATTATGATATTATATATTTTATTGCACATATTAGTCCTTAATTCACTCATCCAATATTAAGGTATCAATCTACACATAGATACTACAAATCATATATCCATTAATTAGATATATATTATGGATTTGACTATGTAAAGGAAAAAAATCAAGACTTTTTGAATGGTTTTTTAATTTAATGTAATTGGAATCTATAATAACTTCAGATAATAATAATATCCATAAGGAATCTCTTCTTAAATTGATACATAGCTTTTTAAGATCTTTCTTCAGCAAAATGATGACCATGTAAGCATCTTAAAGTGATATCAAAAATATTTTCTTTGTTCTAGATCCATATCAGGATATAAATATATACATATTTTGATGAATCAAGTGTTAGAACTTGAAGTTAGTGGATTACTTAAATTATAACCTATACTTAGATAGACTAAATTTATGGTTGAATATATAAATAATTTAATAGTTATGATTAATATATATATTAAAAAGAATTATGGCAATATTTCTATAATAGATATGAATTATAAGAAAAAGAATGGTCATAAATGTTACAAATCTTTAATCTTGGTTAATTTTTTTGCATCTCTTTATTCTCTCTGAAGTCGTTGTTGCATTCGATTATAGCGTCCTTGAAATAGTTTAGTATCATCTTTTAATCTTTTCCATTTTATAGGCAAGAAACATTAATCTTTTGTCATGAGATTATCCATAAGTAATTTTTCATGATATCCATTATATATACGCTTCACATATTCATATTTCATAATATCCGGATCATCTATAAACTCTTTTTGTTCAGTATCTTTAATATGAAGAGATTCCCTTTAAGTCTATGGTTAAGATTTAATGATCTTGGCCATGTTTTCTAATGGGATGTAGAGAGGATTTAATCTTTCAGATTCTAAAATTAAATCTGAAACTTTGTCAATTTCTATAGCTTACTACAATTTTGTATTTAGAATATGTAATGGAATTTTATTTTTTATTTAACTTGTGCGATTCACATTTTTTGAAAGAAGCTTAAACTATTCCCAAGATCCTTAAAAGTTCTTATTATCCTTAACCTCTTTATTTGTATTTAAGAGTTATACTTTTGCTGATTTCATCTATTCTTTTATCAAGTCAAATTTAATTGTACTAAATCTTGGTTTGTGTTCTGATTAAAAACCTAAAGTTTATAATTCGGATATCATCATAGTACTTCTTCTCTTTAATTACATAACATATAAGGATTATTTCCTTTATAAACGAGAATATAAAAAATCTTCAGGCTATATTGGTTTAATCTATTATTCTAATATCTTTTAATTTAATTCTTATAAACATTTAGTTCTCTTACTTTCATCATAGAATACATTTCTAACTTTATTATTTTTTAATTCCACATAATCTTTATATTTCTTAACTTTTTCTTTAACTTATTATTTAAAATGCTCAGATACTTAATATGCTTATTCATTTCCAATAAATAATACAATATTATCTCCACATAAAAATTCTTCACATCTAAATCCAATCTTTACCAATTAAGGTTTAGGATGTTTAGAATTCCATTAATATAATCTACCTAATTAATCAACACATGCAGATTAACTTAAAGCTACATGAATTTTACGTATATTAGAATATTCATTAGGCATTCTAACTTCTTTAATTTTTAAAGCTTCTTCAAATGTCATAGATTATAATCCATTACCCCATTCATAAACAATTCCTTATTAATTCAAAGCCAAACTATAATGATTGCCACATTAAATATCTTGAATTCTTTCTAATTATTTGATTTGAGTAGGAGTACTGCAATAAGTTTAGAATGTATATCCTGCCATTTATAATCCTAATTCTCCATTTTTTCCATTTCCCCATGAATATACATATCCATTTTCATCTAATAATAAAGAATGACTTATTGAACATGATATCTTAACTACTTTATTCATAATTAGTAATGGTTTTGATGTTGAAACTATATTTGTTTTAACTCCAAGTAAATGAGTAAATCCACTACCATATAAATCACCATGTTAAATATAATAAAATCGATCATTTTATGCACATAATTATGACACTCCTTTTTAAGGTAATTATTTTGGATCCAAACATAATCCTTTATATTATGAACAACCAAAATTAGTTTCACCCCAATAATAAAGACCTTCCCAATTATAAGCATAAGTATATGTTTCAGCACAATTTAGAAGTTCATAATTGCAATAAAGTCTTTATGGTTTCTTTTGTACTTCAGAGACTTCACCCAATCCTAATTGAGCATGTGAATTGTCTCCAAAAACCCATACATCATCCCTAAATATTGTAATATTGTACCTATTTCCAAATAAAAAAAAGGAACGAAATCCTCCGAATAATTTAATGATAGTAGCATCAACTAGGATCTATTTCACTGAGCCGTAAGGAATAAAGTCAACCAAATCAGTACGACCGATAAAGAAGACTATTTTAATTTGCACACACTACCATTGCTCATATTTGGATGGGGTTGTTAATTAATTAATATTTATGCATAACTAAATTAAGACTAAGTAAAATCTTGATAGATAGAGTAAGTCATAATATTGACTTAGATTTATATTTTGCAGATAACAAAATCACTTTAGCTTTTTGTTAATATGAAAGGATAAGACCATTTGGATTAAAATAAAATATTGAATTTGATAGTGACTACTCTGATCCTCCAACGAAAATGATTGATATCACAAAACTACCAAATGGATAATTCAAAGATAGAAGTAACTTAAAAGTTATAAAAAGGATACATGCATAATGATGAATCATTTTTTGTAAAAATGGGTGGAAAGAATAGAGAATTAATAGCATAGAAAATTAGATCTAGATTAGAAAGTAGATAGAGTCCAATGACATATAGGGGTAATTAATTATTATTTTATGATTCAAGCTAGAAAGTCCTATTTTTGATTAATAGATGATAAAAAAAGCTATAAAATGTCAATAACTAAAATAATCAAATTCTGCTAGGTTTTTTCGAGTATAAACTCCAAAGTTGTCTCCAATTAGTAGGATTGAAGTAAGACCAATTAGTGGGGAAGTTAAAGATGATAAAAATATACCATAGTTTAGTTCAGCACAATAAAAACTTTTTAGAATACTACTCAAGAAATGATTTAATTTTGGTGTTAGAAAATAATTCAAAATTCTCTTATATCTTAATTATTAAATTAATTAAAATAAAACTATAGAAATCATAATATAATAATAATAACTTTATGTATAATGATCATGATATTATTTTCACATTTGGAAGTGTTTATTATTGTTATTGTAAAAGTGTTGGTTGAATAGTTTAAATAGGTTAGTCTTAAATAATATATTATTTATGAATTGGCTATTAAGGATATGATTGAGATGAATCTATAACATATTATGTTTAAATTGGACGAGTAGTAGTAGTTTATTCAAGAACTATTCTTTAAGGAGATTATTATTAAAGTAATATAGATTATCTTTATAATTCTACACTGATTCGTTATTCTAAAGATTTAATCAATTCATCTTTTTGTCCTATGATTGTGGCCATCTTAATATTCTCTTATTCTAAAAATCTAAAATCATTTATCATTCTAGTATAATCTTATTTTAATCTAATTTTTTCAGGATCCTCTCTAAATGATAATGATGATAATTCTGAATTAGTAAATTTTAGTGAATCAATTTCTCTTAATAAAGCATTACGTTCTTATTCTAAATATCTTACTTAATTAATTAATTCATAATTTTCTTATGGCACAGGAACATGAACTACTTATTATGGAATTGGTTATCTTAATCTGAGATCTAAATCTTAGATCTAACTGTTCTTTTATTAAAGTTCAATTTGTAAATTATTTATAATTTGTTTCATTTCTTTAATTCTTTTCTTTTTCTTATCTAATTGAGTTTCCAATTTTTCTATTTAATATGGATTAATTATTTAAGATTATTAAGGTTGAGTTTATTATACTCTTTAAGTTAATTAATGTTTAATATCAAAGAGTGATTATTTTAAATCTAATAATTATCGTTATTATTCATCTTATAGTTTTTAATTCTGTAATTAATCTAATTGTTATTACATCTTTAATTCCATTTCTCTAATTTCTTGTATATGCAATTTCTCTATATCATCCAACTTCTTCTCATATTCCTCATTTCTATTTTATACAATTGGTTATTTCTCTATGTATATTAATTGAAAATACCTTTTAATACTACTTATCTTGTAACAACCTTTTATTCCTTGTCACAACATGGTACACAAGGCATACAAGACATACAACAATTTTATTCTTATATTACTTAATCTTATTTTATGTATTATGATTCTCCTTATACTATTCTTCTTTCTCTTATTACTGTTGGTTCTGCTGTTATGATTTATGTTGGTTGAATATTTGGTACTACTACTATTGGTTATTCATATGTTGTAGCTACATATGGTGTAGGAACATATGTTTGATAATATGATTATTGATGATCATGTCTATATTCGACTACTTTAGTTTTCTTTTCAGAGTGTTTTGACATTATAATAAATCAACGGTTAATTAAATAAAAATTATTCACATCACAGTAGAATTACAAGAACAATCAAGAATTGACCAAAATGAAGGTGGATGAATATATTTCTTTCTATTTTGAATATCTTCAAATTAAGTTAACAATGATTCACTATAATCCATTCTTTATTTTTATTGAATTGCAAATCTCTTAGCATATTCAATAAATTATGATTCTTTCTTAGATTTATCAATCATCATTTTTAAAGCTGCCTATTTATTATTAATAGCCTCAAGAATAATAATTTTAAATTAATCATTATTTTAACATTGTATTTGTTACACTTTTTTATATTGAATTGAATTTTCAAAATGTTTCTCAGCTTTCTTTATTTTCTTTGTCCAATCTACTCTGAATTCACAAACCTATCTAAAGGTTTTACCTTGTTAATTCTTTTCATATAATTATTCATGAATACAATTATCCAAATGTAAACATGGTTAAATAACTAAAGAAACTAATAATTCTAAATCCTTTTAATTCTTATATTCAAATAGTTTCTTATCACTAAATATTGGTGTCTTTAATTTAATAGTATAACTATTCTAAATATCAACTTATATTGAATTCTTTAATTTGTCATATATCTAAATCTAAGGAGAAGGATGCTTCCGATGAGCACTTACTCTTAATTAATTGATTTGAGATTCCTCTTGTATTAAATTTGATATATTCTTCATTAATTTAAATTATGTTACTACTAATACGTAAATCATAAAAGTATTATAATAATATACATTATTCATGAATAAACTCTTTTACTGTTAGATTAAAATTCTAATTCTATATTCTAATAAGATATCTAGTTAAAATAAACAAACAAACAATTTAATCAAATTATTCAGCATATGATGTTAAATAAAAAAACATGATAAATATACTATTTAATGAGAACTATTAAAAAAACAGTATAGAAGATTTTAATAATATTGATATGATAAAAAATAGTAATACACTTCATGGTTCCAAAAATTAAGATTTAAGATAATGATATCCAAAAAATTTAAATGGAAGATAATAAAAAATAGTTTATTTGGAAATTCGTTATTCTGAATAAATAATTATTACACATAATAATATATATAATTATTTGAAGTTATTGTAATATATGTAAATTATGCGATATTAATTATATATTGAAGTATTAATTGCTTTAATTTTAGCTATTATAAATGCGATCATTATAATTATCTTATCCTCAAGATTATTATTACTATATTTAATAAAACAAATATATATAGTAAATTGAATTATATATGTTAAATTAATACTTATGCTTAATTCTCTTTAATTAATATATTATAGTATATCATTCTAGAAATTAATTAAATTGATTCCATTTATAAAATGCTTCTTCTTCTTCTTTTTTCAAATAATAATATTTTCTACTTCTTTTTAACAATTTAAGTGCTGATTGCTTTCTAGTATTAATTAGCTATTATAATTTTATATAATCATTTGGTTTTATTAGAACTGAACTTTTAGATCTAAAGAAAGGTTTGTTATTCTAATTAATGATTAAGTTTATTTTTATCATCAAAGATAACTTAAGATTCAAATTATACAAATCTCAATTTTTAATAAACAAAAGATTTAGTCTCTTAATAACAATTTGAAATTATTATGATGAATAAAGCAATTAAAATTAGGTACTATTTATCTTGAATGCTTATCAAAGACTTCTAATACTGTTTGATAAATTAAGTTGAATTAGTTTTGATTAAATTTTTTTCAAAGGATTTTCTGAATATTAATAATTCTTTAGATGACCTAAATAGAAGTGGATTTGAGGAATAGATTTATTATTATAGATGTAATTGTCTAATGGGAATTTAGTTTGAGAATGGTTATGTGTGTGTGTATTTGATTTATATATATATATTAATAAATGATAATAATTGATATAATGAAGGAGAGGGTTTCAGACATTTAGAATATCTACAACAATTCTATGGCGATTAAATAAATTAGTAATCTTGATTTTAACATAGAGTATAGAGAAAAACTTCGTTAAATCTAAGAGACTGATATTATGAGTTCGCTCTATTAATTTCGTAAATTGACACAATAGGATTTAGCATAATTCCAAGAAGGTGCAAAATAAATATTAAAAATAATTGCACCAGGATTTGATGTACACGATAACATTAGTTAAGACACGATTTAGTGAAATTACTCTCACTTCCACCAGCAAAGTATTCATAGAGTTGTACTAACATTTTGGTTTCGTTTAAAAAAGTGACACTTTGTATAATGAATTACTTCACAATTCCAAGTAGCAGATATTTCTATGTCTCATTCAGCATTTGATAGATCTAACCAAAATTGCATTAAAGTGTGCTGTCAAACGGTTTTTAGACATGAAGCTCTTTTGTATAGGTAAAGAGATTGAAAAGTCTCCCATTTTATTAAATAAAAGGATAGACATGATTCAATTTACAGCAGTTAAAAGGAATAAAATTAAAAGAGTAATGCGAAGTGAATCCAATTCTCTACATTAATCAGATAAAAAATAAGAACTTAGAATTATTATTGATAAAAAAGATCGACTCTCTATTCATGATGTTATTTCTCATTGTGATAAAAGTGAAATCATCAAAAAAAATATAAGAAATTATGATGAAATTAACATTGATAATATATCTACTACTTGCAATAGAAACATATAAAGATATTAAAGTGTCTAGAAACATACTGAACCAACTACATAAAGATTACAATTCCCAAGTATTTATAAAAATTCCAATTCTGTTCTTTATAAAGCTCTTAAAACACGTAATTAATCCATTAGTCTAACCATATCTAATTACATTAGAGAATTGTAAGACAAAGGAATTTATGAAGAATGAATTAATAAAACTAAATTACTTTTATTATGAATATTTTCTATTCTATCTCTCTCTCTTTTTATTTAATTAAACTAAATCATTCATATCTTAAATGATCTCAAGTTGTAAGTTTTAATAAAATAAATTTAAGAATATTCTAATCCATGACTTGAATTCTAATTATTCATAAATAATAAATTTAATTATTGAAATTTGAAAAGTTAAGTGAATTCATAAGGATTTTAATTTCTTTAATTGTCCTAATATAGTGATTAAAGGAAATATAAATATTTAAATAATTGAAATAATAGTATATTATTATTTTTAAGTTTAAATAGATAAAGAAAAAGGAGTATAATTTATTTAATTAAGAAATATAATAAAGAAATTTAATTGTATTAAATATAAATTTAAATAAGTATGAGAATATGAAATGATTATATTAATTTAATTAAAATTCTGATTTAATCCAAAAGTAATTTCTTTAAATTATGATTGAGTTAAGAATAGATTTTTTAAATAAGGACAATTTCTTTAGGTAATGTAAACAAAAAAGAGAAAAGGTATTATTAATAATTATTAAAATAATGAAGATTTGATTGATTATTTAATGATATTTTTGTTATGAATTTTAATTATAGCATTTGTTTTAGAGATTTGACTTAGTATAATCGTATTAATTTTTAATATATCTCCAAAATTTTCATCATAATATTAATATAATTTTTTGGAATTTGCAATTTTGTTAGTGAGTAATATAAAATTTAAATCAATTTAAAGACTTAATTTGTATCATTCATTATTTTAAAGAGTCAAGTTTTTGCTTTAGAGAATGTTACGTTAAATTTAATGCCATTTCAATAAGATGATAATTTTACCTTTATTGTTTCATTATCTTATTTAAGTCAATTATTGATAAAAGATTATAAGATGATAGTAGTAATCAAGTATTGATGGATATCAGTAGATCTCTATCTCATGAACAAGGAACAAAATAGTATTATGGTTTTTTCAAATTTGGCTTTGTATGATGATGAAGTTCCAGAATCTGTTATTTAGAAATATTTTTCACCATTAAAAATTAATAGTGAATAATTAAGTTTAATTGTAAGTAATATTAGAGATTACAATTTAATAAGCTTGTAATAATTCAATCTAAAATTAGAGGATATCAATATATTTGATAAAGTAAAACATATTGAAACTTTGATGATTGATATTATTAAAAATAATTAGATTCATGTAGTAAATTTAATAATATAATATTTAACTTTACATGATTATTAATTGATTAATACTAATATTATAAATGATAAACAACAACTTTTACATTCTTAATAAAAAATCATTTCCATGAATTTAATAATTATGAAAAAAGAAATCAGTAGAAATCAGTAGAACACAGATAAAGTATATTCATCATTAAATATAATTTGATTAACATTAATTTTAATATAAATTACAAGAATGCACCTATTGAAGATGATAATATTCTCAAATAAACTAAATTATTATTTGTTTAAGATTAAGGATCTGTACCAAAAAGTTAAGATGATTTCATATTAATTCAAGAACCAAGAAATATGAGTCCAAAATTTCAATGTGAAATAATTGAATTTTCTATATAAAATGTGCAAAAGTGTTAATAGTTGATGATGAATACTTTAATATTTTGAGTTTATAATTGTTAATGTAAAAACATAGATATAAATGTGATTATGCATATAATGGAAAAGAAGCACTTAATAAAATTATGTAAAAATTAGAAATAGGATGTCATATCTGTTAAAATAAATCATTTTTATAGATATAGATATGCCTATTTTTAATGGATACTAAGGGAAATCAAGAATTTAATAAAAAATAAAATAATTAGAAAAGCATGGTGTGTTGCAAATACTGGATTTACAGATCTTGAAACTAAGATATAATCATTTAATTCTAGCATGGATTACTTTCTAACCAAACCATTAGATTCAAAAAACTTACATAATTTAATTATTTAAATGTTTCCACTACATAAATGAATTACTCTAAAAATTATTATTTAATTAATGTTTATAACAGAGTTAAGAGATGTATATCAATATATGCAATCTCAATATTTTGTACTTAACAAAGAAACCATTCTTAGTATCAGAACATTATAGGACAAATACTTTGATTAAGTATGTACAAAAATCATTTTAGAAATTACTTGAATTATTGTTACAGAGTGAAGAGATCGTTCGTAAAGATGTATTAGAGTAATTCTAAAGTACTCTATTATAATTGTAAGAATGCTAATTAGGGTAATTATAATTATGTATCAATTCTAAAGTGGTAATACATTCATTAAAAATGTTCGAACTATGGTCAAAGTTGTAACACATTCAATTGCTATGCAAATGTAATCCAATGTTGATAGTTATGGTTCGATCAATTAGATTTTGAATATTTCTGAAATTAATGGGTAATAAATAGCTTCTTAATCATTAATTGAATTATGTAATAAATATATAGCCAAATTCATTAATCTAAGAATATAAGATACAAATGAAAATATATAAAGTAATAATTGTATCATTATTGAAAATGTGGCAAAATCAATTCATTATAAATTATTAGATCCTCTTTTATGTTAAACATTTATGGATAATATTGAAAAAATTAAAGAAAAAGATGAAGAAACATTTAATAATTCCTCAAATTCTGAATCAATTTATTCTTAAATTAAATCCACATTCAGTTTAATAATGATTATCAATTCAATTACAATTAATAACTAAATCAAATTAGAATAATTACATTAATATGCTTTTCTTTATTTTCAAAAATCATTAAAGTATTTTGAAATAAGTACTTCTCCAATCTTTTTGTAATTCATAATTAAATTATTAAAATAATAAAGAGATGAATTTGGAGGATGGTAATTAGATTTAATATAAAAAAATAAAGTTTAATCTTTTATTAAGGAAATGTTTGAAGTAGTTGCTAATAATTTACATAAAGCTAGTATCTCATAAATATATGAATTTTGTTAAGGATTAAAATACTTTAAATATTTAGGTTTTGATGTTTTGAATTCAATTAATTTCTATTTTATTATGCATGAATTACATTACAATTTTGGTAGTTTCTTATCTAAAGTACTAATTTAAAAATAATAATTATAATAGATTATTGATCATTAATTATTATAAGAATTATTTTTAATTGAATAAAAATTAAATTACATCTTGAAATCAATTCAATAAGTATTTGTTTAATCCTTTTATCATGATGAAAATTAAAATAAAGTATTGAATGAAAGAAAGATACATTAAATTGTATTATTATGGAATGCTTTTTTTGAAAATAGAACTGATTTTGTATAACAAGATTATTTTAAATAATTATCATAGATGATGAAGATTAATTATATTAGTAATTCTAAAGAGGAATAATTACTTAGAAGAATTTCATTCTTAAAATTGGCGAATACATTCCTTTTAAGAGATAAATAATAGGAAATTTCATTTAGTAGTAATGTTATTATAGATTTGGTTCAACCTAAATTGAATCTTTACCAAATTATATAATAAGTTCTATTATAGTAAAATAAATAAGATAAACCAAATATTATGGTGATGTAATATATGATTAAGAGATTGTATTAATTTTATTTAAATTTATTGGCTAACTTAAAGGATAAATAATTTAGAGAAAAAGCTCTTAAAGAATTATCTAAATCAATTTAATTATTTTTTGATGGAGATGATTTATTTTCCCAATCAAAAATATAATAAAATGTTCTTGATTATATTGCTGATAAAATTTATACAAATTATTTCTTATGTGATACATAAGAATAAGTCTAATTTTTTATTGAAATAATGACAGTTGTAAACTAATAATTATTAAAAATTGAAGAAGAATTCTTAACTTAAGTAGAATAATGTAAAGGTACATAGGAAGGTATGCGTTCTTTGTCTCTATTTAGATAATTGGTATAAAAAGCATAGGGTTAAAATTATTAAAATTTATCTATTGGATCAATATTAGAAAAGAAAGTTATTGATTATAAAAGAGTATTTCAAATAATACCTTTGTTATCTAAATGTAGTTAAATATTCAATGATTCACAATAAGTTATTGCATAAAGATTAAAGGCTTAATAATTAATATCTGAATTCTGGATTTATATAACATTAAATAATCCATCTTTTTTCTTATCTAAGAAAGATGGATAGAAAGAATAACTCACAAATGAAGAGGGAAAGCTCTTAAATGAATAAATTCAACCATTAAGAGAATTATATAAAACAATGTGGTTACCTTTAAATTTGATTGCCTTTTAAACACCAAATTTATTAGCAGGATCAAAAACATCTTTACTTGATTTAAAAATAATAATGAAATTAGTAGAAAACAAAGATACATTTACTTATAATTTCTTTTATTTTAATAGTTTAGCAAGATAAATGAAGATCTTATTTAGAATTAAGAAAAAAGAATTAAAGGATAAACATTTAGAACCTTAAGATTTAGTATATATTGTGACATTAAATGATATACTTTAGAGATGTTAAGCAAATATTATTTAAGATATTAAACAATTATAAAAATAGTAGTATTCTTATATTATGAAATTATTCAACTTTTTAAAGTAAACTAATGATGAAGAAGAATTACTATAAAATAAAGAAATTAATGGAATAAAATTAACACATTAATAATTAAGAAATTAATTAATTAAATAAGTTAAATTCTAATCATTATTAAAAGAATCAATTACAAGAGCTGCTGTTTAATATAATTCATTTTTATTAAATAGTAAAGGTACATTAACAAAAGAAATTATATGTAAAGATTTTGTATATTTATTATAATAATCATGTTCAATAGAAAAGACATTATCAGAATATGCAAGTGATATGGTAATTGATTTCATTCGTAATTTTCCATTTGTATGTTTTTCACCAGAAGTAATAAAAGTATGTTCATATTTATTAACTGTGATATCATAAAAGATTGGAAGAGAATATGATTCAAAATCTAAATAAGTATTTAATGATTAAAAAGTAATGTTGAATACAGATTAGAAAATATTAACTTAAAATATTGTATTTTTAATGAATTGTTTACTTAAATTAATCTTTAGAGGTTTATATATAGATCATAATTTTGTAAAAGTGTTTTGTTTACATTTAATTAGATAAGAAACATCATTATTATCTGAATTACCTTTTGGATATAAATTTTTAAAATTTTTAGTCAATAGTTTTAAAGTAGATAAAGAAGCTATTGAGACTTTTAAAGATTAAGCAGATAGATATAATCCTTATTTTTGGTTAGTGAAAGAGGTTGAATTTGATACAAGAATTAGTTCATCTGATATGTCAATGTTTTTATCAGATAAGGGATTATTGAGATTACAAAAGATAAATATTGAATAAAGAATTCCATATACTAGTGCATAAGAAATTCTTAAATTAATTAATTATTCAATAAAAAATGAAATAGAATTTGATTTTCATGCTGAAGATTTATTATAAATAAATTATGTATCAGTATTAAAAGATATACAGAAATGTTGTTAAGAATTAAATATATTACATTTTATATACAATAATAAATCATAAGTTGCATAAAAATTAAAGGGACGTATGTAATAATTAAGAATTAATGTTCGAGATAGTAATTATAAAAAAGCAAAATAAGAGATTGTTAGAGAGATGTTATAACATGTTACATCATTAAAAAGTGTAATAATTCATTCTGGTGCTTAAATTAAAACATAAATATTAACTAAACTTTTAGATATTTGTAAATTCTACTTATAACCATAATTATTAAAATATATTTTAATGAGACTAATACCATTTTTACATTCAATATCTTAAAATTATTTTGATTCAACATTCTTTTTCCTACTTGGAGAAATGTTACATTATATTATATATTAAATTAATAATTTAGGTAATTTAAAGTATGATAAAAAAATAAGTTCTTAAGATATATTTTAGATTAAAATTAATTATTTTAATTAATTATAAGATTTAGAAGCTGAAGAATTTACTGATTTCTATTTAAATAAATTAGAAGAACCCTATATTAATTTTATAAATATGGCATAAATTGGATATTATGAAATTAGATGGCAATGTTTATGTAAATTACATTTGATTCTTATAAGATTCTTAAATGATAATATGTAAATTCATTTAGTCAAAAATGTTAAATTATCAATTATTGCAAATATATTGAAACATAATTTTATGACAGATAGAAAATTAGTTGAATTTATTCCATTAGAGAATGTATGTCAAGTATTAAAAGGATCAATTGAAATAATATAATTAATGAAAGAATTTAAAGAGAAATTTAAAGATACATAAGATTATGAAGTAAAAATTGGATAAAATAATTAATTACATTCTATGTTGATGTAATAAAATCTAGCTGTTAAATTTAATATTGAATCATTCTATTATAAAACTTTAAAATTTGGATTAAGTCATTTTGCTAAAAATATTAATTTATATCATGAACCACTTTTTATATAATGTCAAAATTAATCTAGATTAATTAAAAGATATTAATTATATTGTATTGTATGTAAATATTTGGCTAAAGATAAATTAAATGAATTAAATGAAGATTCTAAAATACCTAAAATGAAAACAGTTAAAAAAAGATTTAATTCTGTAATTTTTAAAAGTCATAGATAATTTAAAATGTCAACTAATCAAAAAGAAGGTTAAACTAGAGCATCTATTTTGATGTAAGGTAATACATCTTAAATTTATCGAAAATTATAAGCAGAAATTGCATATAATGGATAATAAACATATGCTATCTCACTTTAAAAATTATAGGAACAAAGACCACTTGAAGTTAGACCTTATTATTTAAGAAAAGCATTATTTTTTTTATTATGTGATGAAATTGATAAAATTAAGGCATTTGCATCTCGTTTATAAGATGAATTATAAACTGATTATAGTTTAATGACTCAAAATAAATTAAGTGATAATTTTATTCAATAGATATTAAATGAAATTCCAGATAAAAATTTAAATTTAGCATACTATATATTAAAAAAACTATATCCTATAATGTAAACAGAATTATAATTAAATGATGTTTTATATAAATTTCTTGGACATAAAATCTCATAAAATATTCAGAATTACTATGATTGTTCACATTTCTTTGACATTATTGTAACACATAATATGTAATAAATTGAGAATTTTACTAAAATATTATTGTATTGGAAACCACCACATATATAATTATTATTAAAGTACATAACAGATTAATTTGAAAACTATCCAGATGTTTAATTATGTTTTTCTAAAATCATGAAAAGATTACACAGTGAATAAATTATATTTTATTTATCTCAGATCTTACAATCTCTAGCTAGTAGATCTGGATAATTAATTAAAACATTTCTCATAGAGTATGCTTAATAATCAGTCTTATTTGCCCATTAACTTTTATGGTTAGCAAGAGTGGAAAGTAAGATAGATGTTGATCATAAGAGACCACCTTCACCTAAGAGTAAGAATCAACATTAAAATATATTAAGAACAACTGAATATTAATAATTTGTTAAGGATTTAGTAAATCAAGGTCGTATTCAAAGGAAATAGTATCAAATAAGTAAGGTAGCACCATTTATTATATCTAAAATTATACGTAATATGGATTCTGAATAGACTTCATTTTTTAAGAAGGTTGATACATTTTATGAGAGTGTGACTGCAATATCTGGATAATTAAGACCTTAAATGAGTAAACCAGAAAAAAGAGAAATTATTGCTAAGAAACTAAGAGAAATAGTATTAACATAAGATATATATATGCCAACAAATCCTAGATATTAGATAACTTCTATTAAATTAGATTCAGGAACACCAATGCAAAGTGCAGCTAAATGTCCAATTTTAGTTAGTTTTCTTTGTAGAAAATATGAGGGACCTGACAAATATTTTGAAAGGAAATTGAAAGAGAAAAGGGAATTTGGTAAGGCTTTAGAATTTGAATTAACTAAATAATTAAAGGAAGAAGATATTTAAAAAATGTTGATTATTTTTGAATAAGATCCATTACCTGATGATGAAGAGAAAGGATAATTATTTATTAATGAATTAGTAAGACCATTAAAAAGTAATGGATAGAATTAAATAATGAGTTAGAGTATGTAATCCAATTATAAAGATTCTCATATTCACAAATAATCACAATCATTTGAAAAACACAGTTTCAAATAACCTACTCCTAGAGGAAGTCTTAAGAAATAAACTACACATTATAATAATATTAATGAATAATAATAAGAAATTAAATCTTGTATATTTAAAGTGTTTGATGATATTAGATAAGACAATTTAGCCTTATAAATAATAAGTATGTTTAAAGGAGTATTTGAAAGATGTGGATTAGACTTACATGTCTTTCCATATAAAACTATTTCTAATAGAACAGGTAAATCTCTTAATGTTGGTGGAATCATTGAAGTTGTACCTAATACTATTTCTAGAGATCAATTAGGTAAGACTAATCGATGTACTTTATATGAATATTTCATTAATAAATTTGGATCAGAGGATTCTTTATAATTTCAAATAGCAAGAGAGAATTTCATTAAGAGTTAAGCTGCTTATAGTATTATCAGTTATATATTGTAAATCAAGGATAGACACAACGGCAATATCTTAATTAGTGATAAAGGACATTTAATCCATATAGATTTTGGATTCATTTTTGATATAAGTCCAGGAGGTAATCTTAAATTTGAATCTGCCAATTTCAAATTAACCAAAGAAATGAGTCAAATTATGGGTGGAGAAGTATCTCTTTATATTATCATATTAGGCATTTAATTATTATGTTGATTTAACAGTTAGAGCTTTCTTAGCTATACGTCATTATTATGAACATTTCTATTATTTAGTAACTTTAATGACTAATTCTGGATTAGGATGTTTTATGAAGGATTCTATGAAGAATTTTACAGAGAGATTTTAAGTAAATATAATTTTAGAGTTATTTTAGTTAAAGAAAAATGATCTGGCTGCTGCTAAGTATATGCAAAGTATTATTGAGGATGCTAATGATAAAATAACTACAAGATGGTATGACAACATTTAATACTATTAAAATGGTATATCAAGATGATATTAAATAATACATAGTGTATATATAATTATATTATTTTAAAACGGATCTATGATCACAGGAAATTTGGCTGAACTTGTATGGGGAAGTGTTGAGCTAGCCCTTAATGTTCTATTATACTCTAGATTGAAATTACCACAAAAAGTAATGTCTCAAGGTCTATTACGTATGTCACTTGTTCGTGAATGCAATTACAACTTTGGGGTTGATACTAAGGTACATAAGGATGTACATTAGTTTTTAGATTGTTAGATATGTTGTTGCCTCATTACTTGCTCCAAATATAGTTAGACACTTTAGTAAATCAAATGATTCTTATCACTTCATGTATGGTTGCTTCATTTGTTTTGATGCATTAATAGTTATGGATATCTTTCCAATGACAGATACTATATATGCTATAATTCTCATTTTACGTTTGTTTCATCTTTTAGAAATCATATTCAAAATTAGCAAAGCTACTTAATCAATAAAGATTCAAATGAAAAAAGTCATAAAAATTTAGTATAATTCTTTAAATTAACTCAATACAACATCATCATATAATTAAATTAATACTAAGAAATTGGAAGTGTCTCCTCCTAATTCTACATAAACAACAAATGCTAGTTCACTTAATGAAGCGGAGAGTATTTAATAGATTAAAAAAAGACCTCCATTTCCTAATGTCTATTAAATCAAAATATAGACATCAAAAACAACGAAAATCAATATTTTAATTGATGAACCTGATAAATTTGATCTACTATTTGATTAATAATTAAATATAGATAGAAGGATGAATCTTTAAATCAAACTGAATTTATGTGCTTAAGTTTATTACACTTTGAAAAAACATTATCCTTGCGAATGGCTTCTTAAATAGATTGCTCAATATCAAGCTGAGTTGTTGCTTTTAGATTAATGATTTTCTTTAACCCGTTTTTTATTTTAATTAATGAAATTTCTTGTGTTGCTTTGCATTGTGACTCTCACATTTGCAGATTCAAGGATTGACTTTTTCACTAAACTCAGTCAATCTGATTTCGGAAAGACAATCTTATAAAGTATTTAAGTTCAAGAGTACATATATATATTCAATCATCAGAAATAATGTCGAACGTGTGTTATAGTTTATTAGACAATTACAAGTGGACATTAATGCAGCCTAAACTGAACATACAAACTACTTACAAAATAGAAATGGACAAATCACATAATATATTAATGAAGCTGATTAAGCTTTGGCTAAAGCTAAATAATAAAAAGCTTAAGATGAGGCATAGCGTATTCTTGTTATATCTAATTTATAATAGTTCCTTTGAGAGAGGAGGAACTTAATGATAAGAGAGCTCAAGGTGAATCCAAATTTGCTGAAAAATAACGAAATTTAGATCGAATTGCTACACTTACAGCTGAAAGAGAAGAGACCAAAAAAGCTTATGATTAAAGAAGAACTGAAATAGTTGGTTTATTAGCTGCTTTGAATTAAGGAAAAAAACTCATTTAATAAATAAAAACTGGATCTGTCTTTACTCAATAAGAAATTTTTGCAGATATTGAACATCATCATAAGAAATTCATTTAAAGATTCCCAGACAGAAGAGGTTTCAATTCCTTGGTTTCCTTGTCACTTGCTATGGCTTAGGATTCCACATTAAAATCTGATCAATCTGCATTAGAAAGAGTAGTCTAAGTCATTGAAGATTTAGCTGATAGTCTATTTTAACTGTACAAATTATATTTGATATCATTTTTAGTTAGAAATAAGAAATGGAAGCTGATGATGCTAGAGAAGCAGCATTTTAATAAGCTATGTATTATAATTGATTTATATTATATAGTGCTCGATTAGAAATAGCTAATCAATCATTAGAAGGTGCTGTTGCTTATTTACATGCTTAAATTTTAAGATTAGAATAATCACTCTTAGAATTATAAAATGACATAGCCACTCAAGCTTAAGTATATATTAGTTTATATTTTAATTAGATGATTGTAAATAAATAAAATGAAAAAGCAGATTGGTTAAATATTCAAAGAGATGAGACTAAATCATATGGAAAATAAACTGAAAATAGGTATCCAATTTATACATTATTAAAGAAAATCCCAATTAGATTTATTAGGAGAAACTGAAAATGTATTTAGCAAAGGGCCTTTGACACCTGAATAGCAATCGTTCTTATAACATTTAAAGTGATTAATATAAATGAAAATTAATAACAATAATAACAACGATACGTAAAATTCTTAGGCATAAAAGAATTTTAATCAATTGATAAAGTCAGAGGCAGATGATTTTAAGAGATAGTTCAAATTTATAGATAAAGAGAAACTTTTCATGGAACTTCAAAATTACAAAATTGAAAACAACAATCTAAAAGAGGAGAACACCAAGTTACGTACACGCATCCAATAGACCGAGGTAAGCCAACCTCATATGCTCAGAAAGAGCTTTTCAATTATGAGAGACTTTGCGAGAACATGACCGAGTAGACACCAAACAAAAAGAAGGCCAATGAGTTATTACTAATCCAACTTAAGAAACAGAACAAAGACCTCCAATAGTCACTCAAAGAACGTACAGTCTAAGTTGAGCACCTTAAAAAAAATACCAAAGTGACCAAATTTCAAGAGTTAGAGTGTGATCGAAAGGCATACTTTGATGAAACCGTGCGTATGCGTAAACTCATAGAAGAGAGTTAATCATAATTCTAATCTATGTTAAGGTACATCATCTTCATTCTTAATTTATAGTAAATACAATCAAAGTCTTTAACTTGAAAGTGAAGTTTAGAAGCTACTCAAAACAAATGAAAATTTGATTGCTGAAAATAAAGCACTCAATCAAAAAAGTTAATAATCAGATGAAATGATGCGATAGTTATAAGTATTTTGTCGATACATTTATTTAGCAATTATATAAACTAAATTAATAGAAACAGTAAACATTAGACAAACATATCTAAGATCTAAAAAATCAAATTAAAAAATTATAGACAGATAAAACAAATCTTAAATAGACAATTAAATAGATGTAAGATGCTTAATATTAGCATCTTTAATAACCATAACCAAAACCAAAAAAAGACCCTACTCCTCGTCAACCATAATTATCAAATTTAATTTTAGAGGAATTAAGATTTAAATTGATATATCGTGGTATTACAGTTGAATAATTTGCTGATATGTTAGAAGGATTAAAATAATAAGCACGAGAATAAAATGTGACAGTTAAAGTAGATGATTTAAGACATATATTTGCACAGTAAATAAATTTATATTTATTATAATTAGAGAACCATTTTCATATACAGATGGAAATAAAGTATAATCAATATTAAATTCACTTAATGGTCATGGAAATTAATTAGTTGAGAATTTGAAATCTTTAATTGGAAATTATAAGACTTTTATGAATTTCCCTACATTTGATTTTGAATAAGCTTAAACTAAAATGAAGACTCAATTAAAACAAAATGAGAAAAAAATTTAAGAATTTTGGAATAAATAAAAAATAAAAGGAGATGTAGTTACTAAATCAGATGTTAGAAAAATGTTAAATTCTCTTTCTTTAAATTGGTAGGAACCTGAAAATTTATTCTATTTTTTATAACTATTTGAGAAATCAGGAGAAGATCTATAACATATACCATTATAAGATACTTATGATCCATTTACTATGGAAGATCCATCATAATAATAATAAATGACTGGACATTAGAATATGAGAATATCTGAAGAATCAGATGAGGAATTATTTGATAAATAAAGTCAAGATTATTCATTAGATGAAAATGCAGTAAAGAAAAAAAAAGAATAAGATTAAGGTATAGTATTTCGTGATGAGGGTCATATAGTTGAACAATAAGGATAATAATAATAATAATAAGAATATGATAAAGAGGATAATGAAAATTATGATGAGAATGAAAATTATAATGAAAATGAAAATGAAGATGAACATTATTAATAAGAAGAAGATAATTAATATAAAGGATCAGATTAAAATAATGAAGATATGAATGATCATTATGAATAAGATGAATATGAATAACATTAATAAGATGAATAATAAGAGGAACATTAAGAAAATGAAAATGAAGATTAAAATTAAGAAAATGAGAATAATAATCATGAAGAATAATAAAATGAATATGAAAATGAAGAATTTGATTGATTTATTTAAAAATAATAAAAGAGTACGCATTTATATTTAATTACGCATTCTTAATTAATTAAATTATAATTATAAATAATCAAGTGCGCACTTCTTATTAATAAATACGCATTTATTAATTATATATAAATTTTATGCGCACTCTAATGTTTACAAATACATAATTGTATTTATTTGGTTAATAATTAATTCAATCAATAATGAAAGTCTAATCAACAACAACATAATAAGATGATCACTTCTTAATTTCTAATTATGATTACAAGTCAACTAATATTGAAAAGAATGGAGAAAAGTACATAGCAAAACCATAAATAACAAATTTCAAATTTAAGACTGATACTAGAATTCCAAAATTAGGTGTTATGCTTGTAGGATGGGGTGGTAATAATGGTACAACACTTACTGGTGGTATATTGGCAAATAAATTCAATATTACATGGAATAGTAGAAGAGGAACTCATTAACCAAATTTCTATGGTTCACTCACATAAAGTAGTGTTATAAAGATTGGTACATGTAATACTGAAGAAGTATTTGTTCCATTCAAAGATGTTTTACCTATGGTTAATCCATGTGATATAATATTTGGTGGATGGGATATAAATTCAATGAATTTAGCTGATGCAATGAATAGAGCATAAGTAGTTGAATATGATTTACAATAAAAATTAAGACCATATTTAGAAAAGTTAGTACCATTACCTTCAATCTATTATCCAGATTTTATTGCAGCAAATTAAGGTGATAGAGCAGATAATGTTATACCAGGAAATAATAAATTAGAACATCTTAATATAATTAGAAAGAATATTGCAGATTTTAAATAATAAAATAATTTGGATAAAGTAATTTTATTATGGACAGCAAATACAGAAAGATTTTGTGTTGAAGATCCAAATGTTCATGGAACAGCTGAAAAATTATTAAAATCTATTGAATCAAGTCATCCAGAAATTAGTGCATCAACAATATTTGCATGTGCTGCTTGTTTAGAAGGATGTTCATTTATTAATGGATCACCATAAAATACTATTGTTCCAGGTGTTATTGAATTAGCAGAAAAAGCAGGTGTTTTTGTTGCTGGAGATGATTTCAAAACAGGATAAACTAAATTTAAGACTTGTTTAGTTGAATATTTAGTAGGTGCTGGTATTAAACCAAAAGCCATCATATCATATAATCATTTAGGAAACAATGATGGAAAGAATCTTTCATAAGAATCATGTTTCAAAAGCAAAGAAAGAAGTAAGAAAACTTGTGTTGATGATATTTTGGAATCTAATAAAGTATTATATCCAACTGAAGAAGAATTGAATATTGATCATACTATTGTTATTAAATATTGTCCTGAAACTGGAGATAGTAAAAAGGCTATGGATGAATATATTGCTGAAATCTTCTTAGGAGGTAGATAAACATTTGCAGTTTATAATGTTTGTGAAGATTCCTTATTGGCTGCTCCATTAATTATGGATTTATTATTATTATGTGAATTATTTGAAAGAATTAAATTCTCAAAGGATTCATGTGAATATTAAAGATTTGATACAGTATTGTCTTGGTTGAGTTATTTGATGAAGGCTCCAAAATCTGAAAGTGGAATTACTACTATAAATGCTTTATCAAGATAAAGAGCTATGCTTGAGAATTTAGTAAAAGTATGTGCAGGATTGACAGTTGATGACAATCTTAGATTAGAAGTTAGATATGGTGCTAGTAGATTTTAATAATGATTTTTTTTAACTACATTTTGTTTATATCAATTAATTCAATATATTATTACTTAACATTAATATGTAATCATACATCAAATTTACATTAATATGAAATCATAAATCAAATATATATAGGTTTATTAATTTCTTTTAAAAATGAAAATGCTTGATGAAATCAAATAATAGGTAGAAANGAATAGAGCATAAGTAGTTGAATATGATTTACAATAAAAATTGAGACCATATTTAGAAAAGTTGGTTCCATTACCTTCAATCTATTATCCAGATTTTATTGCAGCAAATTAAGGTGATAGAGCAGATAATGTTATACCAGGAAATAATAAATTAGAACATCTTAATATAATTAGAAAGAATATTGCAGATTTTAAATAATAAAATAATTTGGATAAAGTAATTTTATTATGGACAGCAAATACAGAAAGATTTTGTGTTGAAGATCCAAATGTTCATGGAACAGCTGAAAAATTATTAAAATCTATTGAATCAAGTCATCCAGAAATTAGTGCATCAACAATATTTGCATGTGCTGCTTGTTTAGAAGGATGTTCATTTATTAATGGATCACCATAAAATACTATTGTTCCAGGTGTTATTGAATTAGCAGAAAAAGCAGGTGTTTTTGTTGCTGGAGATGATTTCAAAACAGGATAAACTAAATTTAAGACTTGTTTAGTTGAATATTTAGTAGGTGCTGGTATTAAACCAAAAGCCATCATATCATATAATCATTTAGGAAACAATGATGGAAAGAATCTTTCATAAGAATCATGTTTCAAAAGCAAAGAAAGAAGTAAGAAAACTTGTGTTGATGATATTTTGGAATCTAATAAAGTATTATATCCAACTGAAGAAGAATTGAATATTGATCATACTATTGTTATTAAATATTGTCCTGAAACTGGAGATAGTAAAAAGGCTATGGATGAATATATTGCTGAAATCTTCTTAGGAGGTAGATAAACATTTGCAGTTTATAATGTTTGTGAAGATTCCTTATTGGCTGCTCCATTAATTATGGATTTATTATTATTATGTGAATTATTTGAAAGAATTAAATTCTCAAAGGATTCATGTGAATATTAAAGATTTGATACAGTATTGTCTTGGTTGAGTTATTTGATGAAGGCTCCAAAATCTGAAAGTGGAATTACTACTATAAATGCTTTATCAAGATAAAGAGCTATGCTTGAGAATTTAGTAAAAGTATGTGCAGGATTGACAGTTGATGACAATCTTAGATTAGAAGTTAGATATGGTGCTAGTAGATTTTAATAATGATTTTTTTTAACTACATTTTGTTTATATCAATTAATTCAATATATTATTACTTAACATTAATATGTAATCATACATCAAATTTACATTAATATGAAATCATAAATCAAATATATATAGGTTTATTAATTTCTTTTAAAAATGAAAATGCTTGATGAAATCAAATAATAGGTAGAAAAAGAAATGAAAAAGTTTGATCCTCGATTGGCAGAAAAGAAGTATTTGAAGATTACTTAATCAATTAAGGATTTGTTTCTTAAAGCAGTTGTTAGTGAAAAATAAACTATTAAAGCTGTATATACAAATTTGAAATAAGGCTGCTCATTCTATTGGTATCAATTACTCTTCAGCCAAAGCCATTTGGGCTGAATTCAGAACCAAATAAAAAATGAAGAAGAGCAAGAAAGTTAATGGACAAGATAAATAACCATCCTCAGAAGTTATGAAAAGATGTCAATACAAAATTCTAAATGGTTGTAATAAGATTAAGAAACTATTTATGGAAATCAAATCTTCAGTTGCATAGCGTATGAATTCTACATACATGATTTCCTTAGAGTAGCATATATGAATATTATTTAATTAAAATGAGTGGAAGTACAAAAGTTTACTAGTATTTCCATAATAAAAAATTCAGAGGTGCCAGTACTCTCAAAGGAAGAGGAGTAGAAACCAATATTCATACTCCTAAAATGAAAATACAAAACTCTGTTGATGATTAGCTTATTATAAACAACATATAAAACCTCCCTTTTTAATTTAGATAGAGTCCTTCCATTAAATTAAAAAATCCAAGACATTCATAAGATTAGACTAGAAAGCAAACTAATAAATCAGAACATTATGCTAGAAGAACTAGAATCACAGTTTTAGAATCATTTTATCATCAATTAAAATCTGATGAAGATATTTCTCTTATTAATAATACACAATAAGGCAAAATCTAACCTATAATATTAACACCCTAATCTTAAACAACCTATTTTAGTAAATAAACTTAATTTACAGAAATTGAAAATATTGAAGAAGTTCATTTTAACTTTGTAAATATGTAACAAAGCTATAAATCTTGGATAGAGAATTTTGAAAGGAATAATCATAGCAAATGAACCTATATAAATTCTCTCTTTTTGTACTTATACTTTAATTTAATTTTAATTTTATATTTATATATAAATATGGAAGAAATGAAATTTTCACATAGATCTTAATCATTAACTGTTTTATAAAGTGAAATATACTCTAGATTCCTTGATATGCATGAAGAATTGTCTAAATCTTCTAAAAATATTAACTATCTTATAAATCATAGTCTTAAACAATTAGAAAGTAATTAAGAGGAGGCTAGATTTAGTTTTTCTGCTAATTCTTAAAATCAACAAGAACTTAATTCTTTTGAAGAAATGGTTATTGAAGAAGAATTAGATTTAGAAACCCAACCTTCTAATAATGAAAGAGAATCAATTTTAGAAAATAAAATTAAAATCTATGAATCTGCACTTAATACATTTTAATATGAAAACTTCAAAAAAGATTAAGAAATTATTAGACTCCAAAATTTGTAATAATTCTATCAATTAATATAGATTGAATGATTAAAATATATAACACACTATTTAGAATCCAGATGAAATTTATTAAGAATAAAGTGTTATTAGATAATAATTATAAATTCTTGATGATTAATAAGATTATTTATAAGAATAGAAAGACCTTCATAAGAAAATGAAAGAATGGGAAGACTTAATCACAAAATAATAAGACTTAATAAATTCTCAAAAATTGGAAATTAGTCGATTAAAAAATATAAATTCATACTTGCATAAATCTATTGAAAAACTATAAACATTTTGAAAATATGATTATGCATATAAACTTAATTTCATATTCTACATACATAGGAACTACTCTATGTTATATATCTCACCCATCTATGAGGATTAGTAGTATTGCCTCTCTCTTCAATTCTTAAGTATTTGATTTATAATCTGCTAACATTAAACATTGGTATTTCAAAATTCATTGCAATAGGACCAATCTCTTTTCTTGCTGTATGAGCAGTTTATGTAGCCTATAGAGTTAATTTTATCTAAAAAATATATATAATTAAATACTTTTAAAGATCTTTCTTAACCACCACAAAGTTTCTTAATCTACCATTCTATTATCTTTTTATTTGAATCATATTCTGCAGTCTCTTATTAAGCATTTTTAACTAATTCAGGATATGCATTGGCAGTTTATTTTGGTATGGGAATACGAACATTTGCATAAGATGCAATTATTTTAGCATCAAAACATGCTTTTAATTTTATAGTAACTTCTATTTTAGATGATGAAATTTCTTCAATAATAGGAAATAATCTAAAAGGAGCAGCATAATCTCCACTAATTCTATAATTCATAACAACAAATTAACCATCAGGAGGTTAAATACGTAAAGTTTTATTCATATCTAATTCATTTGCATTAACACATTCATGGAAATTACAATCATCCTTAAAAGTATTATTAATTAATATATACCAAGATGACTCCTGCTGAATATTATCCTTATTATCTACCTATTTGCAAATCCTCATTCAATGCTAATTTCAAAGGTGGATTTCCTTATAAAAATGATGTCATTTAAATCTATTATATTGTTAAAATATAATACACATCCTTCAATACTCTAATTGATAACATATGCACTAGAATTAAAGAGAACATTTAGTTTTTCATAAATATCAACAAAAATTTCATTTGCTTAATTTTTGTTTAATACCGATCGTTAAACTGCTTGACTTCCCATAGTATTTGGAACAAATATATTAAATGTTTGAATCTTAGGTCTAAGAGAATTCATAACTGAATCAGGTTAAGGCTAAATTGGCTCATTTACAATAAGTGGTTTAATTTATTCTGTAGCCATTAATTGAGGGTATCCAAAATCAAATGATTCATCTAAAATCTATGATAAATATAATATTATTGACTTCATATATTAAGATGAAATTCTTTCTTAGGACTTCTTCATTAATGACTCCACAAAAATCTTTGATCTCTTTGGCTAATCGATCCAATAATTCTAATGACATAGCTGGTTGTAAATTAAATCTTGATGTACCTACAATATATAATCCTATATATATAAATATAATAATTGAACCTCCTCTTTTAATATGAGCAAATTGAATGCAATCTACATTAAATAAAGGATTAGCATCTCCTGAGTAGGTTTTGGCTTATCTGAAGAATGTTTCAGGAGTAGATTTAGGTAAATCTGATCTGAAATCTCGATTAATGATTGTGTCACCTCTTGGAGATAGAATGAATATTTATGAAAACATTATTATATATATATATATTTTTATTTATGATGGATCAAGCTCTTGCAAGGAATTCTTGTACATTATGAACTTCATTGATCTTCTTTAAGGCATTCTTAAATGCACTTCTGTCAATCAATCTGTCATCAAATACATATTTGATTCTCTTTTCTCTATAAAGTAATGGAAGCCATAAGTTTGTATATCCAAAGAGCACTCCTTCTAAAACAAAGCGTTTTAATTGGGAATCTTAAGCAGTCAACACAGCCCATGTATTACTTAATTTGAATGAATTTTTAACTTAATCCAAATAATCGAATTACATTGTATCCCAACCATGATAATCAATTGGTTGTAATTCCCAACTAAATTCCTTATTCTTGATACCATTGAAAAATTATGACCAAAATCCAGCATCTTTATGATCTTACAAACTAATTACAACATCCACAATATTCTAAGTAGATAAATACTTAGCATTTTATGATAAGTTTGACAATAAGATTTCTTTGTTCACATCTTTTAATAAGCCATTATTTTAAATCACATACAATAATTGAGCACTTGTTTCTACTTCTTAATTCCAATTGTTATTTTTTATGAATTTAATTGCCTCTCTAACACATTGAGCTGAAAATTGTTAATTCAATTATGCTTCATCCTTTAAAGTATCCACTGTATTAAATTGTTAAGCTTCATAAGTCAAAGCACTTGCTATTTAAGCTAAAGAGAATGCTGTTAATTCATGTCCTAATATCAAAATGATTTATATTACCTTATGGTAATCCAGTATATCTATAAGAAGGATTGTAAAAGAGGTTTGCAGAATTAAAAGTCCATCTTGCTGGGTTTATTATTAATTTGTTAGCACTTGCAAATACTGAAGCACTCACAAACTTAGAATAATTTTTAAATAATCCTGACATTTATATTTATTTATTAAATTTTATATCATATATTATTAATCAAATTCACAAATACATTTATTATCTTATCTCTTAATATTTATTATTACTAATCTATTATTAAATTTTATTATTCATAAATTTATGAAATACTAAAATATTCTTATCTATATTTCTTAATAAATTTAGATAAATAAATAATATTCATAATAATATTTTATAGAAATGGATTGTCTTACTAAAGAGATAAAAGGAAATTCAATAATAATAAAGCTTTATAAATATTAAACAATTTGTTTATTTATTAAAACTTTAATTATTAAGATTAATCAAATGATTGAATGATCCAAATATCATTCATGATTAATATTTAACTAATAGAGAATATATATGATAAGATGATCTTCAATTGAACTTTTAATAAAATAAATATTATTAAATTCTAATTTATAATATACTATAATTTATGCATTTTTATCAGATGATTTCAACAAATGCCTTAGGATGTTGGAATACTGTTGCAGCAGGTTTAACAATTTCTGCTCCTCTTGGTAAAACAGGTTATCTTTTGGTGGATATATGTTATTTCTTTTTATTAGCTTCTGTCTTCTTTTTATCATTTTCTTAAACTCTTTTGACAAATTCTTCTCTGCATTTTGATGGTCTTAAGTGATCAGCTCTCACATGAAATCTTTTTTCTACATATCTACCTCTGACTCTTCTTTATAATGAAACACCTATTCCTCTAGGATTCACATTGAAGACTCTTGCTGTTCTTCCATGATAATACTAGAAGGGTACTCCTTTGTGTTATGCACCATCAACTAAGATGTCAACAAAGTCACCTATTATTAAGAATGGTAGTAACCTCTTTTGAATGTTTAGAGTGTTTTACGAATACTTATATTACCATGACCTCTAAATGGCTTTGCAAATTTGCTTCTTGTTCCCTTCTTCAATCCGTAACTATGAGTCATTTATTCAAGATTTAAAAACTTTTAAAATTAAAAACTTATGCGTGCAATATTTCATAAATTAATGTAATAACCTTTTGTTACCTTCTCTAAATAAGAACTCAAAAAAAGACTTAGTGACATATAATACAGAGTTACCTAAGAAGCAGGTAGAATATCAATTAATTATGTAGATACTGAACCACCTTTTAAGAATGAATATTACAAAACAAAAGATCCTGGAGAATACTTTTGTATTGTTTGTGGAGATAAATTATTTGGATCTTAACATAAATATAACTCTGGATGTGGTTGGCCTGCTTTTTGGGGTTCTTATGACTCAAAAAATATTAAAGAGATCAAGTATATTCTTAAAATTATTTTATAGTGATACAAGTCATGGAATGATCAGAATTGAGGTTCGATGTCAAAAATGTAATGCTCATTTAGGACACAAATTTGATGATGGTCCAGCTGAATAAGGAGGAATCAGATATTGTATTAATTCTGCTTCCTTATAATTTAAAAAAGAAAACAAATGACTTATTATGAATCATTAATCATCCATTCCATCAAATAAGTCTTCTTCTTCATCTGAATCTTAAACAGGTACCATTCCTAATTTTTATGTTGGTTTCTATTGCATTTACACATTTTTCATTGCATCTTACATTTTCATATCCTTAATTGCTTTATCTTTATTTGGTAATTATTGTTATTATTAATATCTAGCTACATTAGGATCATCTTCTTCATACAATTCCTTCCCTTCAAACCATTTTTTCTTAAATGCATTAATATCTTTGTCTTATTATTTTTCAATAATTTCTGCTAAAGGATCTGATTAAAATTAAATTAAATTACATACCTGTTGCAAATTCAGCATTTCTATTTACTTTAAAAGGATCTACATCATAGGGTGACACATAAAATTTCACATTCTTATATACATCTTAATAATATTCATGATATTATTGTAAAGTAATCAATTTTGCCTTTGTATAAAATACATCAACAATTTAATCCCAAGTCTTACAAGCTAAAATATCCTTTCTTATACAAAAACACATTATTCCCATATTAATAAATATCTCTAATTTATTTTTGACTATCTTCATTACCATTTAATCTATATTAAATAAGGTTATATCTAATGGTAAAAATGCAAATCCAAGAGAATGTACAAATCTCTTTATAATTATTACTAACATTTATCTTTAAGTTGAACTTTTTAAATTAAGAACACTTTGAAATTTTAATGCTAGTTCTTCATCTAACACATTAACACTATTCATAAATAAATCTGTCATTTCTGATTCATATTTTTCATCATGTCTAACAATCAAATCAACTAATGGATCAAAGAATTGAACTAATAATTATAATGAATAAAAATATCCAATCAATTCAGTTGGTATTTTTAATAAATGTTTACTTGTTCCAAAGACATAAACAAGTGGTATACATATTAAGTATAAATAATCTGTAAGAATTCTATCTTATTTTAATTCATAGTAACTCAAAATTGTTTTCATTGCAAAAATCATATTTCCATCAAATTAATCTGGTTTTGTCATTTATTTAACTATTTATTCTGTGTCTTTTATAATTTAAACATCAAATTTTGACATTGTTAACATTCTTGCCTTCCCTAATAGACGACTATATTCATCACTTATTTATTT